GTGGGCCGCACCAGAGGGTGGGGTTCCCATGGGAGGGGTGGATCCCACCAGCAGGGCCGTGGGCAGCTGGCGCTGCAGAACCAACCAGGAGCAGGTTCAACCCCGTGTGGGGGGCAGGGAGGCGTGTGGTCCCCCTGAGACGACGTGGGTGGGGGCGGAAACTGGGGGCTATGTGGGGGGCAGACCCCGCCCCGGGTGACACCATTCCCACGTCCTCCGACTTGGGGCGAACCCTGGGGCATGAGCACGGGCTGTGGGCTGAACCCCACTGGGGTCGAGGGGCAGGTCCGTCTGCACGGAGGCCGCCGTGTGGGCATGCACGCGGACACTTCATAACCACGGCCGCGGGGGACACTGCGAGCGGCCCCGGGAGAAAAGGCAGCTGCCAAGACCAGGAGGGGGGCTCCGGCCGCCGCCCGCCCCAGTCTGCTGCCGAGAGACCACCCAGCCGCCAGCGGGCCAGGGAAGGCCCAGGGGCCGGCCTCTCGTCTGCAGGGCCCTCTTAAAGGACGAGGTTGAACCTTCCTTGCTGGCCCTCCCCAGCGCCAGCGCACCAGCGTCCGCGGGCCGCCTGCCCTGCCCCTCCCTGTGCAGACAGAGCGGCGCCAGGCTGGCTGCGCGCCCCGGGGCCGTCTCCCGGCTGCTGCCCAGGCTCCCTGTCCCCGAGGCCTGCCTTCCGCCCTGACGTTTGTGTAGTCATCACACAGTCCGCACCGCGTATAAACATCACGGTTGTTATAAATAAGTGCGTTTTTATTCCGTACAACAAAGGAGAGAATTTCTTTCCAAAAGGTGAACGTCGTCGACGTCGCTTGGCAGAGGGCGGCTTCTAAGGCGCAGAAATGCCTCCTGGGATCGTTTTCGCCATGACTGCTCCCAAGTTTTTTTTTTTTTTTTTTTTTAAATAGAGGCATGTTTTATTTATTTGTTTGTTTGTTTGTTTGTTTATACAAGCACTGGGTACAGTCAGAAGCACGGGAGGGTGAGAGGATCCACCAGAGCCAGAGCGGGGAGCAGAGCAGGCAGAAGGACCGAAGTACACTGCTGAGGGGAGCAGCGGGCGGCAGGAGAGGTCTGCGCGCCACGTGGGTCCCTCCTCCGGGGGCCGGGAAGCAGCCGGGGATCGAACCGGCGCCGCAGAGGCCGCGGGCAGCTTCGCAGCCCAGCGCTCAACCGCTGCGCCCCCGGGGAGGCCCTGCTCCCAAGTTTTAATAGTAAAGAAAAGGAAAGACGGCGCAAGGAAGACAGACGGCCACGGGGGGAGGGCAGGGGTGAGGGCAGGACCTGGTATGTACTTGTTTGTCCACGTTTGTGTGTGTTGAGGTGACACGGCTTACAGCGCTGTGCTGTGTGAGTCACAGATGGCTGCGCACTTTGTATTGTACACGCCTTGTAACATGTAACAGACACATACCACACACACACAACACACACACCACACACACCCCATACACACACACCATGCACACGCACCATACAATACCATGGCACACATCACACACACACAACACCACACTATACACACACCACACACGCACCATACAACACCATAGCACACATCACACACACACACGACATAACACCACACTACACACACACCACACACACCCCATACACATACACCACGCACACACACCATACAATACCGTAGCACACATCACACACACGGCACAACACACACACACCATACACACCATAGCACACACCACACACATACCACACATACCCCCTATACACACACACACACACACACACACACACTGACTCAAATTTGCAGCCCGGAACATTCTGGCTGGTGCTGCCCTCCGCCGTCCCCCCTCAGCTGCGTTCCCCATGGCAACAGCAGCCAAGTAGTGGCTCCGAAGGGGAAGGGCTAGTGGGGGGTGGGAAGGCCCCCACCCTGGTCTGCTGGGGCCCCCCTGAAAACACCTCCCTGGGCGGGAGCTTTGCCAACCCCGCTGGGCACAGGGCAGCAGTGTTGTCGCTTCCCCGGCGCGTCCCTTCGCTCTGTCGTTTCTCCCCCAAATACGGCCCGACTGTGCTGGGCACCGGCAGAGACGACACAGGGCGCCCGTGTGCAGGGAGCAGGCCTGGGGCTGCCGGCCCCGTAGACAGAGTCTGGCAGCGCCCTGTGTCCTCGCCCGGGCCTCGCGCCCAGCAGAGGTGCAGAGTGTCAGGAAGTGGACAGAGGCCGCCTGGCTCAGAACTGGGGTGCTGGGCCCCTGAGGGCAGCCGCCTCTGCGCTCAGCCCGAGGGCCGGTGGGCCCCAGGCCTCCCCCAGGAGGGTCCCGAGGTGGGGACGGGGACCTGCCTGGTGGTCAACACGGGGCCCTGGCCGGGTCTGCCGGCCACACACCCCGCCATCCTCGCAGCCCTGAGCCCGGCCCTGGCCCGCTGCTGCCCAGAGGCTCGGGGGCCGAGCTCCCGCCCTTGTGGGCAGGTGTGGGCAGGCCTTGGGCAGCCACCGCAGGAGAGACCGGCTCCCTGCCGGGAGGGAGCAGCCACCAGTGGGAGGCGCGTGGGTACGAGGCCAGGCGGCAAGGAGGGCCCCGGGCCAAGATGGGGAGCCGGGAAGGCAGCGGCCACATGGAGCCACAGGCGGGGCGCTGAGCCCTTCCACGGGGGAGAAGACTCTGAGGGCGGACAGAGACCCCGGCTGGAAACGGGGTGGGCAGCCCGCTGGCCCGAGGGCCCCTCCCCTCCGCCTCCCCGCCCTTCTCCTGGGGGTCCTATCCCCCGTAGAGGCTGCCCCGCGCCTGCTACCGCGGCCCACACCAGCTCCAGGGCGAGTGGGCCTGGCTGGCGGTTCCCCGCGGCCATCCGGGCCTGGGGCCCGTGACCCGCCCTCCGCGGGTGCAGCCCTGGAGACCCCTTCTCTCGGCTCTGGCCGCGCTTGTTTCTTTTTCGCTGTAGTCTCTTCAGAGGCGCTTTTTCCCAGAACAGCACATCCGGCGTGCCCTTGACGCGACCCCGAGAAGGCCCCCAGCGCCCCGTTCCCGGAGATGGCCGGGAGGGGCCGGGTTCGCACGTCCACACCAGACACCTGGTCGGCCAGGCGGCCAGCGGGGTCCCGGGGGGGGGGGCCGCATCCGCTCGCGTCTCCCCACCACCTGCACGGCGCTCACAGCGGGCCCCGGGAGGCCGGCGCGCTGGCGCTCAGGACAGCCTGCATCGGCGGCCAGGCGCCTGCCGGCCCATCGCAGCCCCACAGGAAGGCGCCGGGCGGGGGTGCAGGGAGGAGTGTCCAGGACAGGGGCTCCGGTGCCGGTTCCCTCGAGAGCCCCTTCCTGCTCCGGCCCGCGCGGCCTGCGGCTCTCCCGTGGGGAACACCGGCTTCCCTGGAGCTCGTCCCAAAGGGTGTGCGGCCCCAGGAAAACCGTCCCCCACGATCGCCTGTCCTTGCCCCGCTGCGTCCTGGCTCCTTTTCTGAGGCACCGGCTGGGGTTTGCCCGCGGGCCTGGGGCGCAGACAGCCCCGAGCGCCCGGACGCCTGGCAGGACCCTTGTGCTGTCTCCTGGCTTCCCAGCGGAGCGCAGCGGGGGACACATGGCCCGTGGGGGTGCAGAGGCCCAGCCTTCGGGGAGTCCTGCTCAAAATGCTAAAGGGAAGGAGTGGGGAGAAGCTGGAGGATCCCCCCCCCCCACGGCAACCCTCTGGGGCTCCTCTCACGGTCACAGACAAACCCGCCCTTCCCTCCGCCTCGCCTCCGAGGAGGGTTAGCGGGTCGGGCCGCCTGGCCCATTGGGGGCCTCCCCGACTGTCAAGGGCTGCACCGGGCCGAGAGCTACGGCGGCCTTCGAGGCGGGGCTCTGGGGCGCCTCAGCAGCGGCCGGCCACGTGGATGCGCGCAGAGGCCGGCGGGGGGCGGGGCGCAGAGGACTGGGGGGCCGCCCCGGCGGAGGGGCGTCCAGGCAGGACGGACAGGCTGGGCCGCAGGAGGGAGCCAGACGTCGCCAGCTGCCCCGGGGACTGGACGGCCCGGCCGCCCTCGCGCGGTCCGCCCAGACCCACCGGAGGCGGCGCGCGCGGGCTGGGGCGCGGGGGGCACAGCGGGGCGGCGGGTGGCCTGTGCGCAGGTGGGGTCCTGCTCGCTCGCCCGCGGCCCCTCGCGGTGGCGGGGCGGGTGGGCCACGGCGCTGGGGGGCAGGGCCCGGCGTGGACAAGGTTTCTGCCGCGGCCGAGAAGGTTCCGGAGACCTCGGCAGGCTGGTGCCCCCGCGCCCGCCCCCCTGTGCGCCCCCTCGGGCCTGCTGGTCTGACGTCAGCACAGCGTCTCCCCGCAGCTTTCCCGGCTTTTGCATCAGAACCGGGAACAGGCTGTTGCCATGGAAACTGCAGCTGCCAGGCCGGGGAGGGGGCTTCGAAGGAGGGAGGCTGCGGCTGGAATTTTCCAGGCCCGGAACTCAGTGTTTGCTCTGCAGTAAATGAGTAGGAGCTGGGCCCCTTCCCAGGACACCCTGCCCCCGGCCCCCCCGCAGAGGGAGGGCCCCCAACATGGCCAGATCCCGCAGGCCCGTCCTTCGTGGGCCGGTCCTGGGGAAGACGGCCGCGAGCCGCTCCGAGGGGCCTGCGGGCCGGTCCCCAGGCTGCCCTGCGTGGGCCTCAGGCCTCAGCCGGCGCGCCTCTGGCCAGTGCTGCCCAGCCAGGCCCCTGGGCCCCTCACCCCGTGGGCCCCTCACCCCGGCGCCGCCGAGGGCCTGGCTGGCGGCCTTGGTCCCTGCTCTGGGCGCGCCGCCGCCCTCCTCCGAGCTGCTGGGGCTGCGCCTCTGCTGGACTCCGCCTGCCCGCCTGCCCGCGGGCCCTGCTCTCCCCGTCCCGCCCGGGGAGGTCGGCAGCCCAGGGGCCCGCGGCGGTGTCCCGGGGTGGCCCCCAGGGGCTCCAGAACTGTGCTCACCCCCAGTCTCCCCCGCGCGGAGCTGAGCTCAGGGTATCTCCACGCCAGGCACAAGTTCAGCGACTCTGAGGAGCCGGTTGCCCGCCCGCCTGGCCGCCGCCTGGAAGATGGGCCGCCGCCGGCCTTCCGAGGAGCGCGCCGGTCGAGAAGGGCCGGGCCCCTCGGGCAGCAGCCGCCGACCTCAAGCTTTCGGCCGCAGCAGCCGCGGGCCCCTCGCAGCGGGTCTCCTGCGGACCCAGCCGCGCGCTGACCCCTGGCGCCGCGCTGGGCCAGCAGCCTCGGGCCACCCCTGCCCGTCTCCCTGGCGCAGGCGGGCTGGGGAGGCGGCGCCCGCCAGAGCCGAGGAAGCGCGGTCCAGCCGCCCCCAGAGGGCCGCTCCCGGCGCCTGCGGCCTCCCGCCCAGGGCCACCGCCATCCAGAACCGAAGGGCGGGGTGGGCGCACCGGTCCGCGGGGGTGGGAGCTGCCGTGGGCCCCTCGTGCCCGCCGGGATGCGTGGGGCCTCCTGGGACCAGCCCCGGGACCCCCCAACCCGCCCGCTCTACGCGGGTCCTGCCGAGGCCGCATCAGGACAAGCACCCAGCGCGCAGGGCTCCGCGGAGGGGACTTCGGTCCTGCCGCGCCTCTCCTCGGCCGCGGGCCTGTCCTGAGCCCCGCCCGGCTCTCGCCCGGCCCCAGCCCTGCTGTCGCGGGGACACTCGGGTGCCGAACGGCCGCGCGGCCCCTAGCCCAGGCCTGGGATCACGCAGCTCTGCCCCCGGCCTGCGCGGCTCACTCCCGGGGCGCCTTCGGGTTTCACCCTGTTAGCCACAGCCCTCGCAGTAGCCCCTGCGTGGTTGCGGGGCATAGCGCGTGGGCCGAGCCTGTGCCGCCCTTAGCCCTTGAGCACATCATCGTGTGCGCGCAGGACCCGGGGCTCCAGCCGGCCGGCCCCTGTCGAGGTGGGGTCACCATTGCCTGAACCTTCGGATGGAGACAGGACGGCGGACCACGTTTGGACCATCCCCAGCCAGGGGGTGGGGCAGGGAGGGGCGGGACCAGCTGGGGAGCCGGTTTGGGGGTCTCAGTAGGCAGAGAGGAGAGGCGTCCCCCAGGAGACACCGGGGAGACACTGAAGGTCTGATTTGGGGTCCCCTCCCACAGCAAGCGCTTCAGACCGGAGCGGGAGCTCGAGGAAATGTGAGAGTGTTTCATCACCTTAGAGCAGCTTTGGGGTCCGCCTAGGCTGAGGGGAAGGCGGATGGAGGCCCCCACGGCCCCCCACGGCCTCCAGCCGCCAGGGCCGGAGCTGCTTTCACACACGGGGGCCCCGCGTCCGGTGTAGTCTGGGGCTCACGTGAGCGAGCAGGAGCAGCGAGCAAGGAAATCTGGGCGACTGCGGGGACCTCGGTGCCCACCGGGCATGGGCTCCTGGTGCCCGACGCCCGGGCTGTGCCTTCCCGAGGGAGCCGGCGCTCCCGTGAATCCACAGCCGCGGAATCACGTCTGCTTTGGAAGGACACTGGGGCTCCCGAGAACCCTCCCTAGGGCCCCCAGCAGCAGCTGGCGACCCGCACCCTGAACACCCTGAACACCCTGAACACCCAGGGCCCGTGGGCGCCAGCTGCGGCCCCGCATCGCCGAGCTCCTTGAGTCCCGCGAGCGCCCGGCGTGGGTGCCCAGCCCCCCGCCCGGCCGGCGCCCCAGCCCTGCGCGGGCCTCCCGCCTCGCCCGCGGGCCGATAGGGGACGGTCCTGGCCCGCGCTCTCCCCGCCCCCCGCGCCCGCCCCGCGCCCGCCCCCAGGATCTCGCGCTCAGCCCGGGCCCTCCGCCCCCAGCCCGGAGCCGAATTCCAGGCCCCTCGCCCGGGCCCCGAGGGCCGGTTGCCATGGACACCGCACACGTGGCGGGACCTCGGCGGCGGGTGGGGCCGCCCCTGCTCGAGAACCACTTCCTGGGGCTGGTTTTCTGGGGCCCCGTCCCGCGGCCTCTCCCCCGCCCCTCTCCTCGGCCTCCCTCCCCCGCGGGCTCCGCCTCGGCCTCCGGGCCTCCCGGGACGCCCCGTGGACCCGGCGGACCCCAGCGCGCCCAGCGCCCCCGGCGCCCCCGGCCGCCCCCAGCGCCCCCGGCGCCCCAGGCCCCCCAGCCGCCCCCAGCGCCCCCCGCCGCCCCCAGGCGCCCCCGCCGCCCCCGCCGCCCCCAGGCACCCCCCGCCGCCCCCCGCCGCCCCCAGCGCCCCCAGCCGCCCCCCCGCCGCCCCCGCCGCCCCCCGCCGCCCCCCGCCGCCCCCGCGCCCCCGGCCCCCCCAGCCGCCCCCAGCCGCCCCCAGCCTCCCCAGCGCCCCCAGCGCCCCCAGCCGCCCCCAGCCGCCCCCGGCGCCCCCAGCGCCCCCAGCGCCCCCAGCGCCCCAGCCGCCCCCACCGCCCCCACCGCCCCCCAGCCGCCCCAGCGCCCCCAGCGCCTCCAGCCGCCCCCGCCGCTGCGCGAGGGCGTTAGGGCGCCCCTGCCTCGGGCCCGGGGGAGGAAGGCGCTGCCCGCGGCCCCCGAGGGCGCTGCCCCAAGGACTCCCGGCCGCTGCCCGTCTTCCCTCTTCCCGCAGGCGGCCTTGGCCCCCGGACGGGACGGACGAGCAGGAGCCCCGGCTCGGCTCTGCGCCCCGGGGCGCCCTCCCGCCGCCCTCCCGCGCTGCTCCCATTGACTTAAGCGGTGAAGGCGAGCGGCGGCCGGGCCCGCGCCCCGGGAAGGCCCCTCGCCAGGCCCAGCGGGCAGCTGTCCTCCCGCGGCCGCCCCGGCCAGGCCCGGCGACGCCTCCCCGGGCGGGGCAGCCACAAGCTGCCCAGTCCCGGCCGGTGCAGCCGAGCGTGGACGCCAGGCCCGACCCGCAGCCGCCGCCTCTCGGGGCGCGGAAGCGCCTGAGCACGCGCTGCTCCTCGCAGGGCGACGGCCGAGCCGCGGGGCGCCCTGGCAGCAGCAGCCCCGCGGGCACAGTGGCTGCTGCAAGGGGAGGGCTTCGGGTGTCCCCACCCACACGAGGGCCGCTTGGCCCTGAGCCCCAAAAGCAAAACTCTGCAGGCAGATCCGCTCCGGCCAGGGAGCACTGGGGGACCCCAGTGCTTCTGTCGTGGGGGTCGCTGGGCCGTGAGGGCTGTGGGAACGCAGGGCGGCAGGGCTGCAGGGGCTTCGCTGGGGCCCAGCGGGTGACGTCAGGGCTGACACAGGCCCCTGCCCGAGTGGGCCCCTGCCCCACCCTGGAGAGGGGTGGACAGCGAGAGACCACCCCGTGACCCCCAGGGCCCCGCAGCCACAGAAAGTGGGGAGGGGAGGGAGGGGGCTGAGGACGCCCAGGCATGCGGGGACAGCAGCTGTGTCCCCGGGGCCCCACCCCGCCGGCCCTGGCGAGACCCACAGGAAGGGGGACCAGGCGAGAGCCTGGACGCCCCAGGCACGGGCAGGGGACGTGGCTCTGTGACCCGGTCACCGAACTTCGTTGGCCCCGGCCGCGTGAGGAAAGCGCAGTGTCAGCGCTGAGCGGCGGCCAGGCAGCTGCGCTGGACCCTGGACGAGCCTGGCCGCTGGGGAGGTGCTGGACGCCTGGAAGGGGGGCGGCCTGGGCCTCCCGCTGACCCCTTCTTGGCTCTCTGTGGTCAGCGATGCTGTTCCCGCCACAGTGGCCGCACCCCCTGCCCAAGGCTGGGCCTACCCCGTGGCCGCAGCGGCGTCTCAGGTCCGACCTGTGTCCCCTGGAAGTGACGGCCGGAGGGGCCGGTGTCCTCGCCCTCTGCTGCCCCTGTGGTGCCCGCCTCCCTGCCGGGCTGGGGGATGGTGCCCTCGGGGGAGGAGGGCAGGAAGCGGTCTCCTGTACTGACCCCAGGCCACACGTACCCAGCGCGCCCTCAGGAAAGCAGTGGACCCCAAGAGCAGCCTCCTTCGCCCCCTGCACCCCTCAGGCCCCCCGGGGAAGGCAGGAGCCCGCGGAGCAGTGATGCAGGGCCAAAGCTCCTTCTCTGGGATCCCAGCGTGAGCCCCTCAAGTGCCCCTCCCAGAGCAGCCAGTGGCCTTTCCCTGGCGGCCCCAGCGCCCATCCCGTCCCCACCAAGCCTTGCCCCACCTCCGGCCCAGCGCCCATTGTTGGCCTGGCTGTGCTCGGGCACGTTCTGGACCGCCCGTCCCGCAGACCAAAAAGCCACCTCCTCCCAGCAGCCCTCCTGGACCACCCCGCAGAATACCATGCTCTGCTGCCTGGACCTGACTTGAGGAGCAAGTCCCCCCCACCGCAAGCAGCCCAGAGGGTGATGTCCTGCACAGAACTCCGCCTGAAGGGTCCTTGCCAAGTCCCCATGCTGGGGCTGGGGAGCTGTCCCCACTGGGTCCGGCTCCTTCCAGCAGACGCTCGGAGACCCCAGGCAGCCCCTCTCCCACTCCCCCCACCGCTGCCCCCCACTGCACTCCGGCTTTTCCCAGTGGAAGTGGGACTCAGGCCTCTCAGGCAAAGTGTCAGCCCTGGGCGAGCCACCTTCCACCCGTCTCTTACTGTAGAAAAACACACAGCCCGTCACCCAGCTGTGCCCGTGTCCAGCGGTCAGTAGTTCCCCGGCAGCAGACACCCAAAGCCTGTGCAGCCTCCACCCTCCATTCCCTGAACCTGAAACTCTCTTCCTCATGGGCAGCCTGTTCCTGGCCCCAACCCCAGCCTGTCTTCCCGCCCTTTGGGTCTGGGTCCGCCTTGTGAGAGTGATGGGTGCACTTTCCTCGAGGCCCACGCGCATTGGAGTGTGTGTGGGGTTGCCTTCCTTTTCAGGGCTGTATAGTATTCCGCTGGGGTTGCCCCACAGTAATTGCTGGCACTTCCTCCCCTGGCTGCTGTGAGTTATGCCATGAGCATGGGGTGCGGCACTCTCAGAACCCCCATTCGGTTCTGTTGGGGACACCCAGAGGAGGAGCTCCTCGCCTCCTCACAGCAAGGTCTCTGTTCAAGTCTGTTTTTATTGTTAATATTTTTTGTGATATTTTTAAAAGATTAATTTATTTATACAAGCACTGGGGTTCAGACCAGAGGCACGGGAGGGTGAGAGGATTCACCAGAGACAGAGCGGGGAACAGAACAGGCAGACAGACCGAAGACTGCTGAGGGGAGCAGCAGGTGAGACAGGAGAGGTCTGCCGTGACATGTGGGCATCTCCCCGGCCAGCCAAGATCGAACCCGCGCTGCAGAGGCTGCTGACAGCTTCACAGTGCTGCACTCAACCCTTTAGGCCACCGGGGAGGCCCTATTTTTTGATATTTTAAAGTATAATTGTACATGTCGTACAACAGGATGGTTTGAGGGGCCGTCACAGGGAAGTATTAGGCAGTCAAGCTGGGCGAGCCCTTTCTGCGGCTGCTCTGTGTGCGGGTGTCCATCCTACTAGTCAGCATCAGCTGCCCGTGCCATCTCTGGGTTTATTCCTCCTACATATTGGCAACTTTGTGCCCTTTGACCAACACCTCCCTGTGTCCCACCCTTGGTCCTGGCACCCAGTGCAGCTCACTTTTTTGATTCCACATATAAGTGCGACCAAGTGGGTCTTCCTGTCTGTGTCTGGTGTATTTCATTTGGAACGATGCCCCCCAGATTCACCACATAGCCACAGATGGCAGCAGGTCCTTCTTTTTCAGGGTTGCATAATATTTCACTGCATCTCCATCCCACAACTGCCCTATCCACTCGTCCATCTGTGGACACCTGGGTTGTTCCATTCTTTTGCCTGTTTCTAACAGCCACTGGTGCTTTCCTTTGCGCCCCACCATGGATTTTCCAGGGAAGGAAGCCGAAGCCAGAGAGCTTGAGTGACCTGACTGAGAACACACAGCTGTTAACTGGAAGAGCCAGAACAGAGGATCCTGGGTAGGCTCACGGGCGAGGAGACAGCGAGCCACTCTCAGTCTTTTGGTTTTTTTTTTTAAGATTCGTTTATTTATGCATACAGGAGCTGGGGTACAGGTCAGAGGTGGGGGGGGGTTGAGAGGATTCACCAGAGGCAGAGTGGGGAGCAAAACAGGCGGGTCCACTGAAATCCACTGCTGAGGGGAGCAGCGGGAAGGCAGGAGAGGTCTGCTGTGCCATGTGGGTCGCTCCCTGGCGGGGGATTGAACTCGTGCTGCAGAGGCTGCGATTGCTTCATAGTGCGTTGCTTAACTCCTTGCACCACCCGGGAGGCCCGTCCCTCACCGTGTTGGATGGAGCTCTCAGAACATGCCGTCACTCCGTGCTCTAGAAAGCCCCAGAGCTCCTGCCGTCCTGGGGGCCAGGGTCTCCCAGTGCTTTGTGCCCCCCTAAGCTGGTGCTGCCCCCCCCCCGGCCCTGGATGCCCGTCCCTCAGCTGTCCCCCTTCCCCACCACCTTAGCCCAGCACCTCGGCCTCCAGGGAATCGCCCAGGCCGCCCTCCACAGACACCACTCTCCCCACAGCGCTGACGCCCCGTGAGCCAGGCTGGTGGGCCCCCGGGTCAGGAGGGGCGCCTTGGCCCCCCCACTTCTCCACGAGGCCCAGGACGGCTCTCGCCCGGCCCACCCAAGACAGCCCACATACTTGCCGAGTGAAATAAGGACGAGAACAAAAGCAACATCTGGGAAAGGACGCGGGTTTTTTCCAGTTGGCCTTGGCAGCCGAGAAGGGGCCTCGTCTCCTCCCGGGAGCGCAGCGCTCGCTGCGTGGGCTCGGGCCGCCTCGCCTGTTCCCGGAGAAACTGGGCCGTGTCAGGATGAGGAGAGGGCCCCCTGCGGGCGAGGGCAGCGGCCTTGGAGTCTAGGGGTGGCCCTGGTTTGGCGGGCCCAGAGCCGGCGTGCAGGCTCTGACCTCCCCCCAGCGGGCCGCACGCAGCCCCAGGGCCGTCCCCCGCAGGGCCCAGGGCCTGAGCTGCTCCCCTACAGCGGGGACCCCCGCCCCAGGCTGTGAGCACCGGGGTGGAGCCGCCCGGCGGCCACGCGGAGGGGGAACATGAGGCGGGGCCGTCGGGGGAGCCGCTCCGGGGCTCAGGTGCGAGGGCTCCGCGCGGGTCGCCCTGGCCTCGGCCTGGCCGGACGTGTGCCCGCCAGGGGCGCCTCGGAGGGGCCGCGTGGGCGCTTGTGAAGCCAGCGAGGCCCTGCATGGGTGCGAAGCTCAAGTGCGGGGCCTGGGGGCGCAGACCCGCGAGCGCGGTGGTGTTCTGGAGTGTTCTGGAGCGGCGCTTCCCGCAGCCTGGCGTGAGGGCGGAAGCACCGCGGGGTCCCGCTCCCACAGAGACGCGCCCGCCCGGGCCCTGCGGGGCCCCCGGCTCCCAGCCCTCCACGACCGCGGGGATTTTCTCGTGTTTCCTTGAGACTCGTTCTGTCCTACTCGGCCCTGGGGGCGCGCAGTGTTCCCCCCATTCCAGGGTCTCCCCAAAGCCCGCTGAGCGGCCCGAGTTTGGAGCCGTTGTGTGTGTTTGAGCCGCCACAGCGGGCGGCCCGACGGCTGCGAGGGAGGCCGGGGTCACCCCCCAGCCCGTCTGGCTTTCCAGGGGCGCCTCTCCCGGCCGCCTCGGGCCTGGTTATCTCCGGTGATGGGCGGCCGCGGGGGGCCGCGGGTCGAGGCCGCAGCCAGCGCAGCTGCTGGGGGATTAGCCAGGGAAAGCTGATCCCTGACGAACGCCTCAGGTATGTCCGCCCAGGGGCCCGGCTGCGTGAGGAACTCGCTGGCTCCACGGCGGGAGAACGCCGCCGGCCGGGCCTGGGGGAGCCCACGAACCCAGCGGCCGCGGCCCGGACCCGCCCCAGGAGCAGGGCGGGGGGCGGCCCGCTAATGGTGGGGGGGGGCGCACAAGGCCCCGCGGGGTCTCGGGGCTGCCCCGGACAGGGCCCTGCCCTTCGTCCTGCACCGGCCAGGGCGGGGTGCCCTGCAGGGCAAGCGGGGGTCTGGGCTCCCGGGGAGGAGCCTGGAGGCCCGACGGCGCCAAAGATGCATCAGGGGCGCGTCCTTCTCCCCGGGACATAACGCGGGACGGGCGTCCAGGGACGGGCGTCGGAGCTGCAGGCGACGCGACCCCACAGCCTGCTGAGCTCAGGGGCCCAGGCGGGGGCGCCGGGCAGGGCCGCGGGCGCGGAAAGCCTGAACATGTGCAGGAGGGGGTGAGACGGCCGAGTGCTCCCCGGCCCGGGGGCCGCCCCCAGAACCCCCCCTCTGTGTGTGAAGCCAGCCCCCGCGACAGCGCCCCGTGCCATCTCCCCAAAGACGAGGGCCCCGGCCCAGAGCTGGACCGGACCCGACCCCCCCGACGGTTGCCATTCTGGTCCCCACGGGCAGGCCAAGGAGCGCAGAGTGGGGCCCAACGCCCCACCCCCGGGCAGGGAGGGAGGGGAGGCCAGGGCTGGGCACAGCCTAAGCGCCCCAGGAGGGCGCGCGCCGGGAACACTGCCCGGCCGGGCAAAGGCGGGCGCTGCCCCGCGCCCCACCCGCCGCCGCAGACGGAGGCAGCTGCCGCCCGCGCGCGGGCTCGGAGTCCCCGACGCCGACAAACGACGGGACAACAGGATAAGCGGGGCCCCGACGCTGTGGCCACGGGGGCGCGGGGGGCTCTGCCGGGCGGGGCCGGGGCGGGATCACCCCCTCAGCGCGCTCCGCGAGCACGAGGCCGACCGCGAAGCCCGCGCCGCGCTCCGCGCGCGCCCCTGCTGGCCAGCGCCGGGGCTGAGCGTCCAGCCCGCCGCCCGCAGGGCGAGGGGCCGCGCCCGGGTCCCGGCGTCCCGCGGCGCCCCCGCCTGGCGTCCTGAAGGCTCGGGATGAGGGGCGCTGCCCTCTGGCCCCGCCGCGCTCTGCGCGCGCCCTTCTCCCCTCTCTGGCCTGGACGGCGGTGGGCGCGGCTCCCCGCGCCCCTGCAGCTGAGCGTGGGCGTCCCCAGCTTCCCGGTGCCCATTTCACCCTGATGCGCCCGAGGAGACGGAGGCAGCGGGCGGTCACTGAGTGGCCCTGGGGGGGCAGCTCAGGCCCCCCGACTCAGCCCAGACACACCACTGTGGGCGAGGTGCGTGTGCGCCCCCCTCCGCCTCCAGTGCAGCCCCGGGTGGGGGGGTCTCAGTGCGCTTGCCAGAGGGCGGGGGAAGGCAGGGACGGGGCACCACCAGCCAGCGAGACGCAGTGCAGCTGGAGGGGCGGCTCCAGGATCTGCCGTGCGTGGTGAATGTCCCCTTCTTTGCACTGCGAACAGTCCTCCCGCCAGAGAGGGGTGCGAAAAAGTGGGAGCCAGGGTTATAATGGTCACCCCATCCCTCTTAGAAGATCCAGTATGAGATTGTGGGGTAACAGGAAAGCACAAGTCTACCATCCACCTTCCTCCATCCGTCATCATCCTCCATCCACCACCTGTCATGCTCCATCCATCCTCCATCCATCCATCATCCTCCATCCATCATCCACCATCCATCATCCACCACCCATCATCCTCCATCCATCCTCCATCCATCCATCATCCACCACCCATCATCTTCCATCCATCCTCCATCCGTCCATCATCCACCATCCATCATCCACCATCCATCATCCATCCATCCTCCATCCATCCATCATCCACATCCATCATCCTCCATCCATCATCTCCTATCCATCCATCCACCATCCTCCATCCATCCATCATCCACCACCCATCATCCTCCATCCATCCTCCATCCATCCTCCATCCATCTATCATCCACCACCCATCATCCTCCATCCATCCTCCACCCATCCATCATCCTCCATCCACCATCTTCCATCCACCACCCATCATCCTCCATCCATCGTCCTCCATCCACCATCTCCCATCCATCCATCCATCCGTCATCCTCCATCCAATCTCCACCCAAACTCCATCCACCATCATCCAGCCATCCTCCATCCACCCTCCAGCTACCCATGTGAGTCAGGTTATCTGTGTTGTGGACCTACTGTGTGCTAAGCACTGTTGAAGGCACTGAGACTCCAGAGGTAAGGTATACACAGCTGGTACTGACCAGGGAAGGACAACATTCCTGCAAACAAAGAGCGAGATTGCACACACGAACGCGGAGAAGACAAGGCAGCACTGGCCAGTGGGCAGTGGCAGGTCCTCGACCGGCCATCTGGCCGGGGGCCAGGAGGAAGCATGGCCATGCTGGCCGCCAGGGCTCCCAGCCAGCCGCACAGCTTCGCTCTGTGGAGCAGGTTCAGAGTGGAGGCAGGAGCCGCTGCCCGGAGGCCCTCTCCTCCGCAGGCCCCAGACCTCTCAGGGCAGGGAGTGGATGCCGGCTCTGAGGCTGCGGTCTAGGGGGGCCATGAAATTCCAGGCCCGGCCCCTCAGCTCCTCCTGGCCCCTCCTCTTCCTCGGCTACCTTTTCCATGGCAACGGGAGTCTCAGCGAGTGACTGCCCCGGAGGCGAACACCCAAGGCTCCGGCTGAGTCTCTGGAGACTGACCTGGAGGAGGGTCTCCGCGTCAGCCCCGCGCGGGCCTATTTCACACCCACGGGGCTCAGCCCCGTGCCCTGCAGAGACTCCCCCCACTGCCCCCCCCCATGCCAGGGCAGGCGGCACCCCAGAGAGCCCCAGCCCGATGGCTACAAGTTCCTGCCTTTTTAAAGCGCATTGTGACAGGACCCGTGCCTTTGAGCTCTGAGCTTCAGCGGGAAGTCTGCTTGGAGCCCCGTCCCCCCACCGCCCCTGCAGTCCCCACCTCAGAGAAGCTCATTCTCAGTTCGTGCTCCTCAGCCTCCCCTTTATTTTCTAGCTGAATAGTGGGGCTCGCACCCACGCTCTTCAGCCTGCTGCTGTCCGCTGAGCGCGAGGAGAGCGTCGCTTCTCCCAAAGAGTTTAAAACGTCACCTGAACCCGATGTCTGTGGTGACCGTGGGACTCAGGGCGGCGGCCTGGCCTCGGCCTGTCTCCTCAGCTCTGGAAGGGGGGTTGTGGGGAGCACGGGCGGTTAACACCTGCAAATGCCACCTCCCGGGGCACACGTACACCCTATATACAGCAGATAAACCGGGAGACCAGGCCACCTGGCCTGTCAGCCGCTCCCCACCGCCCACAGGCCAGAGCGTCCCTTACGGCCAGCTGGAGCTCACCTCACGCTTCCTTACACAGAGGGGCTGCCCCGTCACCTGCACCTCTGCACACGGGAGGGGCGCCCCGAGCCACAGCTTCCTGGGCGGAATTGCTCTGGTCAGGGATACCGGGGCAGACGCTGCGCTGCTAACCCAGAGCGCCTGCCGGAAGGCGACCCACCCGATGTGGACGGAGCTGGGGGTGGCACACAGCCTTCCAGCTTCTGGGGAAGTCAGAACACCTACGGCTGCCCATTTCAGCAAAGCCCTCTCTGCTTGGCTGCAGTCCCCACTACTCCCCATTATCCCAATGCGGGAAATTGAGTGGAAGTGAGGTCAGGGAGCAGGCCACGCGGGTCGGGGCGGGGGAAGGCTCTTTGCCCTCGTAGGTCTGGAGGGCAGCCCAGGAATCTGCATTTTCAACCATTCATTCCCACTCACCCCCTTCCCGTACAGGTGAATTGTGTCATAAAAAGTTTTCTGGCTCTGCGGCCTCCCTTGTGGCGCAGGGGTTAAGTCTCAGCACTATGAAGCAATCCGCAGCCTCTGCAGCCAAGTTCAATCCCCAGCCAGCCAGGGAGCTACCCACAGGGCGCAGCAGACCTCTCCTGTTTCCCCGCTGCTCCCCTCGGCAGTGGATTTCAGTCAGTCTGCCTGTTCTGCTCCCCACTCTATCTCTAGTGAGTCCTCTCACCCCCGCACCTTTGGCCTGCACCCCAGCTCTTGTATGCATAAATTAATAAATCTTAAAAATAAATAAATAAAACCACAGTCCCGTGCAATCAAAAAAACAGCAACAAGAAATGAATGACCAAAACGACAGGACGCCAGCTCTTGGCGTGACACAGCAGCACGGAGCCCTGCGGATTCCAGCGGTGGGGGTGAGACCCTCTCCAAGGACAGCCTGCGCCCCAAGCCTTCTCGGTGCCGTCGCGGGAGAACCCGCCGCCAGGCTGATCCCCAAGACGCGCCATCCGGCCACCCGCACCCCGCGGCTCGGGCAGCGGTCGTGGCTGTGGGTGAGCGTTCCCGCCCTGCGCGCCTGAGAACGCCCAGCGACTCCCCGCGACCCCCGAACACGCCCGGGAACGCCGGGCTCCGCCCGTCCAGTCCCGCGCCTGCCTGGCCGCTGCTTCCCCGCGGCCGCTGGGTGGTGCTGGGCGCCCGGAGCACAGCGGCCTGGCGCCGCCCTAGCAGGAGGGCCGGCCCCGGAGCCCCGGGGTCATCGCGGGCGGACCTGGACCCCGCGGGGCGCTGGCGCCCGACGGGAAACAAAGACGCTTCAGACGCCGAGACCCGCGGGGCCAGGAGGCCGGGGCCAGCGCCTCGCGTCCCGCCGTCGGGGGTGGGGGGTGGGGGGGCTCCGGACCACGTGTCCCTGGGGCCGCGGCTGTGGCTCGGCGGCCATCTACCCCTGGACCTCTGAGGCGCTGCGGGAAGGCGACTGCCTCGCGCGTCCTGGGGGGACCGGTCAGGATTCTCCCCCAGGAGCGAGGGACACGGGCCTTAGCGGGAAGCAGGCGCTCGCTCTGGGGAGACGCCGCCCCAAGCCCGGGGGCCGGGATGGGGCGTTCTCCACGGAAGGGCGCCCCTGGTGCCGAGGGACCCGCAAGGGCGGCTCCGGACCGTCACAGCGGCCGCCGGGGTGCGAGCACCTGAGCCCCCGGCCCAGGCAGAGGGGCGCCGGCAACAGGGCCCGGAGGCTCCGGGAACGCGGGCACCCCGGCCTCGCGCCGGGCGGTCTTGGCGGGACTGTGCCAGCCGCTGGTTGTGGGCGACTTTAATCGCATCACTTTTGTGCCCTGAATGCCCGCCTGCCCGCGAGCCTGTTTGTAAACTCAGGAGAATAGAGTAAAATAGAATAGGGATAGATCTATAAATTTATGTGATTTCAAAGTTAAAGAAAAGTTCCAAGAACAGCACAAAGGAATCTTATATACCTTCCCCACAGAATTATGGATTAGTATTTAGTTACATTGGCTTTATCATTTTTTTTTTAAAGATTTATTTATTTATTTATTTATTTATACACGCACTGGGTACAGTCAGAAGCGCGGGAGGGTGAGAATTCACCAGAGCCAGAGCAGGGAGCAGAACAGGCAGACTGATGAAATACACTGCTGAGGGGAGCAGCGGGCGGCAGGAGAGGTCTGCGCGCCATATAGGCCCCTCGCCTGGGGGCCGGGGACCGAACCGGCGCTGCAGAGGCTGCGGGCAGCTTCGCAACCCAGCGCTCAACCGCTGCACCACTGGGGAGGCCCGGCTTTATCACTTTTATCCTCACTCCCTCCCACATTCCATCTGCCAATTTTGTATTTTTCTGATTTGAGAACTTCACATTTCACGTCTTTCCTAAATTTTTTTTAAAGATTTTTTTTTATACAAGAATTGGGGTACAGGCCAGAGGCACGAGATGAGAGGATTCACCAGAGACAGAAGGAAACAGAACAGGCAGACGGACCTTAGTACACTGCTGAGGGGAGCAGTGGGCGAGGCAGGAGAGGTCTGCTGCGCTGTGTGGGAATCTCCCTGGCCGGCTGGGAAGAACCGGCGCTGCAGAGGCTACAGACAGCTTCACAGGGCTGCGCTCAACCCGCTGAGCCACTGGGGAGGCCCCTTTCCTAAATATTTCTTCCCATATTCTGAGAAAATGCTCTTTCACCATCAGAAGACAATTTCCCATATCAGAGAATTTATTTCAGTACGTGGTTGATGAAAAGAAATGAACAAAGTCACGTTAGATGTTCTACAACCCACCAAGAGGTTTATTACACTCATCATGTATATTTCATGTCAGGACACATCATGATGATAGCCTGATACCAGATTTTACCCAGCTAGGAAAAAGAATTTTTTTTTTTTTACTGTCTTTATTTGTAGATTTAAGTATGACTGTAAGGGGGGGGGAATCCCCAAGAAAGGGGGACGTTCCAGGTTGACTGCCCCACCGAAGAAAGGGTGGAACTGAGCAGGGAGGAGACGCTGGGGAGGAGTCTGGAGAAGGGAAGGACCGGGAGAAAGGAGGCCTGGAGGAGGCGGAGCCTCTTAACACTTGAGGAAACTACCAGTGCTTCTGGGCCTGGGACTTGGTGTTGCCTCAGGCAACACCACACTGACAAAGACTCGGGAGTCGTGGAGCAGACTGCACAAGGCAGGATGCTGCTGAGAGCAAGATTCTGGCCGTTTTTATTGATAGAATATTCATGGAGCATCAGCTACGTGCGTTCGGAGGACAAGGGGAAAAGGATGGTGACACTCAGGAATGTTCTCTAGGGCTTGGGGGGACTTGAGGCTGCTAAGCATGTTATTAGCTTGATGACCAAGTGTTGTCATCAAGACTAGACCCCAGACCCCTGGCCACAGTCTAAATCTCATCAACAAGGCATTCCACTGATCAGCTTCTGGGGTGCCTTGTCATACATCGGTCCTCAGCCCCCGGGGCAATCCCGGTCACACCTCATGATGTATGAGTTGGGGGTAAGTTTATGCATCTGTCCTCAGCCTCCCGGGAGTTTCCGGTCATACCTCCTGATGCACACCCCTCCCAGAGTGATCAAGCTTTCTGCTCGTGATGTGAAAGGCTCCTTGTAAGGTTTGGCTCCTATGACTGTGACTGGACGGTTCTGACTTTTGTACAGGAATGCAGAAGTGCAGAATGGTGGCTCAGCCGCTTAAGTCTAGCAGCCACGTAAGTCTCCAGACCCACACTTGGGGGACCTGGAAGAAGATACTCGACACAGACGTGGGCGACAGGGGCCGCGTTGACCTTGACCTTGCTCGTCTGGCCCCAGCAGTGCCGCCGCCCCCTGCCCCTCTCCTCCGGGTCCCACCGGGGCAGCTTCCGGCCACAGGGGCCCAGCTTTGGGCCAGGCCCGTGTGGCTGGGCGTTTGCCCAATGGGGACGGGGAGCGCCAGGGGCTTGATTTGGAGACTCTGCTCCCCCTTCTCTGAGTCGCGCTGATGTGTCAGAGTCCCTCCGTGGACGGGCAGGTCTGGGGGCGCTGCCCCCTCAGCACCGCGGGCCTGAGGGTCCTTGTGACGCATCTTCACGCGACGGGTCGTGCGGGCGCCCTGCCCCCACCCCCGCCGCCGTCCACCCTCGGCCCCGCTGGCCTCGGCTCAAGTCTGGGAACGACGGTTCCAACGCCGCCCAGAACCGGCGGCCACGCTGGGGCCGGGGCTGCGGACTCCCAGGCGCTCCCCTGGGCCCGCGCCCGCCCGGCCGCCCGAGGACGGGCCGGAGCGCGCGCAAAGGACGACGGGGCCCACGCGACGCCCGCGACGCCACAGGCGGGCGGACCCGGGTCGAAAAAGGCGCGAGAGAGCGCGGCGTGACGTGCGGGGCGGGACTTCCGGCGGGGACTACATTACCCGGCGGGCAGCGCGTGGCGTGACGTCACGCCTGCCGGCGCGGGGCGGGGCTTCCGGGCCCGCGGACGCCGACGCCATTTGCCCCGCCTGGTCCGGGGCGGGCGGGCGGGCCGCGCAGGGCTGGGCGAGCGGGCGGGCGGCGGGAGACGCGCGCGCCCTGGTCCGCGAGCGCCGGCCCGTCCCCGGCGGCGGCCGGCCCGGGGCGCCTGCGCGCGAGGACGCCGCGGCTCGGAGCGCACGGCCGGGCGCCCCTCCTCGTCGCCACGATGGCGGCCCCGCTGGCCGGCCGCTCGCGGGTGAGTGGACGCGCGCGGGTCGCCGTTGCCGCGGCCTGTGCCGCCCGTGGGCGGGGCCGGGCCCGACGGGCCTCAGCGTGCGGGGCGGCGCGCCCGGGGCTGCCGTTGTCCTCGCCCCCGCGCGGTGTCCGGCGGGCCCGGGTGGAGGGACGCGGGCGGGGCGGCCGGGGTGGCCGCTGGACGTGGCCCGGGGCGGGGGCGAGCGCCCACCGGGCCGGGCGGACACTGGGCGGGGCCGGGGCCGCCCTCAGGCGCAGGTGCGGTCGGGACCCAGCAAGGGGACGGGCGCCCGGGAGGCCTGGGGCAGAGCGAGGGCCGAGGGGCCCGGGTGCCGGGGCCGGAGGTGCTGGCGGGGCTCCTCCCCCGTGTCCACCGGCGTGTTTTCAGGGGCGACCCGGATGCATTTACCAGCGGAGCGGAGCTCCCGGCTCGACCGAGGTCACTCTCCCCGCTCCGTGCTGGAACAAGCCGTGTCAGGTCGTGCCCGGGCTCGTGAGGCTGAGCAGTCGGTGGCCCCCGCCGCCACCACCCCTCCGCCGGCCCGTGGACGTGATGAGGCGTTGCCCGGAGAGGGAGAGGGATTAGGCCCCTGAGCTCAGGTGCTGTCATTTCTCTCACTCGGCTGTCGTTGAAGTAGCAGCTACCCTACCCTGTGCTGACCCGGGAGCCAAGGCTCAGAAAGGAAGTGTCGGGTTTCGAGAGTTTGGATGCAAAACGTGGGAGACTGGCTTAAGAGCTGGGGCCTGTTAGTCGCTTTAACCAGGAGGTGAAGCCTGAGCATGGGGCAGGCACGTAGCAGCACCGCTGAGGCTCAGGTACTGCTGTCTTTACCGCGGTCAGTGTCATGGTCACTCCTGCTTCGCGCTGGTGTCCTGGAGACCTTGTCTGCTCTCACAGCCCACATGTTTCCCCATCATTTCCTGTGACTGTCCATTGCCTACCCCGTAGGAGGCTTCTTCCTCTTCCATTAGTGTGTTATGTCCAAAGCAGCATCCACCTTCCCTTGAGCCTCCCCCAGAGCTTGACCCTCAAGTGGTGCTCGCTGATGAGGCGCTTGGTCTCTGCACCTCCATCGTGGATGACGAGACCAGCTGGGATCCCACCCACACGGCCAACACGTCTACTTGTGTTTCACTCTGCAGGTGTCTGTGACCTTCGATGACGTGGCCGTGACTTTTACCCAAGAGGAGTGGGCGCAGCTGGACCCGGCCCACAGGACCCTGTACCAGGAGGTGATGCTGGAAAACTGCAGGCTCCTGCTGTCCCTGGGTAAGGCGTCCCCTCTCCACCATGTGGGAGGCGGTGAGTTCCTTCCTTCACATTCTGACTCCATCCTGGCTGCTCAGGAAGGCCTCTGGGGCCCTCCCTTCCTCGTCCCCAGAATTTTAGTCACTCCATAGACTTCCCTCAGGAGAAGAGGATTGGCCAAGTCTTAGGCTCAGGCAGATGCCCCAGTGTGGGTCAGGACTCAGGCAGGCCCCTCTTCTGTTTAAAGGAGTGACTCTAGGGCCTCCCTGGTGGCGCAGCGGTTGAGCGCTGGGTTGCGAAGCTGCCCGCGGCCTCTGCGGCGCTGGTTCGATCCCTGGCTGCTCCCCGGCCACCGGAGGAGGGTCCCACGTGGCGCGCAGACCTCTCCTGCCGCCCGCTGCTCCCCTCAGCAGTGTCCTTCGGTCCTTCTGCCTGCTCTGCTCCCCGCTCTGTCTCTGGTGAATTCTCTCACCCTCCCGTGCTTCTGACTGTACCCAGTGCATGTATAAACAAAACAAACAAACAAACAAATAAATAAATAAAAAACATGCCTCTATTTAAAAAAAATAAAAAATAAAATAAAGGAGTGACTCTGGAACAGCCGGATAGAAGAGCTGCCATGGCGGGCTGGGTGTGTAGGAAGGGGTGTGGCCTTGAGGCCCGCCCTCGTCCCAGCACCACCATGAGCACACCAGCCTGGCAGCTGAGCCGCTGTGGTTAGGGAGTTTGGGCTGAAGCTTCCATGGGTGGGTGTAGTTGATGACTCCAGGGGACGTTGATGACTCCAGGGGCTGGCAGTCTCCAGTCTCTGCTCTCCATGGAGATCAGCAGGCGTGGCTGAAAGTTTCAATCCTTTAATCCTGGTTCGTTCCCTGGCAACCATCCTCTCCTTATAGGTTTTCCAAAATTTACTTGTTAACGTAAACTCAAGCTGTTGGAGTTTCTCACCGTGATTAGGAAAAAACAACATTTTCACCTTTGTGTTTTCTAAGGTGTCTGGGTCCACAGCCAGGGAAGGATGTTCCTTTGCTCTTGTCACTTAGGAATTTGCCAGAAATAGGGGCAAAACCAGATATCACAGCGTTACCGTGTGGTGACAGTCTGAGTAGCTAGCAGATGAAAAGCTGAGGTAAGAACGGCTTTGGGGAGTGGGTGATCCCCAGAGATCCGAGGGTTGGCTGATAAGAGTCAGGCTCCTTCTGGGGAAAGGAGTGATCCCCGCTACTTTCTACAGTGGCGTAGATGATGGTGATCTCTTAGGGCAACTCTTGGCAGACATCAGGGATATATCAGGGTCACAGGCTGGTTAGACGCAGCAGGTTCAGCAATGTAAGGATCAGGTTAAAGAAAGTGACAGGCCCTAGGTCCAGTTTTAGTCGTGGGAGCGGCATCGGTGGTGTCCGTGGTGAGGAGGCTGCGTGTCCTGGCTGAGGTTATCTTGAGTACTTGTGGGGTGATGTCTAGGACGTGGGACTGGGCATCGTTTCCAGGTGAACTCACTCGAGTGGATGTGGGCATCGTATTGGCCACGTTTGGTTGGAATAAGACTTCCGTGGAGAGTCTGAGTACCTGAACTGCGACCTGTGGGTGCACCCAGACAAGTGCCAGAGTGTTGCCGCCCTGCGCCAGGCGTGTGCTTGTGGCTTTGCTTTGCATCTGTTCTAAGTCCAGGCTCAGATGGGCCCCCTGTCGGGTGAGCAGCTGCCTGACCTGTGGACAGTCCCCGACTCTTGGTCCCAGGAGAGCAGGTGCCGTGGGTCTGGCAAGCAGCCCCGTGACAACCTGGAGCACGTGTGAGGTGGGAGACTTGACTGGGCCCCCTGGGGACTGAGCGTGTCCCAGGAGGTGGCAGCCGCCTTAGCAGCACTGGCAGCTGGCGTGTGAGTGGTGCTGGTCAGCTCAGGCCGTTACTGTGTGGCTAAAAGAGCAGAGATTCCTTCTTTGCCCTCCCTGCGGACTGGCAGGCCCTGGGGGGCCCACACCGGGGAGAAGCAGTCTCACATGAATTGGGAAACTGCCTCAGGTATCTTCAGGCGAAGAGGGAACAAGGCAGTCTTCACCCTTTCTCCACCGCTACGGCGCTGAGCCATGGTCTCCAAGAGGGGCCCCTGCGCCCACGGGGCCTAGTGGAGCCATGGTGGTGACAGCACTTGCCCCCAACCATTTTGCCCCGCGTTGAGGGCGCCCACGCGGGTCACATCTCCAGAGGACTTGAGCGCACCACACACTGGCGCGGGCACGGGGTGGGTGAGGGGGGCAGCTGGAAGTTCGCTTCTCTTTGCAGAAACCATGTCCTCTGCCTTCAACAGGGTGTCCTGTGCCCGGGCCTGAGTGGATCTACCAGCTGGAGCACGGGCGGCAGCCGTGGGCGACGAAGGGCGGTCTCTCCCGAGGCGCCTGTCCAGGTAGGGGCCCTGTGGGCTTTAGACCAGACGCCCATCAGCGACGTCCCCTCAGGTGTCTTCTTGTGGCCTCTGCTTCAGGGAGACCTTTGACATGTAACCCTCTGCTGTCCCAGAGGACACAGTGCGCGTGCCGAGCCCAGTGCAGGCCGCCAGGAACCCCCGCGGGGGCGTTCAGGCCCCTTCTGTGCTTGGTGCGTGGCTCTGACTGTCCCTCTGTCCTGTGGCCGTCCTGTGGGCGGAGCAGGGACGAGACGTCATGCTGACTGCCTGGAGCACCGGCCCAGAACTGGTCGCTGGCCACACTCTGGGTCTCGGGCTGGGCTCTGTGCACAGGGAGGGAGCGGCTGTCGCAGCGGCCGTCCCTGCACAGGCTGGTCATGAGGACCTCGGTGGAGCGCCTGCCCAGTGGGGTCGGGCCGGGTAGGTGACCTGTCAGGACTGTCCACGTCACAGCCAGGCCACCTGCCTCGAGCAGACAAAGGGCCCGCGCTCTGCCCCTCCCCTGTCAGCTTTCGGGCACCCCTCACCCCCACCTGGTCGCGCCTCACAGTGACGTGGGGTCTTCTCTGTCCTCCGGGTTCCCCAGGACACCAGGGCCCTCGAGCACAGGCTGGGTTGCGAGCCCGCTCTCCCTTCTCCTTCCCTGGTTCTGCTCGGCGCGCCCGAGGGCCCAGAGTCTGCGCCAGGCCATCACCCTCCCTGGCCCCACGCGGTGCTGGTTCTGCCTCTGCGGCTCTGCCCCTGGGAGTTAGCCAGGTGTTGGGGCCCCCACTCAGTTGCCTTTCTCCAGTGTCAAACCCGAGGGCAGCCGGCTCCGTGTGGAGTGTGGTCTCTCTCCCGGCCCTCCAGACCCGGCCGCTCCTGCCCGCCGCGCCCCCCCACCCCGGCCGGTCTTGGCGCCCGGGCCAGTTCCCACTCCGGGTGGAGGGCGCCCCTCAGGAAACCTCCTTTGCTCACACCCCGGCAGTATCTATAAGGTTCTCCTCCTTGTTCCCCTTGCTCTTCCCTCGTCGGCCTCCGTACGAGCCCCATCAAGTCCCGTGCTGACGCAGCCGGCGTCCTGCGGGCCTCGTGGGGACTCACGCTCGCCTGGTTGCACGCGTTTTCCACTCCTCACCGGCTCAGCTCCTCGACACTGTCTCCGCGTGGGCGTGACTGTTACCTCCCCCGAAGTCCTGTGGTTTTGCCAGACTTTCCCCCAGGCCGTGCCTCGGGGAGGCCAGGCTCCTCGCCTCTAGCCCAGGCCTGTTCGCCGCCTGCCTGCTTAGCCCTGGCTCACGTGGCAGTGGCCATCCGCGGTCACCGAAATGAGCCTTCCCCGTCCCCACCTGCCCTGAGCTCTCGGCGGCGGCGGCACTGGCTTCTCGCTCCGCGGGGCCTTTATACGCCTCTGTCTCCTAGGGTTGCTGTCCTCCCTCCTCTCGGTGGCATCTCCTACGATGCCAGTGAGACCCCTGCGTGGGCACCCCTGCTGGAAACTCCTCTGATCTCTTCCCCCTCCAGTGTTAGCCAGACTCCAGGTTAGGGCCGCAGAATCCGAGATTGCCAAGTTCTTCTGACACGAACTACAAGTCCGGGGAGGCCCCAAGGTCGCTAGAAATGTTAGGGGAAAGGATGTGCTGAGCGAGCTCCATACGGGCTTTGTGGACTCCACCCCCGCGGCACTGGGAACTACGAATCCCATGATCCCCAAAGGGAAGGTTGCGAGGACCTGAGGGCGGAGTGAAGCAGCTAGGTGCTCGGCTTGGGATTTTACCTGGCCACGCGGCCCGGGCGTCGCTGGCTTGGCTACGCGGTGTGCTAGGTTTTTTTGCCAGCTCGGCGGGTCATTGGGATTCCAGGTCAGCGGAACGGGTAGGACGCGTTTACGAACTTGTCTCCCTCTTTTTCTCCCTGAGATGTTCATTTCCCCATCCCCCTTCCCTTGCAAATAAACCTTTTATCAACCTTTCGTGTGTGTGCAGTTCAGCACTCGTAAGTCCCCTTTCAGCGCACAGGGGAGGACCCCCAGTCAGGCAACCCGTTTTCGATCAGGGATGCTCTGTAACTCCAAGGTGGACAAGAGTCCCTAAAACCTCTTACACTCACTGTCCTGCTTCTTCCAGACAGAGGACACAGATCGGAAGAGATGAAGAACGTGGGGCTGCAGGCGCTCCAGACACAAAGCGTCCGTGTCCTCACCGACCTGCCACCTCTTGGCCTCGATGTGTGGCCGCGTAGACGTGGAGCGCCGCCAGCCCGGGAGACGCACCAGCGCCTCGGTATCCCAGTTTTTATTGTGCTTTCATTACATAGGGACAGTTGATAGAGTCGTTACCCGTGGGGCTCCGTCCTCTGTCCCTTCCCAGAGGTCCGACTGGCATCTTTTGGCTCTCAGCACAGCTTTCTACGTCTGGTGACATGATCGGACTTTGTGACGTGACCAGCACTCCCTTTGAGTTACCTCTTAGCATAAGCTATGTACAGGTCTGCAGTGAATTGTCTTTTCTCATAAACCATCAGGTACGCTTCCAGGAGCGCAAAGACACGTCATCACTGTGGAAATACCCAGGTTTGATGCGTTTTCCTGGAGATGAGACAAAGACCAGACTTCTCTTTGGGGAAAGTTAGTTTTCCCCTGCAGCCTTCCTCTGCAGCCGCTGCACTCAGCGCCCCTCCCCTGCGTTCCCACAGTAGAGGATGCCCTCGTTAAGCAGCTCAACACACAGCATAGCTATTACTCTGTGCAACCACGTCCCGTCCGTGCTACCACATCCCATATGGAACTGTGGCCGAAGGTCCACTCCAGAACCCCTGTTCCTCTGACCCAGTCTCTTCTGGGTCTCCCTCATAAGGTGTCAGGACTCTAAGGACCAGGATAGCATAATAGACACAGCTTTTCATTGGAAGGCTGAGTTTGTCTCCTCTGTGTGGGCGTTACTACCAGGCCTTTCTGTGTGTGGGTCTTTTTTTCAGGTAACAAAGGAAAATTGGAGAGTATAGAACCTACCGTAAATGAGCCAGCCTTGCTGGAGGGAGCCCCAGAGGACTGCCGGGTGGCCCAAGCCCAGGGCCAGGATGGGCCGTCGGAAGTGCAGGAAGAACGCTTGAGGCCAGAGAGAGGCCCTCAGAAGGAGACGAGCCCTGGGAAATCGAGTCCTGGGCATGACAACTCAGGCACAGCCCGGGGTGTGGGACCAAGGACGGCGCAGGAGCCAGCCCCGCCGGAGGCTGCCGTGCTTGACCTTAATTCATGTGAATCAGGTAAAGAGCTCGTGATTCCGGAGGAGGAAAATGTCTTTAAATGCAGTGAGTGTGGGAAGGTTTTTAACAAGAAACACCTTCTTGCTGGACATGAGAGGATTCACTCTGGAGTGAAGCCCTATGAGTGCACGGAGTGTGGGAAAACCTTTATTAAGAGCACTCACCTCCTGCAGCACCACATGATCCACACGGGGGAGAGGCCCTATGAGTGCATGGAGTGTGGCAAGGCCTTCAACCGCAAGTCGTACCTAACACAACACCAGCGCATTCACAGTGGCGAGAAGCCTTACAAGTGCAGTGAGTGTGGAAAGGCCTTCACCCACCGCTCCAATTTTGTCTTGCATAAGAGGAGACACACTGGAGAAAAAACCTACGTGTGCAAAGAGTGTGGGCAGGTCTTTCGACATAGGCCAGGATACCTTCGACACCACATCGTCCATAGTGGCGAGAACCCTTACGAGTGCTTCGAGTGCGGCAAGGTTTTCAAACACAGGTCATACCTCATGTGGCACCAGCAGAGCCACACTGGAGAGAAGCCCTATGAGTGCAGTGAGTGTGGGAAAGCCTTCTGTGAGAGCGCAGCCCTCATCCACCACTACGTCATCCACACGGGGGAGAAGCCCTTCGAGTGTCTCGAGTGTGGGAAGGCCTTCAACCACAGGTCTTACCTCAAGAGGCACCAGCGGATCCACACTGGGGAGAAGCCTTTTGTGTGCACCGAATGTGGAAGGGCCTTCACCCACTGCTCCACGTTCATCTTGCATAAAAGGGCCCACACTGGAGAGAAGCCTTTTGAGTGCAAAGAGTGTGGAAAAGCCTTTAGCACTAGGAAGGACCTGATTCGACACTTCAGCATCCACACTGGGGAGAAGCCTTTTGAGTGCACAGAGTGTGGAAAAGCCTTCAACCGCAGGTCAGGCCTCACGCGGCACCAGCGGATTCACAGTGGCGAGAAGCCCTATGAGTGCATGGAGTGCGGGAAATCCTTCTGCTGGAGCACAAACCTGATCCGACATGCCATAATCCACACTGGAGAGAAGCCCTATAAGTGCAGTGAGTGTGGAAAGGCCTTCAGTCGAAGTTCATCCCTCACTCAGCATCAGAGGATTCACAGTGGGAGAAACCCTGTCGGTGTGACAGATGTGGGAAAACCCTTTACAAGTGGGCACGCTTCAGTTACCCTTCGAGAACTCCTTCTGGGAAAAGATTTTTTGAATGTAAAAACTGAGGAAACTGTTTTGCCAGAGAAAACTACCACAGCATCTGATCGTACATACCAAAGAGAAACACCACAGGCATCTTCACCGTGAAGAAACCGTCTGTCACAGGTCATCAGTAATTGTGTAAAACGCCGTTGCAGAAGTTGACCAGCCTTAGACCCTCATTCTACAACTTAGAATCCATCCGTAAAGAGAGAGCGGTGTTTATTGTGCACTAAGGAAAACCTGTGGCTCCATTTTTCTCCTTAGTTTATACTGCAGCGTTATCTCAGGAATTTTTATTTAATGGAAGTGGAGCTTAGGGGAGAAAATGAAATGCACAGTTTTTTGGAGACTTTGTTGTTATGCTTAAGGCACTTAATGTTCCTTCATTTACTGGGGGTACGGTGGGGGGGTTGCTTTTTCAGAGGCAAAGGGCCTTGAATCCCTTATGTGTTCTGTACATACACTGGTTTCTGTCCAGTGTCAGGAGAGTTGGTTACTGCTGATATTTAAAGAGATAAGGATGAATGGGCACATGTTACTTAGCAGTTAGGAATGTTGAAGACTTACTTTAAAAAAACAAACTGTTCTTGATGTGGTTTTAAACACCTAACACTTAGACTTTTTTTTCCCCCCATCTATTGTTTACTTAATTTTTTAAAATTGGGTAAAGTGAACCCTCTCTCTCTTCTTACTGAAATTGATTTAGTTTTCTTAATTCCTTTAATGTTCCATATAAACCTTAGGATGCAAAAAATCTAGCTTGCATTTTTATAGCAACCTATTTAAAGCTACAGATCAGCTTTTTGAGAAGTGATATGAAAACAGTATATGGTAGGACACTACATTTGCAGTGATTCTTAATACTTCATTACCCTCTTGGGATTTTGAACATCCAGGTTTTGTACATTTTTGTTAGGATTTGTATCAAGGTTGGTTTGAGGTTTTCTGAGTGATGTTAAATGACATTGATTTTTACCATCTTTAGTATACAGAAAGATGATTGAGGTGTCTTTGTGTTTTTTTGTTAGTGATAATTTGGTATCCTGCAGTATTTTTGAACTCGCTATTTTAGCCATTTTGTTGGATATAGTCTTCAGGAATTTCTACATAGAAATGGCGTCTGCATATAATGTTTCATTTTCTACTTCCCGTTTGTATACCTGTTTCCTTTCCTTATTGTACTGAGTCTTCAACTGTGATAGAAGTTGTAAGAAAGGACATTCTTTACTGCTTCCTAATAGTAGGAAAATCATTTAGTTTTTCATTATAATAATGTTAGTTGTAAGGTTTTTTACATGGAGTTTTTTTACCAACTTTAGAAAATATTCCTCTAAATTTGCCAAGATTTCTTTCTATGGTGAATGAGTGTTGGATTTTATCAAGTGCTTTACCTTCATCAATCCATGTGATCATCTGAATTTTTTTTCCCCTGCAACTGTTGATACTGTGTATTACATTAGCTTTATTTTGAACATTGTGCTAGTCTGGTATTCCAAGTAGCATAACCATGGAATGTAAATTTTTATATGTATCAAATGTATTGGAACAATCCATTGTGTTTTGTTGAGAAAGTTTTCCTCTGATTTCTTGATTAATGATGTATAATTCTAATTTTTTTTTTTTTTAACTACTGTCATTGTCTGATACTGCTATCAGGATGACACGTTGAGTTGATAGGAGTTGTATTTTTAAGAAGCTAGTCTATGTTGTTTTTATTTGTTTTTTCTATTGTTTGGTAATTTTTTGGTTTATAGACTTGTTTGAGGTACTCCTTTGCTATCTTTTTAATGGCAACAGGATTTGTACTTATGGCCAGTTTCAATCCTGATCTTGGAAATATGTCGACTCTTTTTCTTTGTCAGTCTTAGATGTCTGTCAGTTTCACTAATCATTTAAAAAAAACCAGCACTTTAACTGATGTTTCTCTGTAATTTTTCTATTCTTAATTTCCCTGATTTCGTTCCTCTTTATTCTGCTTTGCTTCGGTTGTGTTTTTCTCTTTAATTTTGGAGGTATGTGTTGTGATAGTGATCTGAAATTTGTTTTTTCTTTTCTAATGAAAAGTACTATCAAGTTCCCTTACAACATTGTTCTAGCTTCATCCCACAGGCTTGCTGATCATCTGGTGTGTCAGTTGCGGAGAGAGCAATATAAATGTCCTCAGGTATAACTATAGAATTGTCTGTTCCTTTCTTAAGTTCTATCAGCTTCTGCTGCCAGCATTTTAAAATTATGTTGTTTGGAGCATACCTCTCCAGCATTGCTGTGGGCAGTTGTATTGCTGTTTTCAACAGCGCCCCCTTTTCTCCCTATTCATTTTGTTTGAAGTATACTTTATCTGATACTAATATAATTTATATATATTTTTATTCATATTTGCATGGCTTATATCTTTTATTATCTTCTTTACTGTTTTATCTTTTTAAATTGTATTTGCTAAGCATAGTGCTACAATTGAAGTAAGTTTCATGTAGCAGCATATAGACAGGTCCTACTTCTTAAACCATCCGGCTACTTTCTTTTAATTGTTTGGATTTGGATAACTTAAATATAAAATCATTATTGCCATGTTAGAGCTTAAGTGTATGACTTAGTTTTTGTTAGTGTTCCCTTTTGATTCCTCCTGTTCCCTAGTTTTTGTTATTTTGGGTTTTTGTTTTTGCCTTGTAGTTTCCTTCAGCATTTTTTTGAGTGCCGTTTTTGAATACATGTCTTAAATTTGTTTACCCTGGCTTTTGTATATGTGTAACTTAGCACCGTCTTAACTTTGTCACCATTTTAGCACTTTAGCGTGTGGAACCTTAATTCCATTGAGTCCTTTTTTTTTTTTTTAATATATATTTATTTTATACAGGAACCAGGGTATATGTGCGGGCCAGATGTGCGGGAGGTGAGAGGATTCACCAGAGACAGAGCGGGGAACAGAACAGGCAGACGGACCAAAATACACTGCTGCGGGGAGCAGTGGGTGAGACAGGAGAGGTCTGCTGTGCCATGTGGGTTGCTCCGTGGCCGGTGGACTTCGAACCCGCGCTGCAGAGGCTGCGGACAACTTCACAGCGCTGCGCTCAACCGCCTGTGCCACCAGGGAGGCCCTTTACATTCCTGTGTTTTAATATAATTGTTCTGAGCATTTGAGCCCCATATTGGGTGATGTAATTTATTGAAAAATGTCTATATGTCCCCTTCTTTCCAGAAAGATGTTTTTGTGGGTTTAAAGAGTTGGGGGTCTACAGGCCTTTCGGTATAAAGACGACTTGTTTCTCTATTCAGATGAAAGGCTGCTGCCCCCAGCCTGTCGTTCCCTCTCTAAGGTGCAGTCAGGTGGCTTTCTCTGTGGCATTCAGGAGCTTGGTGTGATGTGTGCTAGTGTGGTGTTTTCGTGGGTTGTCCTGTTTGGTATTTGTTCATTTTTTTAATCCGTGGGTGTATGTCCTTTGCCAGCTTCAGGGGATTTATAACAGTTATGTCTTCAGAAGTTTTTCAGCCCTTTTCTTTTCCCCTCTCGTGGAGACGCAGATTAGGAAGTCTAGATCTCTGTCGTTCAAAAACTCCCTCATGTCCCTTTTCCCCTTCTCTTCTCTAGTACCTTTTCTTGTCATTCCTCTGATCGCTTCATTTTCATGGATCCTTCCTTTTTTTTTTTTTTTTAAGATTTTTATTTATAAAATAGCTGGGGTACAGGCCAGATGTGCGGGAGAGTGAGAGGATTCACCAGAGACAGAGCAGGGAGCAGAACAGGCAGACTGACTGAAGTACACTGCTGAGGGGAGCAGCGGGGAGACAGGAGAGGTCTGCAGCTCCATGTGGGAATCTCCCTGGCCGGCTGGGGATTGAACCCGCGCTGCAGAGGCTGTGGACAGCTCCACAGCGCTGCTCTCAACCCGCTGCACCACCAGGGAGGCCCTCATGGATCCTTAATTCACCAAGTCTTCCCTCTCTCAAGTCTCATCTTGTTGAGTTTGTCCATTGAGTTTTCATGTTGGCTTGCGGTTTTTTCATTGTTTCTTTTCCATCTGTTTCTCTTGTGCGTCTTGTGTTTCCTTGCTTAGTATAATGCCAAAGAGACTCTGAGGGCACCGCGGAACTGCAGTCCAGTGCCATGGTTCTCTGGTGGCTAGCCTTGACGTTGCACTAGAAATCCCGAATTACCTGGGGAGGGGCCTGCAGTGTCCTCAGTGCAGTTCTCATGACTGAGGGAGCCTCGGTTGCTGCGAGCTGTGTCCTGCAGGACAGCTTTGTGCGTGACTCTAACTCCCGTGACGTCCTCAGAGCCGGGTCACTCCTCTTCCAGGAGTGTTTATCCTCGTGGTTGAACACCTCCAGCCCCACCCCAGCTTGTCTAGGCCACCCCCGCTGCTTGATCTCTGACGTGTCCTCTCGATCCCCTCCGTCCTCACGGTCTGTGCCTGTGTGCGTGTCTCTGTCGCCCCAGCACGTTCTGCTCCACTCGCCAAGAGGACTCTGCTTCTGTCCTCTCTCTCCTGGTCATTGCGCCACTGCCCTGTCCACCCACGCCTGTCCTTTCTGACGTCCCTGCCACTCCCGAGTGGAGTAAAAATAGCTTCCGCCACCTTCTGACATCATCAGTTCTCCTGCGGGGTCTTTGTGTCCCACCACCCCTTCATCATCAGGCCCTTTGCGGTGTCCGTCGCTCTGGCTTGAAGGCCATCGCTGCTTTCTGGGAGTCTTGCCCTTCTCCTCAGGTGGAACGCGCCTCCCTCCCCCCGTCAGGCAGCTCTGCTTCCGGGGCCGTCCTTGGCCTTTCCTCACTTGTGCTGGTCTCCGGGGGGTGCTCGTCTTGTCTGACTCACAGCCCTGCAGGGTCCGCCTGTCTCCAGGTTGGGTCCTCCGTGTGTCCTGAGTCCCCCGAAGTGACAGGAAGAGCAGGCAGATGGGTGTGCTCAGCAGGGGCCTGAGAGAAATGAGTCCCCTGGGACACCCCAGCAGGAACCCGGAGCCACTGACAAGGGCCGCGAAGTTGTGGCCGCCCTCACAGGGGCTCTTGGCAAACCTGTCGCTAACGTTTGTTGGCTGCTGTTTCCGTGCTCTGTCGACATCAACTCCTTTCATCTTTGCAATAACTCTGTGGTAGGTGACGTGACCTCCACTTTACAGCTCCGGGAACTGAGGCTGAGGAACTTGTCCGAGGCTGCAGGCCCTTTAGGGAGTGGGGCTTGGTGCTGCTGCTCGGGGAAGGGCCGCGTGCTTCAGGCCATCACCGCACACGCTTGGCTCGGGTGGCACCCCCGGAGGGGGGCGGGGGCATCTCTGGGTGCTCAGCCTCGTGTGAGGCTCCTGAAATCCCAGCGAGGCCCGCGCTCTGCCGTCTGCCCGGGCAGACTGTTACCCAGAGCTGTGCACAGCTCAGCACGCGGCACCCACTGGCCTGGGCGGGGATGTACATGGGCTCTCGTGGCCACGTTGGCGTGTCTAGACGTCCATGGAAGGTGGCGTCAGTGTCCATGTGGACCACCCGGGCCCGGCGATTGGCTGGGAAGGCTCATGGGCACCGTTGCAGGCTCGGCTCCGAGGCTAGGGGCCAGGGCTGGCGGCCCCAGGACGCAGGGACGCTGCCAGAGTCGCGTCCCAGGGAAGCCACGCGGGACTGAAGCTCCGCTCGGGAGCTGGGACGTTGGCCCGAAGGTGCAGCAGCGCCTGTGAGAGACTCGGTGCCTGAGCAGCACTCCCGGCATCGCCGGCCTCCAGGCTCCGGAAGGAAAGCGCGCGTTCACCCACGAGAGAACAACTCAGTTCTGGAAACCGTGGAAAGCTCAGCATCTCAGACTCCAATGTTGCCGCAGGGCAGACCTCCAGAGGGCCGGCCCCAGTGGATGCCCACCCGCTCGGCGTGCTCTGACCATCATTAAATGTCATTTCCTACAACAAAGTAAGAGCTGTGCGCTAAGGTCTGTGTGGTGTGACCTGTGGGCCCGGAAAAGCCGCCCAACCCCAGGAGAACAGCTTAGAAAACTAGGGAACTGCAATCAGGGTCAGATGAGCAGGTCGGGGAAGTTGTGAAAGGGGCCTGGCCGCCTCCTAAGGGCGTGCGTGTCCGTCTCCTGGGGGCCTGGCTCGCGCATGACGCGTGTGCCGACTTTGTTTCTACTGCACACACCCTCGGCCTCGGTGGCAACGAAGTAGAGAAGAACTGCCCAGTTCGTGCGTGAGTGAGGTGAGAGGGGGCGTGGGGGACGGGGCAGGCGGGCCTGGCAGCGAGGTGGAGACGGTGTCTGGCTGCTCCGCCCTTTGCTGCCTCCTGCTGGTGCTGGAACCCATGGGTGCTGCAGGGTCGCGGCAGGTGTGGCCTCTGGGCCCCTCATGGCGCAGCTGGATGGTCTAGGCCGAGGGTCAGTGGGAAGCTGGCCTGGGCCCCCGGCAGGGGCAGGACCTGGACTGCAGGTGCCTGCGGGTGAAGCCTGCCTGTGGCTCCTGGGCTGCGCCTGCTGGGCCAGTGGGTTTCTGGAGGTAGCAAAGGACACCTGTGAGGGGCCCTTGGGAAGCCAACCCCCTCTCGCCACTGGCCCCCCCACCCCTCATCCCTCTACCCCCACGATTTTCCAGGCGGCTGGGCCGGTCTCCACTCCAGCCACCTACGAGACGGCACCAGTGTGACCAGATGTAGACGGTCAGACCCAGAAAAGCTAGTCGCTGTCCCCAGGGACATGCTTGCTGCCCTGGTCACTTTTGAGGAGACAGTGGGAGCGGAAGAGGTGCCCCCGGGCCATGTGCCTGGGGAGAGGCCCCATCATCTGAGGCAGAGCGGGGCTCAGGTCCATGGATGGCCACGATGGGCATTTCACCTGCATCGCTGGGGGGTTAGGGGGGAGGGCCTTTCTGTGCCGCCCCTGCCCCGGCCCCACTCCATCCTTGTCCTTCCCCGTCCCTCAGTGTCTGCTGCTCACGCGCGTTCACAGTGCCCCCTCCGCACTGCTGGGGTCCTGCGCCACATGTCCTGGCCCTCCCCTGCCCCAGGGTCCCCACCTGGGCCCTCCCGCCTGCAAGCCCGTCTTCACCTGGTTCTGTCCTCTCCTTGGACCTTCCTGACTGTCAGATGCCACCGGGACCACCTCCCGCCCTCGCTCCCTTGACACAGCACTGGCCCCATCCTCCCCTCCTGCCGCCCTGCTGGCTTGGCCCCTGCCTCCCTGCAGGATGCCTGTGACACCCTCGTGCCCCCCAACCTGACCCCTCCCCTTGCCTGTGAGACGCCCAGGCCTGTCTGTCAGCTCCCGGGAGGTTCCGCTCGGCTGTCACCAGGCCTTCATGTTTCTAATCTAAATCGTGACGCTTATGCAAAAAACAATGTGATTCACACTGTATCCAAGCGGGGGTATCAGGAAGGGGCGGTCACCCCGGACCGTGACGGCTGCTGTGACGGTTGAGGGACGTTGTGTGCAGGGACGGGGAGATGAGGGCCCGAGCAGTGAGGAGAGACGTGGGGCTCCGGGGGGAGGTGGGGGCACTCAGGCTCTTGCTGCAGGGCATCTCCCCGTAGTGGAGGCTGAGGGGAGACACCTTGGCGCATTAAGGCCTCAGCCTTGCCTGGTCGACTCTGCCCTCGGACATCAGGCTCCAACCCAGAAGGCGGCCCCTCCCGGCGTTCCTTGCTTCTTTAAAGAGAACTAGTGAGTTTGCGACACCTGGAGCTGCCGTCACCATGTTGTGGCCACGTGACGCCGCCCAGCACCCTGACGAGGGCCAGAGGGCACCCCCGGGCCTGTGTGATCTCTCAAGGCTTGGGGCCAGCGCGCAGTCTTAGACGTATTGAAATGAGGCAGAGACGCGCCCTCCACCTCGACCCCGGCTTCTGCAGGGCACAAAGGGGCGGCGTCTCCCTGCCGAGAATGAGGGGCGTCGGGCCTGCGTCCCCCTTCTGGAGCATTTTCTCTGAAACACTGAATTCTTCTCTGCCCCTTGCAGGTGCCCGTAGGTCTCTCCAAATTCTTTTTTTTTTTTTTTCCCTTCAAATTCTACTCGCCAGTTTTAAAACCCAGGACCGTCTTTCCCAAAGACCCGGCCACCTCCCGAGAAGGCGACCGGGGAGGCAGCCGCCGGCGCCCCTGACTGCCTTGCCCCCCGTCGCAAAACCGCCTCTGTTGTCCCGGGAAAGTCTCGCCCTTCTCCAGGCCGGGCGGGGAGGAAGCCGGCGCCGTCCGCTGTCGTGAGGTGCGGCCAGGCCCGGGTGGAGACGCCCCCGAAGTGTTGGGTGACGGGGACCAGATTGAGCTGGAACCCAGGCTCGAGCGCGGGGCGCGCCAGTGCGGTTCCGCCAGGACGTGCGCGACGGTGGCCCCGACGGCGCCCCCGTGGCTGCGGGCGGGCAGGTTGACAGCGAGCGCCCCGACCGGCTCCCGCCCCGACGGCTCCCGCCCGACGGCTCCCGCCCCGACGGCTCCCGCCCCGACGGCTCCCGCCCCGACGGCTCCCGCCCCGACGGCTCCCGCCCCGACGGCCGCTGGGCTCCGCCCCTGGCGCCTCATTGGCCCGGCCTGGGCCCGTCTCTCCTATTGGCTGCCCTGCGTACGGCCTCCGAAACCCCAGCCAATAGGAACCGACCAGGAACTGGCGCTCGGCCAACGGGGCGGGGCGCGCGCTACAAGGGCCCGTCGGGCGTCGCCGCGCCGCGTGGCCGCCGAGGAGCCGGAGGCGACGCGCGGGGCGAGCTCGGCCGACGCTGCCGCCGCGTCCCCCCGGCCGACCCCGACCCGGACGCCCAGCGCCGACGGCCCGAGGGGCGCCCCGCGCCCCGCCGCCCCACAGCCGGGATGAAGTCGGGCGACGTCCCGGCCGCAGGTGGGGGCAACGGCCGGGCGGGCGGGCGCGGAGGGAGCGCGCGAGGCCGCACAGCCCGTCTCTCGCCCGCAGAAGCTGCAGGAGACCCCGCGCCGCCCGGCGCCACCGTGTGAGCGTCTGCGGAGGAGGCCGGGAGGCCGGAGGGACGGAGGGACGGAGGGCGGCGGCGGCGACGTGCGGCGCGGGACGCGGAGCCCCGGGCCGGCGCCGAATTGAGTCTCCCCCCCCCCAGGCGGCGCCTCGCCGTCGACGACTTTGAGATCGGGCGTCCCCTGGGCAAGGGGAAGTTTGGGAACGTGTACTTGGCGCGCCTCAAGGAGAGCCGCTTCCTCGTGGCCCTCAAGGTCCTCTTCAAGTCCCAGATAGAGAAGGAGGGGCTGGAGCACCAGCTGCGCAGGGAGGTCGAAATTCAGGCCCATCTGCGGTAAAGCCCCGTCCCGCCCGGGGTCTGCGCCGGCGCTTCGCTGGGGCCGTCTCCCTGCAGCCCTGAGGCCCACCCGGCGCTTGCCTCACTCCCGCCCAACAGCCCCGGCTTCCCCCTGGAAGACTTCCCTACCCACCCGCCCCCGCCCCGCCCCGCCCCGCCCCGGCAAGGCCGTGCCCCGTGGGACCTCGGGGAGGAGTCTGAACCTTCTTGCTCCCTCCTCCCTCCAGACACCCCAATATCCTACGCCTGTACAACTACTTCCACGATGCACGCCGGGTGTACCTGGTTCTGGAATATGCTCCCGGGGGTGAGCTCTACAAGGAGCTGCAGAAAAGCCGCACGTTAGATGAACAGCGGACAGCTACGGTGAGGTCAGGGCTGAGGGCCCAGAGTTTGCTGTGCACTGGCAGGGCCCACTGCTTGCGGCTGTCATGTGCGACCTGATTGCCTTTACATTTATTTCTGACTTTTTGGTGGTATTTTTGTTGAGGTAATAATGGTGACAACATTGTATGTTATTTGGGGGTGCAAGGTCGCCTCTTCAGATCTCTGTTGCAAAACCACAGTCCACCATCAAAACACTGGTCATCCACCACAGCCCACTGATTCTCTTCTCTCACCCTCCCCTCAGTAGCTTCAGTTCTGTAGATTTCTGGGGTTTGTTTTAGTTTTATCCGTTCCTTTTTCTACATTCCCCACAAGTGAAATCATCCAGTGTTTGTCTTTTTCTGACTTACTTTGCTGTGCATAAGCTCCTGTGTTTCCTTATTTCTGAATTTTGTTTTGTGAATTTACATAATGGCACACACATCCTACAGTTTCACATTTGGATATCCTGAGCACCCCCAGAATACTAATGTTTTTGTAAGTTTGGGTTCTTTGGTTGTTATGGACTTTAATTTCAGGCTTACACAGGAAAACACTGAAAGACTGAGGGAATTCACAGAATAAATGAGAGCAACTGGCTTAGAAATAGGAAGCAAGAGATTTCTCGAGGACTTCCTGTGGGCACCAGAGCCACGATCTCCCCAGCAGCAGTGTTGGATGAGCTTGCTCTGACTGTATGAGTCATCTCGTTTTCCTCCTGATTTCATACCATTTTCTCACGCCTGATGCTCCATGATGCCTGGTGCCTGTTTAACTGGCTCCGGGAGGTCCTCTGGCTACCTGCTGTGCTATGGCAGAGGAGAATCTGTCTACTTTAGCATCCATCGTATAAAACCACATAAAATGGGGGAGAAGAAATGCCCCCCCCCGCCACAATGGTGGTATTTTAAAGAGGGTTATGTGGTTGGTGACCAGGAAAGGGAAGATCCAGTATGATAGAACATTCACAGTGAGCGTGCTCCCTCAGGGAAACTAGCATCTTCCACTTCCAGACACTTTTGCTCTGTTCACACAGATAATAGAGGAGCTGGCAGATGCGCTCACCTACTGCCATGAGAAGAAGGTGATCCACAGGGATATTAAGCCAGAGAACCTGCTGCTGGGGTACAGGGGTGAGGTGAAGATTGCAGACTTTGGCTGGTCTGTGCACACTCCCTCTTTAAGGTGAGTCAGGTGGAGGTCGGGTGGCTCTGGGTGCTAGTTAGGCTGCAGTTTAATTCCTTCCACATGTAAGACCTGGATGCAAACCTGGGTATGTATTTAAATACTACTTCTTAAGAATGTGTATGTTTAGGGCCTCCCCGGTGGCGCAGCGGTTGAGCGCTGGGTTGCTAAGCTGCCCGCAGCCTCCGCGGCGCCGGTTCGATCCCCGGCTGCTCCCCGGCCTCCGGCGGAGGGTCCCACATGGTGCGCAGACCTCTCCTGCCACCCGCTGCTCCCCTCAGCAGTGTACTTCGGTCCTTCTGCCTGCTCTGTTCCCCGCTCTGGCTCTGGTGAATTCTCTCACCCTCCCGCGCTTCTGACTGTACCCAGTGCATGTATAAACAAAAAACAAACAAGCAAATAAATAAAATAATAAAAGAATAAACATGCCTCTATAAAAAAAAAGAATGTGTATGTTTAATTGATAATTTAAAGAATGTGTTTCAGCCTTATCTGTTACTTTTTGATCTGTTAATTTGTTATCAGTAACATTCCATGTATCCATTCTTCTTGATTGCAGGAGTATATTTTACTACATGAATAAACCATAATTCATTTACATGGTTCTTGACGTGCTATCAGTTTGTTCCAGACCTTGATGCCCAGAATATTCTTTTGGAAACATTCTGGGTCATGAGCTAAATATAACTATGATAATTCCAAAATATGTTTTCTCTGAACCTTGATATATATATTAAAACTTGGTGTCTCCAAGCAGGATTGGAACACCAAAGACTTTTAGGGTCTCCCATCTCACTAGCAGCTAAGAAAGGAGGGTTTCCCTTGTTCTCTGCTCAGTGCTCCCTTCTCTGCCTTCTAGGAGAAAGACCATGTGTGGGACTCTGGACTACTTGCCTCCAGAAATGATTGAGGGGAGAACATACAACGAGACGGTGGACCTGTGGTGCATCGGGGTACTCTGCTACGAACTGCTGGTGGGAAACCCCCCCTTTGAGAGCCCCACGCACAATGAGACCTACAGACGAATTGTCAAGGTGAGATGGCCAGCCACTCTGGGAATTTGTGGGGAAGCTAGTCGGTGGTGGCTGCTAGGCCAGCCCGCGTGGGGGACACACATGCGTTTGCTGAGAGCCAGAACACTGTCCTGAAGGGCGATTAAGTAACATAGAGAACCGCATTTCTCTTTCTCCTTCCCTGACCTCAGGTAGATGTACGGTTTCCCCCATCTCTGCCTCAAGGGGCCCAAGACTTGATCTCCAGCCTTCTGAGATACCAGCCCTCAGAGCGACTGCCCTTGGCCCGGATCCTGGCGCACCCCTGGGTCCAGCTGCACTCTCGGAGGGTGATGCCTCCCTCTGCTCAGGTGGCTTCCTGAGCCCTCTCTGCTTCCTACCCTTTGTGCTTGTTCTGGGAAGTTAACTCCTATCTCACCTCTTTGTTGTGTTTTAAGATTCAAAATGTTAATAAAAATCATTTTGCATGAGGTCAGCGTGAGTTAGTGTCACTGGGTGGAATCTATTATTTTTTTTGTAGAAACTCTGTCCCAAGAGAGGGGCCCAAGGTGGTGCCCACCCTGCCCTCCACAGTCCGTGCTTCCGCAGACGCGCTCCTCGTGGTGCCGGGTACCTTGGACCCAACCACTCTTCCACTCTATCCGTTCGAGAATCAGGACTCCGGTCAAACAGGGTCCACTCTGCGCGGGAACAACGTTACTGCCGCGACCGTCGGCCTCTTGGCGGCAACTCAGTTAAGGTGGGGTCGGTCCAGGGCGCAGAGCCCGGCCTTTATCCATCTACCCTCACGCCCCCGACGGCCTCGCGGCCTGAAATCGCAGCTCCCCGGCGTCGCCCGGGGTCTCGGGACCTGGTAACCCGGCACGGCTTAGGATGGTGCCCGCCCCGCACGACGCCACCCTGCTCGGACGCCCGTCGAGCCCCGCCGGCTCCGGGGTCGGTGTCCGTGCGTCCACGGCGGGGGCCCGGGCAGGGCTCAGGCGCCCTCCCCTGGCGGAGAGTCCGCGGCTCCTTTATGGAAACCCCCGGGGGCGGTGCTCGGGCGCACCGGGGAGGACGGCCCGTTTCCCGTCGCCCGCGGACGCGCCCTAGCGCAGAGTCGCGTCCCATAAGGCTGTGCGCGCGCGTCGGCCAGGCGGGGCCAATGAGAGCCCAGGACGGGCGCTTCCTGCCGCGGGGGCGGGGCTTCCGCCGCTCGGGCCACGTCATTGGCGCGCGACGGTTCTTCCACGGTGGAGGCGGCGGCGGGCGGCGCTGCTCGCGTGTGGCCGCGGAAATGAGCGGCCGGCCGGCGCGGCCGGGGCAGCGGGCGGCGAGGGTCCCCATGCGGGGCCCGTGCGGCCGTCGGGCCGGGGCCCCGCGCGCCCCCCCGGGTCCGCAGTGGCGGCCGCCGCGCCGGGCCCCGCGCAGGTGAGTGGGGGCGCGCCCGGGCCGGGGGGCGCGGTACCGTGCGCCGCGCGGGCGTGGCGGGGGCGTCGCTGTCGCCTCAGGCCGGAGAGGCGGTGCGCGCGGAGAGCCTCGCCCTCGCCCGCGCCTCCCTGCCTGCCGGCGGCCGCGGATCCGCGCGTGACCTCCGGGACCCGCCCCTCCTCCAGCCGCGGCCGACCCCGCGGGTGTGCCGCGGAGCCGCGCGTCCTGGTGCCCGCTTCAGGCCCCGAGTTGAGCTCTCTTCCCTCATCCCCGGCCCCGAATGGCCCAGGAGAACCCCCGTGATGGGGGTTAATCCAGCACAGCCGGAGGGCGTGTTTAGGGTTCCAGTTGCAGAGTCGGTTCATTTGCCACGGCCTAGTGGAAATACCAACTCAGAAAACTGGCGAGAGAGGTGGAAAGCGCAGTGACCACTGCGGGTGGCGTCTGAGTCGGCCTTGGAGCATGGAAGTGATAGATGTGCACAGTGGGGGCTGTTCGTCCAGAGCGAAGCGATGATTAGCTGTTTCTGGTTAACCAGCGGGCTTCTTCAACGTGGGGGTGTGTCCCTGCAGCCGCTGGCCGTTTCCTATTGAGGAGAAAGTGTAGATGGTGGAGGTGACCTACCGAGATAAGCTTCGTGTGAAGGGTGTAGTCAGGAGACACAGTGGCTGAAAAGCTAACACTTTTCTGTTTCAATATATAATGTGAGTTCCTCAGCTTGAGTACACACCTGATGGGCACCCTGAGACTCGGTACTGCTGCTGTCACCGAGACTGGTGTCATGGTCACTTCGGCTTTCCTGCGAGGTCCCGGAGACTTTCTTCTGTGTATCTCACAGCCCACATGTCACCCCAACGTCTCCTGTGACTGTCCAGTGGCTCCCCAGTAGGAGGCGTCTTCTCTTCCGTTAGTGTGTTATGTCCAAAGTAGCGTCCACCTCCCCTTGAGCCTCCCCCAGAGCTTGGCCCTCAGGTGGTGCTCGCTGATGAGGCGCTTGGTCTCTGCACCTCCATCGGGGATGCCAAGACCGGCTGGGATCCCGCCCAGTGCCCTCCGGCCAACACGTCTACTTGTGTTTCACGCTGCAGGTGTCTGTGACCTTCGATGACGTGGCCGTGACTTTTACCCAGGAGGAGTGGGCGCAGCTGGACCCGGCCCAGAGGATCCTGTACCAGGAGGTGATGGTGGAAAACTGCAGGCTCCTGCTGTCCCTGGGTAAGGCGTCCCCTCTCCACCATGTGGTGGGCGGTGAGTTCCTTCCTTCAGACTCTGACTCCATCCTGGCTGGGTAGGAAGGCCTTTGGGGCCCTCCCTTCCTCGTCCCCAGAATTTTAGTCACTTTGTAGACTTCATTCTTGTTGCTGGTCTCTCTGAGTCTCTCTGGGAAGAAACGTAGTGCCCTTTGGTCCTCAAAGGTAGAAAGAGATGGGGGTGTCCTGTAGAACCCCAAGGCAGAAATTCCAGACAGGCTCTGAAGGGGAACTGGATCCACAATGGTTGTGCTCTGTGTTCGGGGTTTCTCAAGTCCAGTGTCTCTGTGGGTCTGCTTGTCATTGCCTTTTCAGAATGTTGTTGGTTTTTTTTTTTTTTTGCCTCAGTGAGTTGTGACAGGAGTAGCCAGCCCAGGCCCTTTTCTACTTCTTTGCATATTTATATTTTGTTTTTTTCTGTGCAGTTGTCCTGGGGTAGGGATAGGAGGTCCTCGAGGAAGAACTGGCACCCAGAGTATAATTTCCTGGACCTCTTGCCCCAGTGCCCAGCACAGACTCCCTCTGTCCACATTCCAGAGAGGGATCTTAGTGAGCCTGGTTGGCTTTGCTGTCCCGTCCAGCCAGGTTAGCAGGGTTGTGGTGATGGGATGGTCTCTAAGAAAAGGGGAGTGAGGCAGGCCTCAGGAAGCCTTTGCCCTCAGTGGCATCAGGTATTGTTCTCAACAGGGCTTGGGCTTGAGGGCTGCTTTATTCTCATGTGCCTTCATGATCATCCCTCGCTTCCCAAGTTTGGGTCCAGATTCTCTACCAGTACTAGAGAGAGGTGCGAGAAGGGCTGCTCAACAGGTGGTGGTTTTGTCCCCCAGGAGACACAGCAATGTCTGCAGCCAGTTTTGGACGTTAGCTGGGGGTGATGGTCGTACAGGCATCTAGTGCTGGAGTCCAGAGATGGTCTTAATGCCCTCTGATGGACAGGACAGCCCTTCTCAGCAGTGGGTCTTCCTGTCCAAGAAGGAGAACACAGGTTTCTCTGAGGATAATCACCTCAGATCCTTGAATTTTGGGGTCACGGGGCTGTAAATCCACAGTGTAGGATACGACTGGAAACTCAGTCTGGAAACATCTTTGGTTTTCACAACTAGGATGGAGCTGCTACAGGCCTCTTGTAGGTGCGAGAGTTAGGGTGTCAGCCGTGCTGAGGTTGGTAGACACCTCATCTGGGGCACTGAGAGACACCCTTCTCTTTGTTGTTGAAGTAAAGTCTGGGTTCAGATCTCCCTGATGGTGCAAGGGGTTAAGCACCACACTATGAGGCAGTCCGCAGCCTCTGCAGCACGAGTTCGATCCCCGGCTGGCCAGAGAGAAACCCATACGGCAAAGCAGACCTCTCCTGTCTCGCCCGCTGCTCCCCTCAGCAGTGTATTTCATCAGTCTGTCTGTTCTGTTCCCCGCTCTGTCTCTGGTGAATCTTCTCACCCGCCTGCACCTCTGGCCTGTACCCCAGCTGTTGTATGCATAAATAAATAAATCTTTTAAAAAAAAATGTGGGTTCAGTGATCTTAACACTGTATGTCCTCTACCCCAACCTTTGCTAATTTCCTCTCTGAACAGGGGGAACTCACTGAGCCTTAAAACATTGTTTTGATTTCACTGCCATATAATTTTTTTAAAGATTTATATATTTATGCTTATAAGAGCTGGGGTACAGGCTAGAGGTGCAGGGGGTGAGAGGATTCACCACAGACAGAGTGGGGAACAGAACAGGCAGACCGACTGAAACACACTGCTGAGGGGAGCAGCAGACGAGTCAGGAGAGGTCTGCTGCGCCATGTGGGTAGCTCCCTGGCCAGCTGGGGATTGAACTCCTGTGCTGCAGAGGCTGCAAATTGCCTCATAGTGCTGTGCTTAACCCCTTGTGCCACCAGGGAGGCCCCTCACTGCTATATTTGAAGGGTGAGCTGCCATCAAGGCAAGTGACTCTTGTGTTTACCATTTACCAAAGTGACACAGGATTTTGTTTTGGAAGGAATCTAAGAAAATGAAAAGTAAGTCACTTTTAGGAGTGGGTGGGAATAGTCACAGTGTGATTGTGTCCTGTGAGCACTGGCTGCGTGAGAGGCCTTTATAAGGCACTGTTTCTGCTCCACCCTTTGATTCTCATGTGACCCTCAGCAGAGTCAAGAAAACTTATTTCAGTGAGTCGTCATACAGTCTGACTTAGTATAGAACGCGCCTTTTTTTTTTTTTTTTAATAAACCCTTTTTTTTTTTTTTTTTTTAAGATTTATTTATTTATTTATTTATTCATACAAGCACTGGGGACAGTCAGAAGCGCGGGAGGGTGAGAGAATCCACCAGAGCCAGAGCGGGGAGCAGAGCAGGCAGAAGGACCGAAGTACACTGCTGAGGGGAGCAGCGGGCGGCAGGAGAGGTCTGCGCGCCATGTGGGACCCTCCTCTGGTGGCCGGGGAGCAGCCGGGGATCGAACCGGCGCTGCAGAGGCTGCGGGCAGCTTCGCAACCCCGCGCTCAACCGCTGCGCCACCGGGGAAGCCCTAGAACGCGCCTTTTATAAGGCTGTGCTCTCTAACTTTTTTGTAGAAAGTTCTTTCTCCCCCAGGAAATATGGATGATAGTAGATGACTTGATGGACCTGTGAATGTCCATATATGACCATATCTCTGAGTTGCATCCCTAAGTGTTATTTCTTAGAACTTCATGAAATGCTGAAATCTCCAAATGTACTGCTATTCCTTCTCTCCCCCTTACCTGTTGCTTGAGGGTGAATCTGCTCAGTTCATATCCCTGTCTCAACACCACCCTTCACTTGGGCTCAGACTGCTGACCCCCACCCCTCACACAGGGTTAGTCACTCCTTAATGTGGTGCTTGGGAGACCAGGGTCGGGAGCCATGCGTCTGGTGTTTAGTCCTAGCTCCATGCTTTAAAAACTATGAGGCCCTGGGCAACTTACTGAGCCTGTGTGCTGGTTGGTAAGTTGGGGATAACATGACATCTCCTGCCTAGGACTGTAGAAATGGTTAATGGCTGACTTATGTGACGGGCTCAGACAATGCCTGGTGTGGCCAGCAATTGACACCCTACTGTCACCACTGCTGTTAAATACTCTCACTCACCAGGCTTCTTGTTTTGCTCATGCCTGGACTCAGCACCTTCTGGAATCAAGTTGTGTAGCTTTATGGTGGACAGACCAGAGGACAGACGGCCAGACCTCGGTGTCCATAGTGGCTATGCCATGCGCCCACTCTGTGCTTTCTGGAAAGTCAGTTTATCTGCCTAAGCCTTGGTCCTTCATGTGTTAAATGGTGCTGGTCATGATACATGCTTGCTGGGGATGATGTGAGGAAGCCGCTGGATTCTGATTTTTCTATAACCTATAAAAGCATCACTGTGAGGGGTTTCCCTGGTGGCGCTGGGGTTAAAGTCTCAGCACTATCAAGCTGTCGTCAGCCACTGCTGCCTGAGTTCAATCCTGGCCAGGGAGCTACCCACATGGCGCAGCAGACCTCTCCTGTCTCCCTGCTGCTCCCCTCAGCAGTGGATTTCAGTGGATCCGCCTGTTCTGCTCTCCACTCTGGCTCTGGTGACTCCTCTCACCCCCCACATCTCTGGCCTGCAATCTAGCTCTTGTATGCAAAACTAAGTCTTTTTTTTAAAAAAAAAAAAAAAAAAAAGGGGCCTCCCTGGTGGCACAAGGGGTTAAGCACCGCACTATGAAGCAATCCGCAGCCTCTGCAGTATGAGTTCGATCCCTGGCTGGCCAGGGAGCTACCCACATCGCGAGGCAGTCGTCTCTTGTCTCCCCGCTGCTCCCCTCAGCAGTGTGTTTCATTAGATCCACCTGTTCTGCTCCCCACTCTGTCTTTGGTGAATTCTCTCACCTCCCGCACCTCTGGCCTGTACCCCAGCTCTTGTAAGTATAAAAAAGTAAATCTTTAAAGGGAAAAAAAAAAAGCAACACGGTAAAACTTTACTTAGGATCTGATAAAAAGATGTAGGTGAATGAAGATACATACCTTGTTTGGTTGAAATTAGTGACTATTTAAGTATGTCTGTTTATTGCCGTTTTCCCACCACAGAATGCACTTCCGTGTGTGGCACGGTCCTGTGGAGCCGGCTGTGTTCTCTGTATGCGCGCCACTTGGCATTGGAGTAAGCAGCTATGACGGAGCGGCGCGCCCCGGGTGTCTGGTGTGGGTGTGGGGGCCTCATCGGAGGCCTGGTCCACATCCTGAAGTGGCACATAAGGAGGTTTTATGTAGTTATTTCCTTCAGCAGTCCCGTGTCCTCTCTCCATGAACAGGGTATCCTGTGCCTGGACCTGAGCTGTTCGGCCAGCTGGAGCACGGGCACGAGCTGTGGGCAGTGAAGGAAGCTCTCTCCCAAGGCGGCTGTCCAGGTGGGCGTCCGAGGGGGCAGGCGGGAGGCCCTGTAGACGGAGCCTGGGCCTGGGGAGTGGGCTGAGCTGTGCACAGGGAGAGGAGAGGCATCACCCGCCTACCGCTGCTCCTGGATATGCTGGCGGGGGTGCTCTGATGTTCAAGATTTTGTGTTTCTCCACAGTTCCACTGGGCGGTTCCTGAGTATTGTGAGTGATGGAAGTAGCTCTTGTTTTGCTCATGGGGGTAACTTTTGGAAAACCCTTTAGGGTGGTTGCTGGTTACTAGGGAAGCCAGCCTGATCAGAGGGCTGCAACTTCCCCCCGACTCTGTGATTCCAGGGAAGGAGAAAGCTTCATCTATTTGCTTTTTAAAATATCAATACTTTGATTTTTTTTTTTTAATGCATAAAAGAGCTGGGGTACAGGCCAGAGATGTGGAGGGTGAGAGGATTCACCAGAGACAGAGTGGGGAACAGAACAGGCAGATCCACGGAAATACACTGCTGAGGGGAGCAGTGGGGAGACAGGAGAGGATTGCTTGGTGGGGATTGGTGGGGTTTCTGACACTTAACCCCTGGGCCCCCAGGGAGGTCCTGGGCTCCCAGGTTTCTAATGAGAAGTCTTTTGAATATCTTACTGAGAATTCCTTGACTGGAAGAGATTGCTTCAGCGTTGTTATGAAGGTTCTCTTTTATCTCAGGTTTTCAGAAATTTCATTATCGTATTTCTTGGAGTCAGTCTCTTGGAGTTCATTGAGCTTCTCTAGAGTTCACAGAGTTCTGTCAAATTTGGGAAACCTTCAGGTGTTTCTTCAGGAATGCTGACTGGCCCCTTCTCCTCCCACAGAGAGTCTCTTGGCTCCCTTGATGGCTGACAGGTCCCTTGCACTTGTTCTCTCTCCTTCCTCTCTTCTTTGCCTCAGAACTCAACAGTTTCCATTTTCCTACCTTCAAGTCCACTGATTTGCCTTCTGCCTGTTCATAGCTCCCTTTGAAGCTATCCAGGGAAGTTTTCATTTCAGTTACACTTTTCTGCTCCGTCTTTTTTTTTTTAAATGTTTTCTGCTCTTTTTTGGTCATTGCTTTTTGTTTTTTGATAGTTTTTGTGATCTTCTTTGTATCTCATTAGTTATTTAGTCTTCTAGAAGATGATCGTTGTACAGTCTTTCTTTAGAGGAACTGCATCCGTTATTTGTCAAGGATAGTTTTTGGGGTGTTTTCAAACTTGAGCTCCCATGTCCTCAGGGATTTGATACCTTCCTGGTGCCCCTGTATGGTCATCCCTGCGTGCAGTATTGCTAACCTAGGAATTTCACCTCCGGGTTCCAGACTCTTCTTGAGCACGGTCCATAAGCACAGTTGATTGAAATATTGCTTTCATGACTCAGTTCTCTGTGCTCCCTCCTTCCGCAGGCCCAATTGTTACCTCATGGCTCCACGCCCTGGACCTTTAACTGCTGTTTTCATCTTTTTGTTGTTGTTGAAATGCTGCTTTTTTGGGTCTATGTTAAAAATACCAGCAGACCTTGATGTGTGTTGGATTTCTTTCAGGTTACAAAGGAAAACTCAAGACCACAGAACCTCCCGTTCATGAGCCAGGTCTATCTGAGAGGCCCTCATTTCATGAGCCGCTAATACAAGAAGCCCCAGAAGACTCCCAGCTGAGCCATACCCAGGACCAGGATGGGCCGTCAGAAGTGCAGGAAGAACACTTGAGGCCAGAGAGAGGTGCTTGGAAGGAGACGAGCCCTGGGAAATCGAGTCCTGGGCATGACAACTCAGGCACAGCCCGGGGTGTGGGATCAAGGATGGCACAGGAGCCAGCCCCACCGGAGGCTGCCGTGCTTGACCTTAATTCATGTGAATCAGGTAAAGAACTCGTGATTCCGGAGGAGGAAAATGTCTTTAAATGCAGTGAGTGTGGGAAGGTTTTTAACAAGAAACGCCTCCTTGCTCGTCATGAGAGGATTCACTCTGGAGTGAAGCCCTATGAGTGCACGGAGTGTGGGAAAACCTTTAGCAAGAGCACTTACCTCCTGCAGCACCACATGGTCCACACGGGGGAAAAGCCCTATAAGTGCATGGAGTGTGGCAAGGCCTTCAACCGCAAGTCCCACCTTACACAACACCAGCGCATTCACAGTGGTGAGAAGCCTTACAAGTGCAGTGAGTGTGGAAAGGCCTTCACCCACCGCTCCACTTTCGTCTTGCATAACAGGAGCCACACTGGAGAAAAACCCTTTGTGTGCAAAGAGTGTGGAAAAGCCTTCCGAGATAGGCCAGGTTTCATTCGACATTATATTATCCATAGTGGCGAGAACCCTTACGAGTGCTTCGAGTGCGGCAAGGTTTTCAAACACAGGTCATACCTCATGTGGCACCAGCAGAGCCACACTGGAGAGAAGCCCTATGAGTGCAGTGAGTGTGGGAAAGCCTTCTGCGAGAGCGCAGCCCTCATCCACCACTACGTCATCCACACAGGGGAGAAGCCCTTCGAGTGTCTCGAGTGTGGGAAGGCCTTCAACCACAGGTCTTACCTCAAGAGGCACCAGCGGATCCACACTGGGGAGAAGCCCTATGTGTGCACTGAATGCGGAAAGGCCTTCACCCACTGCTCCACGTTCATCTTGCATAAAAGGGCCCACACCGGAGAGAAGCCTTTTGAGTGCAAAGAGTGTGGAAAAGCCTTTAGCAACCGGGCAGACCTGATTCGACACTTCAGCATCCACACTGGGGAGAAGCCCTATGAGTGCACAGAGTGTGGAAAAGCCTTCAACCGCAGGTCAGGCCTCACGCGGCACCAGCGGATTCACAGTGGCGAGAAGCCCTATGAGTGCATGGAGTGCGGGAAATCCTTCTGCTGGAGCACAAACCTGATCCGACACTCTGTCATCCACACTGGAGAGAAGCCCTACGAGTGCAGTGAGTGTGGAAAGGCCTTCAGTCGAAGTTCATCCCTCACTCAGCATCAGAGGATTCACAGTGGGAGAAACCCTGTCGGTGTGACAGATGTGAGAAAACCCTACACGAGCGGGCAGACGTCAGTTGACCTCCAGGAACTTTTGTCGGGAAAGGACTTTTTGAATGTTACCACTGAGGAAAGTCTTTTGCCTGAGGAAGCCTCGTACTCAGAATCGGATCATTCATACCAAAGAGAAACCCCTCAGTTTTCTTCCCTGTGAGAAAATTTTCTGTTGCAGGATGTCAGTTGCCATCTGAAGAATGGAAATTGACCCCGCCTGGTTCCCTGCCCCACATGCAGGAATCATCAAGGAGACAGACATAATGATTATTATGTACTTAGGAAAACTTTCAGCTCCATCTTTCTCCTTAGTTTACTCCGCAGTGTTATCTCAGGAAATTTTTTTAAAGGGAGGGAGAGACTAGAAGAGAAACTGAAACTTGTCATAGTTCCTTCAGATTTCCTTGCCACGCCTATGGCGTTCTGTCATGGATTCCTTTAGTTTAGGTGGCAGGAGAACAGATTCACTTCAGAGGTAAAGGACTGAGATTCCTCGTGTCCTGTGTAGACAGTCCTTGCTGTCCAGCGCCCGTGAAGCCAGGCGGCGGAGGGCCGCTCTGCCAGCCTCAGAACTTTCAGTGTCTCTTGTTCTAAACCCGTATCTGCCCTGCAGCACCTTAACTTGGGGGAGAGTTACGAAGGCCTAAACCACCACACCCCTTTGTAGTTGAGATAAAATGCACAAATGAATGGGCACGTCTTATTGCACCAGTTAGGAGAGTTTGAGGCTTTGCTTTTTAGTCAACAAACCCTTTCTTCATGTGGCTCTAAAGACCTCATGTGCAGCCTTCTCTTGGCTGGTGCTGTTGCTTCGCTTCCTTGCCGTCGCTCTGTGGTAAATCTTGTCATTGGGTCGAGTGACTCCTCATTTCCCATACTGAAGATTCATGTAGCACTCCTAGTTGCTTTGAATTTCCATGTAATTCTTGGAAGCTCCTGTCTGTTTTACCCAAAAGTGATCTTTTGTTGAATGTTGATAGAAACTGAGTTATAATCGGTGGATTGAAAGTCAGCGTCTACTGCGTTGAGCTTCCAGCTCATGAACATTTTGTCTCTACGTTCATTTAAGTTTTGCTTGACTGACTTTGTTACTGTTTTATAAATGTCAATAACAGGTCCTGTACGGTTTTTGTAAGATTTATATCTTGGGTTTTTTTTTAAATTTTGGTCATTATGGGTGGCATTGCTTTTTTCAATTTCCACACAGTCTTTGGTAGGACACAGAAATACAAATTTTTTTTTGGAAGCTGTTACCCTGCAATGTACCTGTAGTCATTTCTTTAGATTGCTTGAGGTTTCCCACATAGCAGTATCACTTGCTAATGGGGAGAATTTCATTTCTTCTCATCGGTATATTTATTCCCTTTTTTCATTTTACTGTATTATCTAGTATTTACAATAGGATGTTGAATAGTAGTTGTGAAAAAGAATACCCTTTCCTGGCTCCTGATACAGGGGGAAAGCATTGTTTTTCATCATTCAATGTGATGGTGTAAGGTTTTTTCATGAAGATTTCTTACCAAGTTCAGAAAGTTTCACATAATCCTAATTTGCTGAGAGATTTTTCTCATCATGAATGGGTATTGAATTTTGTCAAATGCATTTCTATTTCAATTGATAGAGTCTTGTGTTTTTTCTTTGTAGCCTGTTCATGTGATCCGTTTGCATTGATTTGAATGTTGAACCAGCTTTGTATCCTTGCAATAAGCCCCAGTTGGCCATGGAATATAATTATTTTTATATATTATATTGCAGTATTGAATATGCTAGTCTTTGTTGAGGAAATTTTCTTCTATTAGCAATATGTGGTTTTCATTTTCACTTTTGTCTTTTTTGTTTTTGTGCTGTCATTGTCTGATTTTGGTGTTTAGGTAAAACTGGCCTCCCAGCCAGAGCTCCTGTGTTGCATGGTTTTCCTTCTGGTATTTGGGAAACAGTTTTTAGAATTGGTTTTGCTTTTATTTTATTTTTTTTAAGTTTGGTAGCGTTCTTCTGTCTGGATATTTTTCTTTTGGATGCTTCTTAAATATGTATTTATTTTATTTAATATGTATAGAATTATTCAGAGTATCTATTTCAATTGCAATGAATTTTTATACTTTGTCATTTTTTAGGAATTGTTCTGCCTAAATTTTATTTGTTTCAGGTATGTCTTTGTCATTCTTTTTTTTGGCAGTAAAACTTCCCATCCTGATACTGGAAATGTGTCAACTCTCTCTCAGTCTTTTTAGACATTTATCAATTTTATCGATCATTTCAAAGAAGTAGCACTGTACATCATGGCTTTCCCTGTTGTCTCTCCGCCGTGCACTGTATTGTCTGCTTTCCTCCCCGGTGGCTTTTCTTCCGCTTCTCCCTGGCAAGGGTGCTTCAGCTAGTGAGTTGCTGTATTTTGCCATTGCGCTGTTAACGGTTTTCCTCTCCAGCCCCGGCTTTTAGCTTTACCCCGTGTATTTTCATACATTTCATTTAGTTTTACTTTTTTTTTTTTTTTTTAATTTAGAACTAAATGGTTTAATCTCTCAGTGTTTGGGATATTTCATGCTCTTTGTTACTGATTTGTTTTTGTTTTATGTTTGATTGTTTAAATTAGTCGAGGTTCCTTCCGTCACCCAGGATACAGTCTGTCTTGCTTAATCTTCCGTAAGCCTGCTTGAAAAGAACGTGTGTTCTGTGTGTGGGCAGAGTTTGTATAAACACCTGCATGGTCCTGAGGGTTGGTGAACGAACCGGCGCTGCAGAGGCTGCAGGCAGCTTCACAGCCCAGCGCTCAACCGCTGTGTCACCAGGGGAGGCCCTATTCATGTTTCTAGATCCCTGCTGACTTCCTGTGTGGCGTTTCGATCAGCAGCTGGGAGGCTGTGGCAGTCCTACACTCATTCTTCACATGCCCCTTCATGTGCTTCATGTATTTCAAAGCCCCCTTGTTTGGTGAAGACCCACACTGGATTGCTCTGTCATCTTGGGGTAGTGACTGCTTGAGCTCTCCATGGTGTTCCTGTCCGCCTCTGTAAATTCGTTGGGCCTTGAACTGTCCTTTACCTGCTATTAACTTAGCCGCTAACGTAGTTTTGGTTTCGTGTTGGCATGGTTTCTAATTTGCCTTAACTTTATTTTCAGCCATGTCTGTATGCCCCGAAACTTAGATTTGAAGTTAGTCTCTGCGAACAACACACACTCGGTCTTGCTTTCTTTTTAACCATTTTACCAATTTTTATTTTTAAATTGGTGTATTTAGACCATTTAACTTTCAACTATTTTTTGATACATTGGGGCTTAAGTCTTTTACTGACTTGTTTTTTGCTTTCGTTCTGTTTGCTGTTCTCTGTTACTGTTCTGTTGTTTTGCCTTCCTGGGGGTGATGCTAATTTTTAGAATTCCGCTTGCTATACCTAGGATTCAGAGTCTCTTTGGATCTCTCCGGTACAGAGATAGTGTGCATGCGTGACTGTGCTGCCCTGCGCTTCGACATCGCAAGGCATGGCCGTGGCCATGAGCGCCTTGCTTCTGGGGGTCCCCTCGCGACTCCTCTCACACACACCACCGTGTTGGATGATGGTCTCGTTTTTGCTTCAACCGGCAAAGGTACTTTTACAGAACTCATGAGAAATAGTCTTTTTACCTCTCCTTAATCATTCCATTCATGAAGAATGAATCTTTCTTCATGAAATCCCAGGATTTCTTCTGTTAATATTCTTTCTTTTTTGTGGGCTCTTATAGTCTTCTAGGATAAATGTTTTTGTTTTCCTTCATCTTAAAAATGGCTGTCTCCTCCTCACTCCAAGGTTATTTTTATTGGATATAAAATTTGGGGTCAGGTTTGTCAGTACTTGAGAGACGGTATCTCCTTCTGTCCCCCCGGTGTCAGGTGAGAAGCTGGCTGCTGTCTGTCCTGTCAGTCTCGTGTCTCTGAGGCAGTCTTTCTGTCAAGCTGCTTTCTGTCAGCAGTTCAGACATGGGATTGTGCGTCCTGTTGTGAAATATCTTGGGCATCCTGTTTGATGTATGTTCAGCTTTTTTTATCTGTTAGTGTATGCCCTTTGCCAGGTTTGGGGAAGCTTTTCCTTTAATTCAAGTATTTTTTCAGCCTCACAGTTCTCTCCTCTCTTTCAAGGACTCCAGTAACATGAATGGTTGATCTTTCGTTCTTGTCCCTCAACGCCCGCCTTCCCTACCCCCCTGTCTGTCCCTCCGTGCCTTTGTCTGCTTTCTCTTTATTGCTCAAATGTTTTCATTTCCATTGATCTCTCTTAGCTGCCTCATTCTTTTCTCTCTCATATCCAATTTGCGCTTTGACTTTTCATTTTGGTTTTTGATTTTTGAGCTGTTTAATTTCTGTCTGTTCCTTTTATATGTATTGTGTTTTCTTTGCCTAGTTATAAAGCTGAAAAAGACTGAGAATCCAGAGGAACTGCAGTCCAGTGCCATGGTTCTCTGGTGGCTAGCCTTGACGTTGCACTAGAAATCCCAAATTGGGTGGCGCAGCGGTTGAGCGCTGGGTTGCGAAGCTGCCCGTGGCCTCTGCGGCGCCGGTTCGATCCCCGGCTGCTCCCGGCCACCGGAGGAGGGTCCCACATGGCGTGCAGACCTCCTGCCGCCCGCTGCTCCCCTCAGCAGTGTACCTCGGTCCTTCTGCCTGCTCTGCTCCCTGCTCTGGTTCTGGTGAATTCTCTCACCCTCCCGCATTTCTGACTGTACCCAGTGCATGTATAAACAAAGAAACAAACAAATAAATAAATAAATAAAAACATGCCTCTATTAAAAAAAAAAAAAAAAAAAAAAAAAAAGAAATCCCAAATTACCCAGGGAGGGGCGTGCAGTGTCCTCAGTGCAGTTCTCATGACTGAGGGAGCCTCGGATGCCGCGAGCTGTGTCCTGCGGGACAGCTTTGTGCGTGACTCTAACTCCCGTGACGTCCTCAGAGCCGGGTCACTCCTCTTCCAGGAGTGTTTATCCTCGTGGTTGAACACCTCCAGCCCCACCCCAGCTTGTCTAGGCCACCCCCACTGCTTGATCTCTGACGTGTCCTCTCGATCCCCTCCGTCCTCACGGTCTGTGCCTGTGTGCGTGTCTCTGTCACCCCAGCACGTTCTGCTCCACTCGCCAAGAGGACTCTGCTTCTGTCCTCTCTCTCCTGGTCATTGCGCCACTGCCCTGTCCACCCACGCCTGTCCCCTCACCTGAAGTCCCTCCAACCCCCTGGAGTAAAAATGGCTTCCGCCACCTTCTATTGACATCACCTTTTCTCCCAAAGCGCCTTTGTGTCCCACCCACCCCTTCATTATGGGGCCCTTTGCTGGTGTCCGCCTCTCTGAGTCGAAGGCCTTTGCTGGTTTCTGTGAGTCCTGCCCTTCTTCAGGTGGACAGCCTCTCCCTCCCACCTGTTAAACAGATTCATTCCTTGGCCACTGCTTTTCTCACTTGTGTTCTCCGTGAGTGAGTTAATTCCCTCTCAAGAAGTTTGCTCTCAGTAATACACAGCATTCACCCAAATCCATGTCTGCAGGTTGAATAGTTTTCATGTCCAGTACCCAGTTCATCCTTCCACATCTCCTCTGCATCCGTTATCTCTGCGCTCTCGCACTTACCCTGTCATCACGCTGGAGCACCCATGGAGCACATGCCGTGTTAGTATCAGCCATTGTTTTTCATGTCTTTTACACATCAACTGTTAATCTTCTTCACAAGTCTATGTGGCAGGTAATGTTATCCTCATTTTTTTTTAAAGATTTATTAATGCATAAAGAGCTGGGACAGGCCAGGGGTGTGGGGGTGAGAGGATTCACCAGAGACAAGAGTGGGGAGCGAATCTACTGAAAAACACTGCTGAGGGGAGCAGGAGGGGCCTGCTGCACCATGTGGGTAGCTCCCTGGCTGGCCAGGGTTCGAACTCCTGATGCAGTGGCTGCAGATAGTTTCACAGTGCTGTGCTTAACTCCTTGCACCACCAGGGAGGCCCTGTTATCCACATTTTATAGGTCAGAAAACTGAGGCACAGACAAGACACTGCCCGAGGCTGTATAGCTGACCAGGATGTGCTTGACCAGGGACTGGAGGCCATTAACCAGGCTGCAGAACCAGGACCTATTTTTAGCTGTAACTGCCTTTTCTCATTTGACACTTTCGAATGATTGGAACCCTCCCGTGATGCTAACTCTTCTTCACAGTGACCCGAATGGGACTAAATTATTATCTTCAACTGTCTTTTAATGGATACTTAACAAGTACAGTTTGCTACAACAACAAAAAAGCCAGTTTTTGGTAAAGTTTTGTACATGTAAAGCATCTTAAGTAAAATAATGGTTTATGTCACAGTGGAAATCCTTTAAAAGTAAGTAGTCAGGATTTAATTTGGTGGTGATGGAGAATGATGAGAAAAGATTTGCCTCCTTATGTGTCCTCGGGTCATTTGACTTGCAAATACTGCCTTTGTTTGCCCTTATTTCTATAAAGATGTAACGGCCAGGCCAGTGTGTGTGTTTCCACTGAATGTATGTCAGCAGCTGCTCCTGAACGCTGTGTTCCTGCCAGTGAAACTTGTAGCCTTTGGCTCAACAAAGACAATACTTCAGAATGCGGGGTTATCTAACTCCTCAGTAAATGTGCATAATTGGCTATGAAAGGTGTGCTGCGGCAGGTGTGGTCAAGGTCAAGGTCAAGGTCGTGGGCTTTGTGGGCTCCCACGAGAGGGAGGGCCTGGGCCCGCAGGGGAGCTGCCTCTCCCCCCACCCCCCCCCCACAGGGACCCAGCTCTGGGAGCTCGAGCCCCAAGCTCTCCTTTGTACCTCCTTTGTACTCACACTTTGTCCCACCCGCTGCCTTTACTGCCTGAGCCATGGGGGGGCTGGTGAGTCCCGGAAGGCTCAGTGGTGCCACCCTTGGATTGTGAGAGTTGAAAGGGTTGTCCCCCATTCACGGCTGCGTGCCACGTCTCAGAGTTGAATGAAGCGTGTTGTAAACGGCCGCCTTGTGGAGCAGGGTCAGGCGCGTGGGCCTGGGGCCCAGCCTGTTCGCCGCAGCCTGTCTACCCGCTATGGGGGACGTCGTCCGGTTGCAGCCCTTGAAGGAAGCATTTTTTTTTTTAAAGATTTACTTTATTTATCCAAGAGCCGGGGTACAAGCCAGAGAAGCGCAGGAGGGTGAGAGGATTCACCAGAGACAGAGCGGGGAGCAGAACAGACAGACTGACCAAAGTACACTGCTGAGGGGAGTAGCGGGCAAGACAGGAGAGGTCTGCTGCGCCATGTGGGTAGCTCCCCTGGCTGGCCGGGAATCCAACCTGCGCTGCAGTGGCTGCAGATTGCTTCATAGGTTGCATCTTAACCCTTGCACCACCAGGGAGGCCCCAGAAGTGATTTTTTACACTTACAAATTTATTGGCACTTATTTCTTCAACAACTTAAGTATTTCCTTCTACTAACTTTATACTGTATTTGAACAGACACTGTGTTGTGTGAAACAGAGATATACACAACAGACAGCGCTCCTGGGCTTTGAGACATTATTTGGATCTGCATTGCAGAAGATGTCACCCACATTAACAAGGGTGTATGACTATAGATGGTGGGCCTCTCTGGTGGTGCTAACCCTCCCAGGGGTTAGTCTCAGCGCTATGAAGCTATTGCCAGCCACTGCAGCATGAGTTCGATCCCCGGCCAGAGAGATACATGGCACAGCAGACCTCTCCTGACTCACCCGCTGCTCCCCTCAGCAGTGTATTTCAGTCAATCCGCCTGTTCTGTCCCCCACTCTATCCCTGGTGAATCCTCTCATCCCCGCACCCTCTGGCCTACACCCTTTTTTTTTTTTAGATTTATTTATTTTTTTAAAAGATTTATTTATACAAGAACCGGGATACAGGCCAGATCCATGGGAGGGTGAGAGGATTCACCAGACACAGCGGGGAACAGAACAGGCAGACCAATGAAATACACTGCTGAGGGGAGTAGTGGACGCAACAGGAGAGGTCTGTGGCGCCATGTGGGACCCTCGCTGGCCGGTAGGGATCGAACCAGCACTGCAGAGGCTGCGGACAGCTTAGCAGCGCGGTGCTCAACCGCCTGCGCCACCAGGAGAGGCCCTACACTCCAGTTCTTATATGCATAAATAAATTGTAAATCTTAAAAATTAGTATAGATGGTGAACAATAAAATGGGCATGTGAGGGATTGTGCTATCTATCGATAGAAACCTATTAGGCGTCCACCAATACTGTCTTGACCTGGACGCCCACAAGGACCTCCCTTACACTCCCTTTGGGACCATGCAAATGCGTTTTGGCCACTGGAACATGGGCAGAGGTGATTGTGGCAGTGTTTACTGGTGCTCCTTCTTGTGGTGCCTCCTTGGGGCTCAGCAGTTCCCTTTTTTGCCCCTTTGTTAGCTGTAGGTTCGGGTGATGGGAAGATGTTCTCTTGATGGTGAGAACCAGTTGAGAGACCCCGAACCACTGGATGTCAGGCGGGGCCACCTCATGAGCACACATTGGTACTTGGGTCTCCTGGCCATTGAGCCAGAGGCGGGAGTCCAGCCTTTGTTCCTGTGAATTAGACATAAGTTATGACTCATTTTATGAAATCAACCAAGAAGTGAGACTGAACGCAACTGTCCATTTAGGCGGAGCAGCGCTAAGTCGCAGGCTCTCCCGTTTTGAATCCTCTTCCCCTAAGAATCTCCCCTGCACAACAGATCTTCCTGGAGTTTATGAACCCCTCTTGCATGTGATGGTTTTTAGAAAATTAAATGAGCCTAAAAGCACAGAGCTGTGCCTTCTGCAAAAACTGCACGACGCTGTCGCGGAGCCTGGGAGCCCTGGCAGCGATCCCGCGAGCGGGTGTGCTGCGTCCGCAGCCGCGTGTGGGGGTCTCGGGGTGGCGACGCTCGGGGCCGAGCCCGCCCCTCACTGCCGTTCTGGGCGTTTTCTCATTTGAGTCGCGGGACTCCTTTTGGGAGGTTACGCCTTAAAGACGGCCCCGCCCACGTCTCGGCGCGGGCCGCCCCATTTCTAGGTCGGAAGACGCGGACTGGGCCCAAACCTGTGTTTCCAGTAAGCCCCCAGGTGACGCCGACGCTGCCGAGCCAGGCGCCGCGGCCTGGGTACCCCCGGAGCGCAGGCGTCCCGGAGCGCAGGGAGGCGAAGCGGCCGCGCCTGCAAAGAGCCGCCCGCGCCGACGCGCGATACCCGGGTGACGCGGCCCGACGCCCTCGTCGCCTCCCGGCGCTCCGCTGTGACGTTGTCCCCGTGGGCGGGGCGGCCGCTGGGCACCGGAAGTGCGCTCGGAGCCAGGGACGCCAACTACATCGCCCAGAAGTCTGTTCGCGGCGCCCACCAGCCCTGGAGGCGTGTCCGCTTGGAGGCGGGACTTCCGGCGGTGCCCGTGACGTCCTCCGCCGGCGCCGCACCGTCGGCCCTGGCTGCAGCGGCAGCGAGTCCCGGGCCGGGCGGGAGCCGAGCCGGCGGGCGGCGGAGCGGGTCGGCCTCGCGCGGGGCGGCCGCTCCCAGGCCTCGGGGTAGCGCGGGCTCCGGCGACCGCCGGCCCGGCCGCCCCGCCCCGCCTCGCCCGGCCCGGCCTGCTCGCGCGGCCCGATGGCGGCCCCGGCGCAGGTGAGCGCAGCCCCGAGCGCGCCGCTCCGCGTCTGACGACGAGTCCGGGGCGCGACTCGCCGCCCCCTCCGGGCCGGCCCGACGCGCGGGGTCCCGGGCGGGCGGCTGCACGGCTGAGGCCCGGCGGCGGGCCCGGGAGGTGCGGGACGGGACGGGCCTGGCCGCGGAGCGGGGCGCTTGGGACGGGCAGGCTCGACGCGGCGCTGGGGCGGGGAGTGGGTTGCGTGGCTTCCCCGGGGGCCGCCGGCGCGCAGAGGTCCTGGGGTCCCTGCCGCGCCCTGCGCCTGCCTCCGGGGTCCCGCCGGGCCGTCCTGGCTCCCCGGTCAGGAGTGGGTGGGGTGCGGGCTGCGAGGCGGTGGCGGGCCCAGGGGCGGGACGTGCCCACGTTGGAGACGAGCCTGGCGGGAGCGAGGACCCCAGGTCTTGATTCTGTCAGAGAGGCCAGGAGCCACCCCCAGGGCCGGCCTCTGTTCTGAGGGCGGCGGGTGCCACGGAAGATGCAGCCGATGAGGGGGACGAGCGATCTGCGTCGTCGCGGGCGCCCTCTGACGCTCCGTGTTGAGTGAGGGAGTGTGGGCACCAGGGGGGCTTCCAGGAGAGCGCGGAAGAAAAGTTGGGGGTTTTGTGATCTTTAAGTCAGTGACATGAAGGGAAAAGCCCGGAGCACCCCGCAAGGTGTTTCTGCTTTGGCTGGTGGGTGGCGGAAGTGCCAGCAACCGGGCTGGGAAGGTGGGTGGCAGGGGACGTTTCCCTGCTGCGTGGGCGTTAGCAGCCTAACGCCTGTGTACGGAGTGCCCGAGGCCTCTGTGTGAGACATCAGGCTGGACACAGGCTAACCGCTCGGGGGGAGGGGTCCGCCGTGGGCTGTGCCTGGAGTGGGTTAGAGCCCTGGATTACGTTTCGGACGTGCCTTCATGTCATGCTGGCCATGCCGTTTAGCACAAGAAGGGAATGTGGGGTGATGCCTTTGCTTCCTGTTGGGCCCTGTCCCTGCAGCGTCTGGCCACAGGGAATCGCCACACGGAGATTATGGAGAATTGAGTAGGGGGTGTGGGTGAGCGGGGTGGCTAGGCTGGGGACTGAGGGCTGGGTCTCTTGCTTAGGCACTTGGGTGGCCTGGGTGGGGCCATAATGAAGATGGGTGAACACTTCCTGGGTGCTGGAGTAGGGGCAGTCATTTGAGGCTGCGCATGATGTGCACTAGGAGGTGTTCAGGGGTTCTGAGGGTCCCAGGTATGGGGAAGAGTTCAGAGTGGCGTGCAGGTGGGGTGGGGTGTCACCTGACAGTCACCAGGTCAGGTCTGGCAGGGTAGGCTGGATGCCCCAGGTGTGCTGATTAGTGGGGTAGAGGTTGGGGCGCCTCATGCCAGGCCCAGAGCTCATCTGTCCCCTTGCTGGATCTGCCATGAGCTGGAGTCCGTCAGACCGACAAATGGAGGGAGCCGGCTCTGGAGGGCCTGGTGTGTCCTCTGAGGCGGGAGGCAGGGAGGAGAGGGCAGCGGTGGGGCTGTGAGCCACAGAGTCCGGCCAGAGCTGCTGCCTGTGCGCTCAGCTGTCCCCGTCCTGCCAGGCCTGTGTGACCTTCGAAGACGTGTTCGTGTACTTCTCCCGGGAGGAGTGGGGGCTCCTTGAAGAAGCTCAGCGGTTCCTGTACCGGGATGTGATGCTGGAGAACTTTGCGCTCGTGGCCTCGCTGGGTAAGTCCCAGCCACAGTGTCTGCCGGTGCATGACAACCTGTCGCACAACGTGGTAGCTTAAGACAATTTTTTTAAAAATCACTATCTCAGTTTTAGTGCATCAGGAACCCGGTCGCAGGGCTTCCCCGGGTGCTTTTGACTAGGGTCTCATGGCGTTTCTTTCAGTCTGTCGCCCAGAGCCCTGTTCCCATCTTAAGGCTGTTTTGAAGGAAGCCTCTTAGAGTCATTCATGTGACTGTTTGCAAAAGGTAGTTTTCTGCAGCTTGTCAGACTGTGAGCTTCACTTGCTGGGTGTTGACCAAAGGCCTCCCTTGTTCCTTGTCAGGTTCACCGATCTGCGGTGTGCCTGGCAGCGTGGAAGCCACCTGCTCCCTGAGCAGCTGAGCAGGGAGACTGCAGGGTGGGGGCTGGTCTTTCTGTGACTTGAGTATGGACGGTATAGCCCGTCACTGTTGCCACATTCACTTCCTCAGAAATAAGTGAGTTGTGGCATCCTGCACTCAAGGGAAAGAGGCTTTACAGGGGCACCAACCTGGAGGTAGGCGTCACCAGGGCCCTCAGGTAGGCTGCCTTCCACAGATCCTCACATCCACTGCAGTGTCCTGGGGCTTTGCTCATTGCCCTGCTCCCCGGTTACCTCTTCCTTCCAGCCACGTCGGTGACTCTTCTCCCTCCCTACTTCGGTTCCAGAGGAGGTGCCGTGGTGCCTGGGCCGGGCCGTGGCTGGTGCCCCTCCTTCACAGAACAGTCCCGACACTAGCTGCCCCGGGGCCTTGCAGCCATGGGCTGGTGGGCTATACCTTCCCTCAACCTCGGTATCCCGAGTTCTGCCCTTGTTCTCTAGCAACATTTCCCAGGGCCTGACTGCCAGGAATTACAATAATGCCACGGTCGCTGCTTGTTAGGCTCACATGCTCGTCGGCCAAAATCTCCTTGGCGCTTCCTTTGCAACATTTCATTTCCTGCCGGTGGGATGAGTCAACCTGGGCTACTGATCTGCCTGTTTTCTTTACACTTTTACCTTGAAGGTCCTATGTAGTTGGGGCCTGACAGGACCGACCTATCCCTGGGGGCCTGATAGGGCAGACCTGCCTCCAGCCGCAGTGCAAGAGACCCGGAGACCGCGTGGCCCTGCAGGGTGGGAGATGGGAGAGTGTCGTGTGAGGGCTGGGTGCAGGTCACACCTTCCTCCTGCTCTGTGCTCACCAGGATTCTTGCTGAGGCCCATAGCAGTTCTCTGTTTCTACCTCTCCTTGCAGTCTCACTTGCATTCAGACTTCCCGAGGCCCGGACATGTCTTTCTGCTCTGAGCTCTCCTGACCCCAGCAGCCAAGGAGCAGAGGAGCAGTAATTTGGAGACTGTACTTTCCACCACCACCGTGTCTTTCCTCACGGTTCCATCCTCTGTACCTTGACGATTAGCGCCCCAGGACTCCCTGGCTCTCGTTCTGGCTCCCTTGTGCCGACAGGCCAGTGGGCTTCGTCATGGGCGTGTCACACACACATCTGTGATGGGGTCACTGCTTCCTACCAAAGCCAGCATGTCCTTCACCAGCATTTTTTTGCTTTCAGATTGTTGGCGTGAGGCGGACAGCGCGGAGGCCCATACTGAGCAGAGTGTTTCTGTTGAAGGAGTGGCTCGGGTCAGGACTCCCAAGTCAGGCCTGTTTATCCAGCAAGCCCACCCCTGTGAGATCTGTGACCCACTCTCGAAAGACCTAGTTCCCCGGGCTGGACGACAGAGGTCACCGCTTGTGCATCAGCTGCAGAGGGACGACCCCTGCCGGAGCGAGTTCTCAGTCAGTGCAAACTTTCGCCTGCACCTGGAGCCACCTGATGGAGGGAATCCCTTCGGAGGCCGTGCAGATGGGGCCTCGTTTGGGAAGAGCTGTGCAGTCCACAGAGGGGGACCCTTTGCGTGCGGGCAGGACGGAATGGACTTGCTAGATGACTGCGGCCTCTTCCAACCCCAGGCCACTCACCGCGGGGTGAGATCATACAAAAGGGCTGAGCTCACAGAGTCTTTCCCCACCGGCTCCCGTCTTGAGCAGCACCAGGGTGATCCTGCTGGGCTTCTGCTTTTCACCTGCAGTGACAGCGGGAATGCCTTTCTCGACACCTTAGCTCTCCTTGACAACCAGATAACTCGTCCTGAGGTGAGACCCTTTAGAGGCCTTCCCTGTGAGAATGTGTCCAAGGAGAAATCAGCTCATGCTAGTCACAGAAAAACTCAGAGTGGAGAAACATTACATGTGTGTGAGGAGTGTGGAAAGGGCTTCGTCCACCTGTCCCACCTGAAAATGCACCAGAAGTTTCACCCGAGAAAAAGACAGCACACGTGCAGTGAATGTGGGAAAGCCTTCAGCCGCAAGGATACCCTCGTGCAGCACCAGAGAGTGCACACTGGAGACAGGGCTTTTGATTGCAGTGAATGTGGAAAAGCCTACAGCCGAAGCTCGCACCTTGTGCAGCACCAGCGAATCCACACCGGGGAAAGGCCTTACAAGTGCAGTGAATGTGGGAAAGCCTTCAGCCGGAAGGACACTCTTGTGCAGCACCAGAGATTTCACACTGGAGAGAGACCTTACGAGTGCAGTGAGTGTGGGAAATTCTTCAGTCAGAGCTCCCACCTCATTGAGCACTGGAGAATTCACACAGGCGCAAGACCCTATGAGTGCATTGAATGTGGGAAGTTCTTCAGCCACAACTCCAGCCTCATCAAACATCGCCGTGTCCACACAGGCGCGAGGTCTTACGTGTGTGGCAAATGTGGGAAGGCTTTCAGCTGCAAAGACACGCTTGTTCAGCACCAGATCATTCACACCGGAGCGAAGCCCTATGAGTGCAGCGAGTGCGGAAAGGCCTTCAGTCGGAAAGACACACTGGTGCAGCACCAGAAAATCCACACTGGAGAAAGACCTTATGAGTGTGGCGAGTGTGGAAAATTCTTCAGTCACAGCTCCAACCTCATTGTCCACCAGAGAATTCACACGGGAGCGAAGCCTTACGAGTGCAGTGAGTGTGGGAAATGCTTTAGCCACAACTCCAGCCTCATTCTGCACCAGAGGGTCCACACCGGCGCCAGGCCTTACGTGTGCAGTGACTGTGGGAAGGCCTATATCAGTAGCTCCCATCTTGTGCAACATAAGAAAGTTCACACTGGAGCGAGACCTTATGAGTGCAGTGAATGTGGGAAATTTTTTAGCCGCAACTCGAGCCTCATTCTACACCAGAGGGTGCACACCGGAGAGAAGCCTTACATCTGCAGCGAGTGTGGGAAGGCCTACAGCCGGAGCTCCCATCTCGTCCGGCACCAGAAAGTTCACAATGGAGAAAGGCATCTGAGTGCGGCGGTTCTGGTGGCCATTTAGCTTTCTGTGGCAGCAGAAAGCTCGCACTAGAGAAGAGCTGTCGGTGCAGAAAATGCTCTCTCCCTGTGCAGCCTAGGGGGACCCACCACAGAAAAGGTGGGCGCACCCTTTGTGAGGGAGCCGGCAGCCTGCAGGTGCACCTGTTGCGTTCTGATGTCCGCTGTGGGGGAAGCCCAGTAAGTACCACAGAGACCCACCTCCACAACCTGAGAAGCACTTTCTGAGCCGTCCAGGACTCTCCACAGAGTGATGTCACTTCCAGTGCCTGCGGCGGAAGCCTCGGGGCCGCCAGCTCTTCAGCATTTGACAGCGTGCGGCTGTCAGCCCCGCGTGCTCGGGGAAGGCAGACCCCGGGACCCCTGGACCCACCGAGTCCTGGGAAGGCATCACTGCTGTTCTGGCCCCGCTGGCACGCGCCTCATTTCCTCGCCTCTGACTGTGCTCTGCGTGCATGTCATCTTCCTCTGGCCCAAGGGATCTGAGCCGGAGTCCTCTGGGAGTGTCCGGGTGAGATTTTCCTTGTGCGTGGACAGTGTTGGGTGTTGACTGCAGTCGCCCAGATTTTCTCATCCTGCGTCCGCACACCCAGTTGAGAGTGCGCGTCCCTCGCTGGTCTGGTGTGTGCTGTGGGGAAGGCCTGTGTGGCAGTTTTTACTCGGGGGTGGAATGTGGAGGGAGCCGTGCACTCTGTGGAATGGTTTGAGAAGAACTGCTTCCAGTCCGCGTGCAGGGAAGAGCACGTTTTGTCAGCATGACTTCATGCCTCTGAGGGCGCACCAGGTTGGCAGAGGACAGACCTCAGCCTGGTTTGGCCTAACTGCTTTGTTGCCCGGAGCTTGTTTGAAGCTGAAGAGCTTTGTGCACCTAATCCTTTGATCTGGAAGTCAGGATTTGCTGTGAGTCCAGAGTTCATTCTGAGGAGGGCATACCTGAAAAGTTCCCGTGCTTCTGGAAGTGACCTGAATCGGCACCTTGTTCCTAGGGAATGTCCCATATTCCCTGTTACTTTTTTGTTTTTTAAGTTGGACCAGTTGACTTTTTTCTTTTTTAGATTGATTTATTTATGCATACAAGAACTGGGGTACAGGCCAGAGGTGTGGGGGGAGGTGAGGATGTAACAGAGACAAAGTGGGGAGGGAACAGAGCAGGCAGATCCTCTGGAATCCACTGCTGAGGGGAGCAGCAGGGAGACAGGAGAGGTCTGCTGCGCCATGTGGGTTGTTCCCTGGCTGGGGATTGAACTTGTGCTGCAGAGGCTGCGGACAGCTTCACAAGTTGTGTCCTAACCCCTTGTGCCACCAGGGAGGCCCCCTAATTCCCTGTTGCTTGTGAGGAATTTTATCTCTTGGGCCTGTGCAGGAGCCAGTCCCCGATGTCCAGCATCCCACAGGCAGGTGTCAGCGACGGGAAGGCGTGCAGGGCGACGCGGGCTGGGGTGATGGCGTGGGGGGCGTGGCAGATGAGAGGGCAGGCGGGTGCTCCAACGGAGGCTTCTGCAGATGTCCATGCTCCTTAGGCCATGTGGGAGGAGGGTGGACAGAAATTCTCAGCAGCTTCACACCTGAATCTCCCGTGGGCAGTGCCTCTTACCCTGTAAAGTGCATCATGTAAGGTTTGTGACTTCTGTGCTGTGAACCCTGTGGCTGTCACAGCACGTGCACAAACCCTGGTACTGACCAAGGAGATGCAGGGGTAGGGCTTCTCCAGCCCAGCAGCCTTCCTAGTGACTGCTTTCCAGTTTGTTTGTTTTTAAGATTTACTTAAAGATTTTAAGATTTACTTATGCACACAAGACCTGGGGTACAGGCCAGAGGTGAGGGGGCTGAGGGCATTCACCAGAGACAGAGCAGGGAACAGAACAGGCAGACTGAAACACACTGCTGAGGGGAGCAGCGGGGGAGACAGGAGAGGTCTGCTGTGCCATGTGGGTAGCTCCCTGGCCGGCTGTAGAGGTTGTGGATTGCTTCACAGTGCTGTGCTTAACCCCTTGCGCCACCAAGGAGGTCCTCATTGCTTTCCAGTTGTTGCTGACATTGAGGCAGGGGGCAGGGCTCACCAAACTTGTGGGGAGAGAGGAATGGTAGAGCCAAAAATTACAGGTGTCACTTTCCAAGAAGGATACCTAATGTGGATTTTTATGGGCAACATTTAGTTCTTTTTTTTTTTTTAAAAGATTTATTTATTTATGCATTAAGAGTTGGGGGACAGGCCAGAGATGAGGGGGGCAGGGGGGGCAGTGAGAGGATTCACCAGAGAGTAGGGAACAACTGGCAGACTGACAGAAACACACTGCTGAGGGGAGCAGCGGGGAGACAGCAGAGGTCTGCTGTGCCCTGTGGGTAGCTCCCTGGCTGGAGATGGAACTCGTGCTGCAGAGGCTGCGGCCAGCTTCATAGGTTGTGTCTTAACCCCTTGCGCCACCAGGGAGGCCTTTAGTTCTTAACGGGAACATTTAGTTCTTAACAGCTTTATTGCGATGTGTTTGACATGAAATAAACTGCACGGATGTAGTGTGTGGAACGTGTTCTGTTCCGGCGTGTGCATATGCCCGGAAGCCAGCAGCACAGTGAAAATGATGGGCGTACCCAGCCCAGCCAGCTGATTCCCTGAGTTCCTTTTTTAATCCTTGCCTCTGGTCCTTTCTGAACCTCCCATCCCACAACTCACAAGCAACAGCAAGCATTTTCTAGAAACCAAATCTTGGTGTATACTTTCTGAGGGGACGGAACATTGGCATATTTTCTCTAACCATACTGTGTTGAGATTTATTCATCTCGTTGCATGTACCAATAGTTTGTCGTTTTGTATTGTTGAGTAGTAGTCCATTACGTGGATATACCACCGTTATTTTTTATTCATTTCGTTGTTAGTGTATGTTTCCCACTTTGGGCTGTAAGAAATAAAGCTGCTTGAATATTTGTGGTCAAGTTACCACTAATACTCTCTGGTGTGGATGTACCACAGTTTGTTACCCATTCACCTACAGAAGGACATCGTTCTTGCTTCTGAGTTTTAGCGATTACGAACAAACCTGCAGTGCACATTTCTGTAGGCTTTGGGTTGACATAACTTCAATTCATTTGGGTTTAAAACAAGGAACCTGGTTTAGTGGTTATAGAGTAAGAGTATGTTTACTTGTGTAAGCAACTTTTCCTAAGGGGCTGTACCATTTTGTATTCCACCAGCAATGACAGTTCTAGTGCTCCAGGTCCTCGTCGGCATTTGGTGGTGTCTGTCCTTGTTGCTTTAATTTGTAGTTCCCTGGTGACATGGTAAGTATTCCTTCGGACAAAGTATTCCTTTGGACAGTGTCTATTCAGGGCAGAAGTTCTTGCTTTTAATCCAGTTAAGTTTACCTAAGTTTTCTTTTGTGGCTGTGTTTTTGGTGTAATCAGAAGTCATTGCCAGAACGAGGGTCTCAGTTTTTTCCTGTGTTGTTCTAGGTGTTTGGTAGTTTTCTGTTTTGCCTTTAGGTCTGTTATCCATTTTGAGATAATACCTGTGAAAGGTGTAAGACTTGTGTCTAACTCACTTTTTTTTAAAGATATATTTATTTATGCATACAAGAGCTGAGGTTCAGGCCAGAGATGCGGGGTGTGTGAGAGAGGAATCACAGAGACAGAGTGAGGAACAGAACAGGCAGATTGACTGAAACACACTGTTGAGGGGAGCAGCGGGGAGACAGGAGAGGTCTGCCTTGCCATGTGGGTTGCTCCCTGAGTGGCCGGGGAATCGAACTCATGCTGCAAAGGCTGCAGATTGCTTCATAGTGCGGTGCTTAACCCCTTGTGCCACCAGGGAGGCCCTAATTCATGTTTTAAACATGTGGATATCCAGTCATTTCTGTACCATTTCTTGAAAACACCATCCCTTCTCCATTGAATTGCCTTTGTCTTTTTGTCACAGGTCAGATGACTATTTTTTTATATGCCCAAATTCTGTTTTGATTTTTTCCATTTATGAAGATAATCATTGTGTGGGTGAGCATGTGTTGTCTTTCATTTTAATTTATGTGATACAGTCCATTAGTTGCCGTACAGATGTTACACTAACTTACATTTTCTGGGACAAATGCCCCTTGGCCATGATGTGTCATCCTGCGTATAAGTTGGCAAATCAGGTTTTTTTTTAATATTTTGTTAATGTATTCGCATCTGTATTGATGACAGATAATGGGTTTGTAGATTTCTCGTGATATCTGCCTGACTCTGGTATGGAGTAATTCTTTTTCTCTTGAGTATTTTATTGCTTGTATAATCCTATAGAAATCTAGCTAGTCATATCTATCTATACCTGTATATGCATTTTTAATGAAGTATAGTTGACTCCCAACATTGTAGTTTCAACAGAATCGTACAATGTGTGTTTAAGCTCCCTTTACTATGGCCCTGAGGAGTGGGGGGCAGAGCACGGAAGTAAACTGCCAGGTTAAAGACGAGAGACACCTCGCGGTCCTTGGCTCAGGCCTGACCACACTCCCCCTATTGTGTGTTTTCTGACCCAGAATTTTGTTTGTTTTGTTTTTAGATGGCACAAAGATGTGAAATCATGCCATCATTGTTTCTCTGTTCTCTCACTTGTTTCTCGTATAACGTACTGCCCTCGTTTCATCCATGTTGTCACACGTGTGTGTGAGAGAGACACACACAACAGTGGCCTTTCAGAATTTAATTTGGTTGCCTGTGCATACTAATAAAAAATATCTATTGGACCTGAGAATTCTCATTTTATTTATTCTCAAAGGTGCCTTTTAAATCAACACCATTTTACAATCAAATGTCCCCGCAGAGTGGGCATTGAGGGCCCAGATCATCTGTGCTGCAGCTGTGCTGTTTAGAAACAGGGACAAGAATTGGGATTGCAACGGGAATGCATATAAAATGCAGGGTTTTTTCATGGACGAGCAGGTTTTTGTAGTTCCCTGATGACACGGTGGGTATTCCTTGGCATTCGGACAGCAGGCAGCTGAGTGGACACAGTGTGTTGCTGACACGGCGTGTCCGCTCGGGCGTGGAGCCTTTCGGAGTTTGTGGTGTTTCACCGGGTGTGAAGCAACAGGTCCCAGCTTCCCTGGAAATTTTCCTAAGACAGCGCCAAGAAATTCGGGTCCGTCCCCTCTGGAGCCAGGGACGGTCCCTCTTTGGGTCAAGGAAACTCCATTTCCCAGAGGCCCTCCCGGCGCCCCTGGGCCATTACCGGGCGCATCGGTGGTGACGTAGGGCCTCAGCGCTGGTGGGTGGGGCGTGAAGCTGCAGTACCCAGAAGTCTGTGCGGCGGCGGCCGAGCCAATGAGACCTCGGCAGGGGGGCGTGTGCGCGCCGGGGGGGCGGGACTTCCGGCGCCCCTTCCGGCCGCTCGCGACGTCCTTCCCCGGCTGGTTCCCCTCGCGGGGCTCCGGGCGCCCCGGGGGCGCCGGGCGGAGGGTCCGCAGCGGCCGGCGGCGCCCTCGACCCGCCATGAAGCCGCCGCAGGTGGGTGCGCGTCTCCGGCGGCGCTCGGGGCGGCGCTGTGGGCGGGAGGCCGGGGCGGGCGTCGGGGGGCGTCAGGGCGTCGGGAGGGGGCGCCCGTCCGGCGCCGGGACTCGCCCCGCGGGCCTCAGCCTGAGACGCCGCGTCTGCCCTGGCGTCCTCACCCGGGTCAGCCGCCCGTGCGCCGCGCGCAGGACCCCGGACTCGCCACGGCCGCTGGGAAAGGGCCCGTTTCTGGTGACCCGTGGGTGCGGTGAGGGGCGGCCCGGCCGCAGGGTGCGGGGCGTCAGGGGCTGGGCGGCGGGGCCTCGCGAGCTGTGCGGGGACATGCGGTTCTCTGCCCCCGGGGGATTCGGGCGCCGTGCGGGGCGTGGGGCGCGGAGTATCAGGCCCAGCGGGCAGCCCAGGTCCTCGGCCTCCAGCCCGGAGGCAGGCGGTGAGCAGGCCTGGCGCTCGGAGTAGGTGCTGTGACCCGGGCTTCGTCGTCCCTCGTGACTGGCGCGGGGAGAGCAGGCTGGGGTGCGGGCGAAGGGGGGGACCTGTCCCCAAGGCGGGCCAGCTGTGTGCGGAGCGCTGGGCTGGCGGCTGTGGAGACTGGTGGAGACGCTTTCTGAGGTGGGGCCGCCCGGTCTGTGACGGGGGAGAGGGAGACACGGAGGTGGGGCGCAAGGAGTTGAGGTGACCCCTGGCTCTGGCCTTGTCAGGAGGGACGGATGCTTCCTGCTAAAGTTGGGGGAGCTGACGGTGTGGGGACTCCAGGTGGGATCTGTGGGCTCAGCTTTGGCGAGTGGGTCAGATGCTCCAGATGCTCCAGCTGCCCCAGGGGGGCACTTGGACATGGCATGGAGATCAGGGGCGGGTTCAGGCTGGACGCTGGCGTGTGGGCTGGGGCAGGAGGGCGGCCGGGTTTGGAGCCAGCGCCTCTGGGCCGTGTGGCCGTGCCCTTGGAGGACAAACAACTGGACACCCTGAGGCCTGGTGTCCGATGGGCACCTGTGTGGTGGCCTGGGGGGGCCTCCCGGAAACAGGCAAAGCAGCAGCATGCCAGGGGTGTGGTTGACAGACAGTGGGGGGATCGCTACAGACAGTGGAACCCGTGGGGGAAGTTGCTAGACCTGGGGGTGAGGGCTGGGCGGTGAGCTCAGTGTAGGGCTTGGAATGAGGCGAGGAGGCTCCGGCTCTGGGCAGCTGCTGGACTGGGGGTGGGGGGGTGGGTACCGGGCAGGGGGTCAGGGAGCCCGAGGCTCCCCTGAAGGGTGGTTGAGGGTTAGTGGTGGGGCTCCCCGTGTGGCCCGGGGCCACTTGGTCAGCACCACGGTTGAGAGGAGGCAGGAGTGCAGGCGAAGGGAAGCGGTGCTGAGCCTTCCTCGGCCTCTCTGAGCGGAGTGCGGGGAGGGTGCTGAGCTGTGTGACCTGCACCCCCAGGGCAGGTCTCCCCATGCTTGGACTGACCTGGGCTGCTCTGGGCTGGGAGCTCATGACCATGGAATTAGATCCGAGCTGACTCAGGGTGTGTGCCAGACACCGAGGGGGTGCGAACAGATGTAGCCATGACTCCCTGGAGTCATCTCCCCCTCCCCTGGAAAGAATGGGGCTCGTGACTCAGAGCCCACAAAACCCTGAGCAAGGGCTGCTGTAGCCTGCAGTGTCTCTGTTTCGCAGGGCCCTGTGGCCTTTGAGGACGTGGCTGTGCACTTCTCCCGGGAGGAGTGGGGGCTCCTGGACGCCGCGCAGAGACTGCTATACCGCGACGTGATGGCGGAGAACCTGGCGCTGCTGTCCTCCCTCGGTGAGGCCCTCACCCCGCGCCTGGCCTGGGCTGTTTCCCCTCTCCGTGGGGCAGCTCTGCCCTGTCTGCCTCCCCACTTCCTTCCTAGCTCTTGGCACAGTCCTGGCCACAGGGCTGGCTGTGGACACTGCTCCCGTCCCAAGCAGCCCCATCCGCTGCCCTGCGGCCCTCAGCAGAGCGCTCTGGTGTCAAGAGCATTGTGTGCTGGCAGCTGGCCGCCCTTGCTGGGTGGCTCTGTCCAGTGGCCTGGTGCTCAGTGCCCAGGCCTTGGCCCTGCTCTCCTGTCCCAGGACCTGCTTGTGTCGGGAATTTTGGCTCCCCGGGGCGCTGGTCTGAAGGACCCCGTTGGTCTCTGGTGCGTCTGCTGTGCACTCCGTGCCCTTCCACGGCCTCGGATGCCATGACTCCCGGGCCTGTGTTGGCCACGCCTGGCGCCTGCCTTTCACCATGGACCAGTCTTCTCGGGTGCCATTCACATGCCCACCATGGACGATGGGGCGGTCCTGCCGCTGCAGGAGACACTGAGAGTCCATGCGGAGGCAGGGTCGTGGGGCCTTGTTTTGTGTCCTCCTGTGGGGTGCTGGCGCCAGGAGCCACACCTTCTCCACTGCACACTCCGGTGGCACCTGCGGGCCCCGCCCCTCAGCTGTCTTGTTTTCGCTGCCCCCTTTCCTCACTGTCCCACTCCCAACTGGTGCTACAGCCACCCTAGCGCATCTGCCGCAGCCGCGTGTGCACACAGCCTCCTGGCGCTGCTCACCGGCCACCGGCAGCCGTGGCCTTGTCGGCAGCCGCTTGCAGGGAGGTGCCTCTCCCACCGCACAGCCTGCCAGGGCTGAGTGCTTGTGTGCCCCTAGTGCGCACATGCTGAGAGCTTCCTGCCCAAGACAGTGTGAGGGCCCCCCCGCCGGTGGGGCAGGCCTTGACGATGGCATCTGCACCAATGGGATGAGTGCGCTTGTAAAATGACCCCGGAGGGCCCCCCAACCCCATCTGTTATGTGAGCACAGTGGGAAGGCTCTCCCCCGGAAGAGGGCCCTCACCCAGCCCTGCTGCCAGCCGGATCTCGGAATCCCAGCCTCCAGACCCGCGGGAAATCAATGTCTGTGGTTCGTAAACCACCCAGTCTGGCGTTCCGGTCCAGCAGCCCGAATGGGCCGGGACAGACTCTCCTGCAGTCCTCTGCCGCGCTGGGACTCCCACTGGGAGAGCTTGCCCAGTCCAGCTCTGCACCCGGGCCTTCCTCTCAGTGGGCCTGGGCCCCGGCCTGTGGGCAGTCCCTTGCACTTGCTCCGAATGCGCTTCCGTCACACCTGTGCGATGGGGCTGTCTCTGCCTCCAGCGCCCACTTACGCTTCAGCAGTGTTTATTTGCTTACAGGTTGTGGGCACGGAGCCAGGAAGGAGGAAGCACCTTCTGACGGAGGTGATTGTGTGGGCGTGTCACAGGGCAGGACACCAGCGCCAGACGTGGCTGCCCACAAGGCCCAGCCCTGCGAGACGTCTGGCCCGCTCTTCAAAGATACTTTGCCCCTTTCTGAGCAGGATGGAACACACCCCGATGCAGCGCGATCCGTCACCGGGGCGGCGCTGCACCAGCACCGGAAGGGGCGGGTTGGGGCCACGCTTGCCCGCAGTGCCGAGGGCAGGCCGTTGGCGGTGAAGGGCAGCAGAGTGTGCGTGGCGGAGCGCGCCGCCACACGCACTGAAGCTGGGAAGGGCTTTCCCGCCAGCTCGGGCCTTCTGCAGTCCCCGGCTGCTCGCGGGGACACCGTGCCTGGCGAGGCTTTTCAGCTGGGACGGAGCGATTGTAAGCGCAGCGAGCGTGGGAAAGCCTTCGGCCGGAAACGCGCGTGTGTGGAACATCAGAAAATCCGCGGTGGCGTCCGACCTCATGAGTGCAGCGCGTGTGGGATGGCCTTCGGTAGAAAGTTCCACCTGGTTCAGCACCAGAAAATCCACACTGGAGAGAGGCCTTTTAAGTGCAGCGAATGTGGGAAATTGTTTGGGTACAAATCCACACTCGTGAGTCACCAGAGGGTTCATACCAGACTGAGCCCCTACGAGTGCGGGGACTGTGGGGAGTTATTTAAGTACAGCGCCAACTTCAGGAAACATCAGAGACTTCACGGTGGAGAAAGGCCCCTTGAGTGCGGAGAATGTGGCAAATTCTTCAGGTACCACTACAGACTGAGAAGACACGAGAGAGTTCACACTGGAGAGAGGCCTTACCAGTGCGAGGAATGCGGCAAGTTGTTCAGGTACAGCTCCACGTTCATCAGACACCAGCGCGTGCACTCCGCAGACAGGCCTTACGGGTGCAGCGAGTGTGGGAAATGCTTTCGCTACAACTCCACTCTCGTGAAACATCAGCGCGTCCACACTGGAGAGAGACCTTATGAGTGCAGGGAGTGTGGGAAGCTCTTTAGATACACCTCTACGCTCGTCAGGCATCAGAGGGTTCACACTGGAGAGAGGCCTTACGAGTGCAGTTTATGTGGGGAATTTTTTAGGTACAAGGCCATGCTCATGAAGCACTGGCAGAATCACGCTGGAGAAAGGCCTTACGAGTGCAGTGAATGTGGGAAGGCCTTTAGGTATCACTGCAGACTCATCAGGCATCAGAGAGTTCACACTGGAGAGAGGCCTTACGAGTGCAGCGAATGTGGGAAATTCTTTCGGTACAACTCCAACCTCATCAAACACTGGAGAAATCACACTGGAGAGAGGCCTTATGAGTGCAGCGACTGCGGGAAGGCCTTTAGCCACAAACACATACTTGTTGAGCATCAGAAGATCCACACCGGCGAGAGGCCTTACGAGTGCAGCACCTGTGGCAAGGCCTTCATTCGCAAGTCCCACCTTGTTCATCACCAAAACGTCCACCGTAAAGACAGGCCTGTGAGGGCGATGGGTGTGGGCAGCTCTTTAGACACCCCCTCGGCCTCAATTCGCAGGGCAGTCACCCTGGCAAAGACCGCGTGAGTGCAGAGAATGCGGTAGATCCTGCGGCTGCCGCTCTGAACTTGCTGCGCTGGGGAGTTCTGGGTTCACGTCGGAGTAGGACCTTCCGAGTACGGTGAATGCGGGAACAGTACGTGTCACCCCCAGCCCCGTCACAACGTCAGAGATGACACGAAGGAGAGCAGTGGGTGCGGGCGGGTGTTCGGCCAGAGAGCATCCCGCGCGTGGGGAAGACCTCAGCCACAGGAGTGCTCTGGTGTAGCCTGGGAACTACTGTGCTGCACATTTTTGTTTTACATTTTTTATTGTGGCGAAGTCCATGGGACAGAGCTTGCCCTTTCTGATTTAACAGCACAGTTTAGTACTAAAAATTTTGAGTGTGCTACTAATCTTTTCATCTTGCACAGCTGAAACTACCATTATACCTTGCCTTGCCACCCTTGCCACCCCTAGCAGCCACGTTACCATCCCATCTCTCTCTGTGAATGTGGCTGTTCTGCATATGGTACATGTCTGTGTGTATGTACGTATCACACATATTTTCTGCACTTATTTATATGTCTAACATGTAGATAATATGTCTTTGTGATTGACTTGTTGCAGTTAACATAATTTCCTGTTGTTTCACCCACTCTGAAGCATTCGTCAGCATGTCCTTGCCTTCTTTAAAGATTTATTTATTTAGGGCCTCCTCCGTGGCACAGAGGTTGAGCGCTGGGCTGCGAAGCTGTCCACAGCCTCTGCAGCGCCAGTTCGATCCCCAGCGACCCGCGAGGGTCCCACGTGGCGCGGCAGACCTCTCCTGCCTTGCTCACTGCTCCCCTCAGCAGTGTATTTCATCAGTCTGCCTGTTCTGCTCCCTGCTCTGGCTCTGGTGAATTCTCTCACCCTCCCGCGCTTCTGACTGTACCCAGTGCTTGTATAAACAGAACAAACAAATAAATAAATAAAAAACATGCCTCTTAAAAAAAAAAATTTATTTATACAAGAGCTGGGGTACAGGCTAGGTGTGCGGGGAATGAGAGGATCCACCAGAGACAGAGCGGGGAGCAGAACAGGCAGACGGATTAAAATCCACTGCTGAGGGGAGCAGCAGGGAGACAGGCGAGGTCTGCTGCGCCACGTGGGATTCTCCTCAGTGGCGGGGATCAAGCCCACGCAGCAGAGGCTGCAGACAACTGCACAGCGCGCTACTCAACTGCCTTGGCCCCGGGGAAGGCCCGTCCTAGTCTGGTCTTTAGGTCCCTGTGTCACGAAAGTCCTTAGGGCATTTCTCTAACCAGTCGAGTTTTTTCTGTGTGTGTAGCAATACACATATATTGACCGTTTCTAAGTTTTCTGTGGTGAGTTAGGGTCTCCAGAGAAGTAGTACGTGTGGGGAGAGGGTTTTAAGGAACTGGGGGGGGGGCACGGGCGGAGATCGAAGCTGCCCCCCACCCCCGCGGTGGGGAACCTGCTCAGGGGCTGACGCAGCTGGAGGTTCCCCGTGGACACGGCCGAGAAGCGCCAGGAGAGCCCTTTGCTGCGCGCCCCGCGCTTCTGTGGGCTCCCCCGTGTTGGGCGGTGGCGGACCGCGCCTCTTTGGTCCCCGCCGCCCCGGAGCTGTCCCGCCGCGGCAGGCCTGGTGGAGGGAGCCGTCCGGGCGCGAGGGAGAGGCCTCCTGGAGCGGGGACTCCGGGCGCGGGGCGCGAGGCTGAAGCGCGCAATTCCTCGGGGTGAGGGCTGCGGGGCCGGGGCGGCCCGCCGCCCGCGCTGTGAGGTGACCCCCACCCCGCCCACGGGGCAGCAGAAGCCCCGCGCGGGCGCCCCGTCGGGCCAGGCGGCCTCTGGGCCTCGGGAGCCCCGACCCGGCGGCGGGGCGGGACGCCCCCAGGGCCCCGCGGCGCCGGAAGAGCCCGTGGGCGCCGGGCGTGGGCTCGCCCGCCACGAGGGTCTGCGCCGCGGGCCTGGCGTCCGCCTCGGCCGGCGGCGCCTCCCCTCCCGGCGCCGCGTCCTCGCGCCCCAGGCAGCCCGGGAGGCGGGGCGGGGGCGGGGCCGGGACGCCGTTTCCATGGCGCCGCCGCGGCGGCGGGAGGGGCGTGGCCCGCGGCTGCGCCGAGCGCGCGCTCAGCCGGCAGGCGATTGGCTGACGCGCGGCGGGGGCGGGACTTCCGGCGGCTCCGGGCCCGTCGGCACCGTCGACGCCGCGGGCGCGGAGCTCCGGGAGGGGCGTTCCCATGTCCCCGCGCCGTGAGGGCGACTCCGGTGGAACCTGAGCCGGGGCGCGAGGTGGGCGGGAGCCCGCGGCCGGGGCTGGGGGTCGGAGGCGTCGGGGGGCGCGCGTCTGGCCGGTGGCGCTGGCGCTGTCCCCGGCGGAGCGGCCGGGAGGGCGCGGGGGCGGGTGTGGACGCGGCTGGCGTGGGCCGGGGTCACCTGGGGGAGTCTCGGGGTGGCCTCCGCGGGCCCCTGCGTGGAGAGCGGGTGCTGGGGGCGGGGCCGGGCTTCCCCGACGGGACGGGAGCCGCCCTCCGCCCGCGCGCTCTGCTGTGTCTGCAGGACGCTCGTGGGGCCTCCTGGGGAGCCCGAGGGCCGAGGGTTTGGGGGCGCTTCTCGCGGTACTGACATTTCGGCCACTCCCTGTGCGGGCGGGAGGCTCGTGGGGCTGTGGGAACTGGGGTCCCCGGTCACAGCCTGCTCCTGCCGCCGCCCTCCGAGCCGAAGGGGTGACCCGCTGGGCGCTCGGGGGTGCAAATACCGTCAGCGCGAGTGAGCTGCTAGCCTGGAGGACCTGGCAGCGCCCCTCCCGCAAGACACGAACCCGTTATTGACTTAAATCCTGGCTGATCAGTGGTCGCGTCGAGGGGGGAGGTGGTTGCACACTCAGAAAAGGAGACGCTGAACAGGTGAAGTGTCTGTAAACGCTAAACAATTGGTAGGAACTGGAGTTTATTTCTGAGCGTTTCCTTATGATGGAAATCACGTAGACATAATGGCCTCACGTTCCCTTCTTTTTAAGTCTCAAACTCATTTCAAAACCCTGTCACTTCATCTGCACCGAAAAAAACAACCCCGCGGCCGGGGTTGCTGATCTGTAGTGTGACCGTGTCGGTGTGACACCAGTGTCAGTCGCCACGGGTTAAGCTGCTCTTGTGTCCGACTTACAGGAAGCCTCACAGCTGGTGAGAGGCAGCCCTGAGGTCACAGAGCTCACATGGGCCCCCAGTTGAGGTCCCTTTGCTCCAGGACAGGGCCGAGGGTGTGGACGCTCAGCCTGTGGCCTTGCCGCGGTTCCCCTTCCTCAGGGCCTCCCTCTCCCCACAGGATCCGCTGTCCTGGGGAGCAGCAGAGCTTGTGACCCAGCCCTGGTCAGCACAGGGGTTCCCAGGGCGCCACCTCAGTTAAGCCCTCAGAGCATTTGCCATCCCGGTAAGGGACTCCCGTTGTCTTTAGACGCATCACCTCCCCCTCCCCCTCCGGTGGTCGCCGGACCCTGTGATTTCCAGACCAAGGTTCCTGAACTCGCATCCAGGTCCCATGGTGCTGCTTCCACGCACAACAGCGGTGAAGAGACGTGCCGCCGGCTGTTCTGGCCTCTAGGTGGTGGGTGGCGAGGCCGGGCTGGGTGCGCAGGGACTGCAGATCTCTGTTCTGTCACCTGGGATCTGCAGCTGATGTGGGGGCGGCCTAGTGGGGAATGTGAGGGGAGGGCGTCAGGGCTGGCAGCTGACTTTGCAACTACGATGCAAATAGGTAAATACAAATTTTTTTTTTTTTTTAAATAGAGGCATGTTTTTATTTATTTTTTATTTGTTTGTTTGTTTTTTGTTTATACATGCACTGGGTACAGTCAGAAGCGCGGGAGGGTGAGAGAATTCACCAGAGCCAGAGCGGGGAGCAGAACAGGCAGAGGGCCTGAAGTACACTGCTGAGGGGAGCAGCGGGCGGCACGAGAGGTCTGCGCGCCATGTGGGACCCTCCTCCGGTGGCCGGGGAGCAGCCGGGGATCGAACCGGCGCCGCCGAGGCCGCGGGCAGCTTCGCAACCCAGCGCTCAACCGCTGTGCCACCAGGGAGGCCCGGTAAATACAAATTTAACCAAACATCAGAAAGTAACTCCTCGTGACTGGACAGTTCCTACCTTGCAGGGCCGCGTGGACCTCGAGGACGTAGCCGTGTACTTCTCCCAGGAGGAGTGGGAGCTCCTGGATGAGGCTCAGAGACTCCTGTACGGCCACGTGATGCTGGAGAACATCACACTCCTGTCCTCCGTACGTAAGTAAGGCCTTCACCCTCACCCCCGCCCCGCTTCGGCTGTTTCCCCCTTCCCGGAGGCTGCTCTGTCCTACCTGCCGGAAGAGCAGGTTCCTGGCTCCTGGCGTGGCTGTGCTGGCGCCAGGGCTGGCTGTGTGTAACGCGCCGTTCTCCCCAGTGACCCCACCCCACCGTCCTGAAGCTGGCCTGACACTCCACAGGCCTGGCTGTCCCCTGTTGGCCGCCCAGTCCCAATGCTCCCTCTGTTCCCTGGTTCCCCCTCCTCTTGCTGACACAGTTTGGAGTCTGCCTGTGCCAGTAATTTCAGGCAGCAGCCGGCCACGCTATGGCAAGCACCAGGTGGCTCCCACCAGTGCCTCCTCTGGGCATTTGCAGTCTTGGGTTAAGGTGTCCCGGCCTGGTCCCTCTGGGCACACGCTCGCCCCTCCCTCCCTTTCTCTCGCTCCCCCAGAACTGGCCTCTCGCTGTCTCATTCACCAAGTCTTGTCTCCCCACACATCAGAGAAATGGCCCCAAGAGCCTTAGGGACAGGTGAGGTTTGCCCCAGGCGGCTGGCGGAGATGCGTTCGGCAGGACATGCAGGGGTGGGCTGGTGCGAGGCAGCTGGGAAGGGGGAGAGGCCACAGCCGAGCGCGCACCACACTCGGCTCCTGCGCCCACCTCCCCTTGACGCCAGTCTGCGCCTCTGTCCACCTCTTCTTCCCTGGTGTTCCTCCTCCCGTACCCGTCCGCGCGTCCTCCCCTGTGTCCGGGCTCCGCCGCCAGGCCCAGCTCTGCACGCCAGGCCTTCCCTCCACTGCTGTCAGCAACCTCGGGACTCACTGGCGGGTGAGTTGGCTCCCGCTTGTGTGGGGCTATGTCCACCGGCGTTTCTCCTCTGCAGGTCGCTGGCAGCGAGCCCAAGATCAGGTGGCACTTTCAGACGAAGGCGGCGTGTTGCAGACCCAGTCTCCGAGGCCAGGTCTGTGCACGCAGGCCTGCGACATGTGTGGGCCGCTGCTGAAAGACATCCTGCACCTGGCCGAGCAGGATGGAACCCGCCTTGAGCGGGAGGTGTGCGCACGGGCGACGAGCCCTTCCCGGGGCCAGAAGGAGCGGAGTAGGAAAGAGCCACCCGGGAGGGATGACCAGCGGCCCTCGTTTGTGACCTCGTGTGGTGTTCGCATGGGAGAGGCGGCCTTGACGTGCAGGGAGCCGGGGGAAGACTTCCCAGCCCAGTCCGGGCCTCCCCAGCACCCGAACCCTGACGGGAAAGGGCGGCCCCGTGGGGACACGGGCCAGGGGCCCAGCTGCGGGGGGACAGAGTGACTGCGGGCGCCGTGTGAGTGGGAAGGCTGCCGGCCAGGAGCGTGCGCTTGCTGAGCATCAGAACGTCCACACCGGGGCGAGGCCTCGCGAGCACGGCACGAGCGGGAAGGCCTTCGTCACCCGGGTCGGCTGGAGTCAGCACCAGCGCGTCCACACTGCCGCGAGGCCTCTCGATCCCCTCAAACGCCGAGGACCGGTGACTCAAAGGTCGGGCCTCGCCGAGCACCCGAAGCTCCGCGCCAGGCCCGCGCCCTACGAATGCAGCCAGTGTGGAAAATGCGTTAAGGACAGCTCTACGCTGCTCCGTCACCAGAGAGTCCATACGGGAGAAAAGCCGTTTAAGTGCAGCGAATGTGGAAAGTTCTTTCGGTACAGCTTCACCCTCAAGAGGCCAGAGAGCCCACGCTGGAGAAAGGCCTTACGCGTGCAGCGCGTGTGGGAAGTGCTTCACAGACAGCGCGATGCTCGTCGTCCACCAGAGGGTCCACACGAGGGGCAGGCGCTTTGAGTGCAGCGCCTGTGGGACGTTCTTTCGGTACAGCTCCACCCTGGAGAGGCACCGCAGGGCGCACACCGGGGCGAGGCCCTACGAGTGCGGCGAATGCGGGAAATTCTTTAGGCACAACTCCAATTACATCAGACACCGGAGGAATCACACGGGACAGAGGCCTTATCGGTGCGGCGCCTGCGGGCGGCTCTTCAGCCAGAACGCCCGCCTCCTTCGGCATCAGACTGTCCACACCAGGGAGAAGACGTACGCGTGCAGCGAGTGCGGGAAGCGCTTCACGGACAGCTGCACGCTCGGCATTCACCAGAGAGTGCACACCGGGGAGCGGCCTTACGGGTGCGGGAAGCTCTTCAGGTACAACTCCAGCCTCATCAAGCATCGGAGGGTTCACACCGGGGAGAAGCCGTACAAGTGTGTCAGCTGTGGGAGAGGCTTCAGCCAGCACTCCCACCTCCTCCGTCACCGGGAGGTCCACAGCAAGGAGTACTGGAAAGGGGGCGCCGCCGCTGAGAAAAGTCTGCCCTGATTCCGTGCGGGCAGGGCGCGCGGTGCGGCCTTGTGTGTGCGTCCCGGCTGCGCGTGCGCCACGCGGGGCTGCCCGTGCTGACCGCACCTGGGTAGTCACGCGCGGGCTCGCTGTTTGCACAGAGACCCGGAGTCTTCACCTCCCAGAACTGAAACTGCCCATTGAACTGTTCACTCCCTCATGCCCTGCCCACCACCGTTCTGCGTTCCGTCTAGGAACGTGACCCCCCTGGGCACCTCATGTAAGAAAACCAGAGCGCGCACCTGCCTGCTCGCTTTCCCCCGCTCTGACGTGGTCCAGCTGCGCGCATGTCGGCGCTCGGGTCAGATGGGTGAGCAGCCTGCATGGGTGAGCAGCGCGCCCTCGGGCCGCGCCCTTCCTCCAGCGCTGGGCGCTCACGGCGTCTACCTCTCACTGTGTCCAGCTCTCGCTGTGTCCAGCTCTCGCGGCGTCCAGCTCTCGCGGCGTGATGGACACCGGCAGGAGCGTGACTGCGCGAAGTTCCTTCAGGCTCTGCTTCCACTGCTGTGAACACTCTCCCAAGGGGCTTGAGGTGTCACGGCATTGCTTTTACTGGCATTTTGCTAAGGACTAACGACGCTGCCCGTCTCTCCGTCTGCCGGTTTGTTGGCTCTTGGGAGTCCGGACAGCTGTGTGCGTGACTCGCTGTCCCTGGAGAAGCATCTCCGGCTTTCACGCGCCACGTCTTTCCTCCCAGCGGGGCCGAGTTCTTGACCTGCATGAAGCCTCCTGCTTACAGCGTGCGACGGGACGCGTTGTGCCGTGTGACTCCAGGGTGACGGCATCGCCCAGTCTGTGCTCACCAGCACATGTCCCCCTCGTTTCCCTTACCCCTTTTCCTTCCCTCCCCGCCGCACCCACCTTGCCTTCCTGCCAAACCTCCGGCGTGTGTCTTCATCAATTACTTTGCGTTTTCTAGAATTTGATGTACCTGGGCCCCACGCTGTAGACTTCTGGCTGCTTTCCTCAAGCATAAGATGCCAGACTTACAGCTAATAGTTTCTAGGTCACGGGGTACATGCTTAGTAACGTAAGGGGAAATACGGGCTGGGACGTCATTGGTTTATGTGAAAGAAATGACACGCGTCCCAGTCATGTTTTCTGATGATTGGTCGTTGCCTGATGATGCATCATTTTGAATGATTGCTTGTGAAATTCCCTGCAGTCAGTCTTCCTTCGATTACCATCGTAACTTCCGCAGTAGCGCCGTCTCATTTCATCCTTTGTCCGTTGCACAGTCATTAACGGGACCGGACTCCACAGCAGTGACAGGAACTAGACGGCTGACCCGAGACAATAAGGAGGCCATTTCTGCTCCTACGGGGACCACGCTGTCTCCTCCATCAGAAGTGAGCATGTTACCGTTTTCTGTTACTACTCAAGTATGTCTGCCTCCCTGTCGCCTAGCTGGTACTGCGTGCTTGTTTTCCTGTGACTGCCTGACGGAAAAATTCTGAGAGACACATGAATATCTTTAAAAGGATGTTTTTACTCCTTTAATAAATGATCACTCCAGATAATTTAGAGCAAAATCTACTGTTGTTTTTAGACATTTTTGAGTTCTGTCAGCACAAAAATTAGATAATAGCCACGCTGTCAGAGTGGAAAAGATGGCATTTGTGAGAAGTTGACATCTGTGAGGCGGTTGTGAAATGGAGCAGGGAGCCAGAGAGGAGGAACTGCATCAGCTGCGTCATCTGAGTTGAAACCTTTGAAGTGGGTCAAAAGCAGTTGTTTTGAGAAACTGTCAGGCAGGTGGCTCTTGGAGGGACATTGAGAGCTGATGAGCATCTCGGGATGGACGCTCAGTGCGCGAGGCTAGACCCCATCTGCTCCTTTCAGACCTGGGGGTGGAGAACCCAGAGGCAGTTATGTTGGCTCAAGCCTGTTAACACTGATCACCTCTTTGGACACCAACCTCATCTTTTTTCCTCCCGTCAAACAACTGTATCCTTCCTGAGGGCACATTCTGGGCTTTCTGCATGGATATGTGTACCCCAAGTTGCAATTCTTCGATCCCAACTAACCACACTTCCCCTTTTAAACTTCCTCCAGAATGTTCAGGGTGACACAGGTATCAGAAGTGGACTCTGACGCACTCTCTCCCTCCCGGACTGGTACCTCCTGGCAACGGGTGCAGGCCCCTACTTGACCCTTCCAGGGACCCCCTTCTTAGATGCCAAGTCCTCTCAGGCCTGCCCCAGGAGACGGATTGTCCTAAGACTGAGTTAAGCTGGAACGAGTTCATGCAGCAGGGCTCTGTGGCTGGTGAGCATTTGGAGTTCCATGTGCAATTGCTGGAATGGCCGTTCTGATTTCCCGTGATGAGGAGAATCCCCTGCATAGTGGACACGCGGTGGCTGGGTGTGTGGCAGCAGGATTTCTGTGCAGAAGTTGTTGGCGTGCGAGGTGGCTGCTGGGTGACTGCTGGAGACTGGGGTGAGTCGCTGGACTGTGGTGGGAGTTCCTGTGCATGCAGCACGTCCTTCTAGGTGCTGGCGTTTGAGGTGCTCCTGGGGAGGACTCTGGATGAAGGGGCTCGTTCCCTGCAGTCGTCCTCTTCTGTCCACTTCCCATCATGGGGCTTTTCTTAAGTCTTCTTAGGAGGAACACATGCATGCAGCTCTTCCCGTGAGTGTGTTTCGTGTCTAACATCTGCCTTACCAAGGACGTAGATGAATGTTTAGCTTTTTTTTTCCCCCAAAGATTTATTTTTTTTTTTTTTTTTAAAGAAAACCTGTTTTTTTTTTTTTTTTTTTTTAAAGATTTATTTATTTATTTATACATGCACTGGGTACAGTCAGAAGCGCGGGAGGGTGAGAGAATTCACCAGAGCCAGAGCGGGGAGCAGAGCAGGCAGAAGGACCGAAGTACACTGCTGAGGGGAGCAGCGGGCGGCAGGAGAGGTCTGCGCGCCATGTGGGACCCTCCTCAGGTGGCCGGGGAGCAGCTGGGGATCGAACCGGTGCTGCAGAGGCTGCGGGCAGCTTCGCAACCCAGCGCTCAAATGCTGCGCCACCGGGGAGGCCCCCAAAGATTTATTTATGCATATAAGAACTGGGGTGCAGGCCAGAGGTGGGGAGGTGAGAAAATTCCCAGAGACATAGTGGGGAGCAGAACAGGCAGATGCACTGGAATCCACTGCTGAGGAGAGCAGCGGGGAGACAGGCGAGGTCTGCTGTGCCCTGTGGGTAGCTCCCTGGCCAGGGATGGAACTCGTGCTGCAGAGGCTGGTGATAGTGCTGAGACCCTATCCCCCTGTACACTAGGGAGGGCCTGGGTCAGTTTTTGAAATATGAACTGTTAAGATGAAATGTGTATTCAGATTTTTTTGTTGCATTATGCTTACCATTGTAAGGGTTGTTTCTAAGTCTTGGATAGTAGTTACTTCTTATATCTGTGGTGCAGACATTTCTCACCAGGTTGCTGCTTACTTTCTTGGCTTTATAAAATACCTTTTTAACAAATATTCTAAATTCTGACTAAGTCCCAAATTACTGTTTTATTTGGGTTTTTTAAGTCCTTTGCAAAAAGGTGTTTGTTTAATGCACAGAGTGTACATGTTATTCCTAAAAGATGTTATTTTTTTTTTATTTCATTCACATTTATAATCCATTTCAAGTTAATTAGTAAAACTCTCCCGGATGTTTTAAGTCTGTTACTATTTTATGTAGATGTCAATTTTAGAGCAGTTTGTTGCAAATATCCTTTCAGTCTTGACATACCTCTGTGATTTTAGTGAAATTGATGTGTTTTCGAGTCTGTTCTGGTTTCTATTTGCATTGTCTACCCTTTCAGCATTATTATGCTTTTCATCAGTAGCTCTACAGGGACTATTAAAATCAGATAAAATCCTTCAAGTTTGTTCTTTGCAAAATTTGTTTGGGTATTTTAGGTCCTTTGAATTCTCCTATGTATTTTAGAATCAATTTGTAAATTTCCATCACAAAGAAACCACCGGTGGGGCCTCCCTGGTGGCATAAGGGATTAAGATGCAGTACTGTGAAGCCACCTGTAGCCACTGCAGCACGAGTTCAATCCTCAGCCAGGGAGGTGACCCACGAGGCACAGCAGACCTTTCCTGTCTCCTCGCTGCTCCCCTCAACAGTGTATTTCATTGATCCACCTGTTCTGCTCCCCACTCTGTCTCTAGTGAATCCTCTCACCACCCCCATCTCTGGCCTGTACCCCAGTTCTTGTATGTATAAATAAATCTTAAAAAAAAAAAAAGAAAGAAACCACTGGTAACTTAACAACTGTGTGACCTCAGAAATAGCCAGGGGAAAGCAAATTAAACTTCAAGTCTTGGCGTCACTCAGGAAAAGTCTGTGATGTTTTACAAACTTGCTTTATAGTCCTTGAATGTAATTTGTTAACTGGACTCCTGAATATTTCATATTTTGATGCTGTCATTAGTGGTGTGATTTTTCATTTTCCCAAGATTTCATCCTGGACCTTGGCTAATCTAACTCATTAGACCTGTGGCTTCTCAGGTAGGAACTAAGGGCTTTCTAAATAGAAAAGTACCATCTGTCAATTTTTACGTCATTTATTTCCTTTTTTATGCCACTGGCACAGACTTTCAGCCCAATCTTACGTAGACATTGTTAAGATTATAAAATACCTTTTTAACAAATATTCTAAGTCCCAAATTACTGTTTTATTTGGGTTTTTTAAGTCCTTTGCAAAAAGGACTGTTTGTTGGGGGGACATCCCTGTTTGTTGGGGGGAAGCATTCAGACACAATCCTTAAAGATGTGGAGGCTGAGGCTAACTTGGGGCAGTTGGGCTCAGAGAGTTGCGGTCAATTCATTTCTTTAACCTGATATAGGGAAGATATTAAAAAATTTAAGCTAACATTACACGTGCTGATGATGTCTGAATCTTTGCCCTGCAAACCTTACATATTGAGGGAAAGTTGTTTAAAATTAATGACATATTACCCATTATATGCTGTCAAGATATCTGGAGTTCAGCCTTATTTTGTTACTCACATTTGTAATATATGCAACGTCTATTGTTTTTTTCTCCTTTCTCAAGAGGAGGCTTGATCAGTTTTACTAATGTACTAATGTATTTGGGGGCAGGTGATCCACAGATTTTCTTGAGAAAAATTAAAGTATATGCAACGGACCATGACAGTGAACAGGAAGCAAAGTACAGGAAGCAACAGAGAGGGCAGACAGCAGAGAGCCACACGACTGTCCCAAACTGTGACACAGGACATTCTCGGGCCCTATGGCAAGGATAGTGATGCGGGGCAGAAGCCAGAGCCACCCTGAGTTAAGGACACAGCGCAAGGCGGCACGTCCTTATAGTACAGAGCAGAGCAAACTTCAGAGAAACAGTCGTCTGGCTGAGTAGTCACCTACATACCCGTGTAGGAACCCCCAGAGGACGGGTACGGACACATCCAAAGGGACTAGACAGAACAATTTCCGAGGATAATATGGAAACTGAAGTGCCTGTTCTGACCAGCTTAACTGGGAAACCTTCAAGTATCAGAGAACACAGTTGTGTCTCAGCAGTGGGAGGGAAATTGGCCTTAAAGTGAGTGCTGCAGTAACTCTGTCTGAAAATCTTTAGAATGAAGACCCCAAAAGATTATATTGTTTCCATAGAACTTAACCATGTAACAGAAGAAAAACCAAGAATGTCTATAGAAATGCAAGTATTTTCCACGTTCAGTCGGAATCACACTGTGTTAACAGGATAGACAAAGTAGACTGTAGAGCAAAAATATTACTATGTAAACAGGGTCGTTTCTTAGTGCTAAAGAGGTCTCCTCAGCGAGTGGACAGATAAATAGGAAATGTTTATTCATCTAACAAACCGGTTCTAAATACACAAAACAAAAACTGATAGCACTACACAGATAAAGAGGCAAATCCAGTTTTACACCCAGAGAACCACATCCCCCAAATCAGAAGGAGTCAGAAGACGTTAGGAAGGATCTTAACCTAGGCTGACATTTGTAGACACCTCCACCCAACAGTAGTCCATTGTCAATTCACTTCAGTTTAACGTGAACCACAAGAGAGCCCATATTCTGGGCCACAGAGAAGTCAATGTAAGTAGTTCAAGCCAAAGGACATGTGCTGTGACTCTAATGGAATTAAAAACTAATTAACAGAAAGATAAGGAACATCCCAAGTATTTGAAATGACTCGCTTTTAAAGGAAGAGCCAGGTGTCAGAGAAGAAATTAAACTGGAAAATAAAGTTAATTAAAATAGCAAGTTTTGCGGGAGGCAACTAAAGCAGTAGTATAGAATGAATTAGTACCAAACACCTATGTTATAGGCAAAAAGACTTCCAAAGAAGGATTTCAGTCTCTGTTAAAAAGCAGCACAAGAAGTGAAGTCATTTTTTTCTATTAAAAGCGGGGGTCGGGGGGGGGAATAAAAATAAAAGCAGGGGGGCAATAGTTTAAAAAAAAGGAAAGATCAGGAAAACCAAGTGCTTCATGATCAATTAAAATTGATCCTAAATTAAGAAGAGATATATAGATATTTCCAGTATCAGGAATAAAAGAGGTAGCATCGCTACAGATTGTACAGATACCAAAATGATAGTTTGAAAAAATTTGACTGAACTCCATGAAAGCCAACTCCAAAGCCCATGGGGGTGGGGGGTGTTCTGTTGCCCTGATCCTGCATGGAAAGTAAACTCATAGTTAGAAACCTTCCCGGAAAATAAACTCCAGGTCCAGACACCAAAAAAATAAAGAGCAAAAACCAAGTCTTCATAAAATCTTCCAGAAAATAAAAAAACTAGAAATATTTGACCACGTTGGAAGTGTAAGGTTGTTCTAACTTTTCAAAATCAGCCACCGTGAGGGCCTCCCCTGGTGGCGCAGCGGTTGAGCGCTGGCCTGTGAGGCTGCCCGCAGCCTCTGCAGCACCGGTTCATTCCCCGGCCGCCGGGGAAGGTCCCACAAAAAAAAAAAAAAAAAATCAGCCACTGTGATTCATCATTGAAAGACTAAAAAGGGACAGAAAAGGAACAGTGACCAGGGTCAGCAGTGTCCGTAGCTGCTAGTAGCCACTGCTGTGGGGCCCGCCCTGTCCCCCTGCGCGAGCCTGGCAGGCGGGAAGTGAGGGCACGGCTGCTGCAGGTCCCGGTAGTAACAGTGTGGGCTTGTTCCTGTGTTCTCCACTAGACCACTGGCTTTGCAGCTGTTTTCTCGGAGACAGAATACTTGCCACAGAAGTACAGAGGAAAAGGAGTTAAGCTCTGAAACAAGCACATTGGCGAATCACAAATTATGTAGACTTGAAGTCAGATACGGCAGAGCACATACTAACTGTTCTGTACAGAGAACGGAATTCTAGGAAGAGCAAATGCATCCAGTGACAGCAAATCAAGTGGTTTCCTGGGTACAAATGTGCTGGAACTTAGAACTTAGCAAGGTGTAAACTCTGTGTGTGTGTGTGTGTGTGTGTTTGTGAGTGATAGAAAATTTACTGCAGAAAAATGTATAGACTAACCACTCTGACAATAACCATAGCCAGAGACACACACGTGGGAGTCCTGAGAACGTCTGTAAACGCCACCCCAAAGCTGTCGTGATGGAAACACTTGTGGATGGGCCTTTTGGAGTCACGTTCCTGCAGTTTGTTGCCGTCTCTGAACTCCCTGCTAGTATCTCCTCACCAATCATGATTTCTACATGGCCCTTGTAGGGCTCAGTGACATCTGCCCACTGGATAATTTCAAAGATGTTGGCAGGTGCTAGGAGGGATCAAATTCTCTTCAAAAGGGCTGGGGGAGATGGAGACCAGGGAGTCGCAACAAATGCCCCCTGCTCAGGGTGCCCTCAGCCACATGTGTCATCTTGGCACACAGGTCACGGGAGCAGGCCCAAGAGAGTGGGAGTCTTTCCTAGGAAGCTTTGAGTCGCAATGCAAGTGAGGCTGAAACTAGAAGGAGAGTTGTTGTTTGCTCGCCATCCTACTGCCACAATCACCACAGTTGGAGTCCTCGCGGCAGCTGTTCATCCTTTCATGCTACCAGAGACCCATTCGGTTCTCAAGCTGACAGAATAAAGAGAATTCTAAAGAATAAAGGTAGTGTAAACACTAAGGCATGTTTGCAAAACCAGGACACGGGCAGCCCATTCCTGAGTTTGGGGACTCGGAGAATGGAAAAATCACTAGGACGTGAGACCAGTCAAGTCCCTGACAGATGGAGCCTTGTCCTCAGGTGTGCAGCCGCACGGCACTTGCCTCCTCCTGGCCTAACCGGGGTCCTGTTCGTGCTTAAACCAGAGGGCGGGTGAGCGGCTGGTAAGGAGGGATGGAGAATCTGGGCTCCGGCCAATAACTCCTAGGGAGGGAAAGAGCCGAGCCGGGGGCCTATCAAGCAGGTTGGGGTGACTGGGACAGCATGGGGTGCTGACATTGTGGAGGTGGGTGGGTGGCTTCCTGCAGACACCAGCTGTGATGATTCTGTCAAGGGTATCGGGCAGGTTCCAAAGTGCAACACAGCTCCAGAAAGCTCGCCACAGGGCTGCAGTCAGGGGAGCCTCCCCGGAGTGGGTGTTCCAATGTATGAGATTCACCTCAGGGCTGATGGGTACTCAGGGAGGCTTTTCTCAGGTGTCAGTCATGATGCTCACACGGGGGATGGGACATCCCCGCTACGCTATGCTAAGACCTTTCTTCAGTGTGAACTTTCCAATGTCGGATGAGGGAAGCCCTTTGTCTGAAGGCCTTTCCACACTCGCTGCACTGATACGGCCTTTCTCCAGTGTGAATTCTGTGGTGCTGAACAAGTACATGCTTGTGGCTAAATGCTTTTCCGCACTCGCTGCACACGTAGGGCTTTTCACCATTGTGAACTCTCTGGTGTGCAATAAGGTCAGAACTTTGGCTAAAAAACTTCCCACACGCAATGCACTCATAAGGCCTGGCCCCAGTGTGAACGCTCCAGTGTTTGATGAGTCTATACTTGTGACCAAAGTACTTCCCGCACTCACTGCACTCATACGGCCTCTCTCCAGTGTGGACACTCTCGTGCTGAACAAGAGTAGATTTGTGGCTGTAGGCTTTCCCACACTCACTGCACTTGTACGGTCTCGCTCCAGTGTGGACTCTCTGGTGTACAATAAGGTTGGAGCTGTGATTAAAAACCTTCCCACATATGCCACACTCATACGGCATTTCTCCAGTATGGATTCTCTGGTGCTGAGCAAGGATGGGTTTGCGGCTGAAGGTTTTCCCACATTCACTGCACTCGTAAGGTCTTTCTCCAGTGTGGACCCTCTGGTGCTGAACAAGTGAGTCTTTGCGGCTGAAGGCTTTTCCACATTCACTGCACGCGTACTGCCTTTGTCCACCGTGACCGGGCTCTGCGCATCTGGTGTTACCGTGTGGGGGCCACTGACTGCGAGGAGCGTGGTGCTGAAAAATGCCTGAGGTAGTCAGGATGTCCTTGCACCCCTCCGCTGTGACAAAAGGCCTCTCTGCTGGTTGGCCAGGACAGCTGTGCACGAGAAAGTCTCTGCCCTCATCCCCGTTGAAGGGTTTCTCTCCACTGTGCTGCTGCTGGAGGTCAGGGTGATCCCCTACAACACACAGGTATGGTTTCTGCCCAGAGCATGTTTCCTGGTGCAAACTGTCCTTCAGGACTGGCTCACGTGTCTCACAGGGACGGGCATTCTGGGTAGAAGAGCCTGTCTTGGGACTTCTGACCCTAGATGTCACTAGAGAAATGCTCTGCTCAAGAGGTACTTCCTTGTCCTCCACCCCACGCCGACAACCTAAGAGCAGAGAACTGTCGTGAGACACAGACTGATAATGGTGGGAGGGAGCTTTTCATTACAAATGTGTCTTAATGAACTAAGATCACGGTCATAGGTCTCCGGTTGTGACAAAATTCCTGAGTTCAAGTTCTGTAAAGGCTGCTACACAGCAGTTGGCCTCTAAAGGTTACAGACTGAAGAAGGCCTTGACTGGGAGAAGACACACATGTACTCAACAGCCCAGGAAAACAGCTGGGGCGCCACTGAAGCCATCCACAGATTTCAGCCAGGCCTTGGTTTGTGGGGACAGGTGACAGCTGTGCAGAGGACGTACCTGAGTGGTTACAACTGAATAGTCAACGACAACCTGGGATATGTGCGCCTCTCACGACAGGCTGAGTACAGACCAGTGTTGGGGTACTGCAGGAGGAGCAGTGGAGAAGAACAGGTGAGAAGTGGAGGCAGAAGTGGGGAACAGCCAGAGGCCAAAGAGCAGAACATAAAACACAAGTTGCGTAAGTGGGAAAGTAAAGAAATGAATGTGGCCCGTGGCCTTGGAGGAAAAGGCCAGAGGGCTTTGAGGCATGGGCTGGCTTCACCCCAGTCCTGACAGCGCACCCTTCCCCACCTCCCACTGGCCAGGGCCACACCCACCCTGAGGCTCTCTGGTCACCTCTGGAGTCATGTCCACCCAATCAGATACCCAGGGCTTGCTGCTCAGTGCCGATGGGGCAGCTCCACAGGACACAGGTGACCTGTACCCTAAGGAAAAGACAGGCTCCAGCGGGACCCCTCCTGAGAGGGGAACGCTAAGTGTTGAGTCGGGTCTCGCAAGAATAACCCAGAGGGCCCAGCAGGCAGCGACCACGTGGACAGGTGGAAATGTCAGGAAATGTCGGGCAGAGGAAGGGGGCGAGACCTTGAGGACTGAGGACGCGTCTGGACAGACATCCGGGAGAGGACGACTGGACGTGACTCCAGGATGTGGCCGCGAGGCCTCTGGGGCAGCAGGTAATGGGGCTCATCAGGAGCTGAGACGGCAGCACGCGCAGCTCGTGCCTCAGACCTACTCCGGGGACCTGGGGGGAGGCCGTGCCCGCGGCTGGTAGCGGCGCTGGGCTGTCCTGAGGGGAAGGGAGGGGCAGAGCTCAGTCCGGGACACGGCCCGTGTGACGGCCTTACCCAGCGAGGCCGTGAGCGCAAAGGTCTCCAGCATCACGTCCCGGTACAGGCGCCGCTGAGCCTCATCCAGGAGCCCCCACTCCTCCCGGGAAAAGTGCACGGCCACGTCCTCGAAGGTCACCTGCCCCTGCGGCAACAGAGGTCAAGTCCATGAGCGACCCAAGGCTCCCATCCCTGCCCCCAAGCCCCCCCCATACCTTCCCACCCAGTGCCTTAACTCAGTGGGAAAACGGGGCTGGGTGCCACTGGCGTCTGCGCTCTCCATCCCTGCGAGTCCAGCAGGAGGAAGGACAGAAAGCCCCCATCCCACATCTCCTGGTGGTCCCTTTTTCTGGGAAGGCGAAGATTGTGTTTCCCATGTATCCAGGGCCGGGCTCACTGTTCTCCCTAGTGCCAGCGTGCGGGGCCCCTCTGAGCGCACACATGCAAGCCATTCTCACGGATCACGTTCTGCTTCTCAACCCTCACTGTTGGCTTCCTCCAGCTTCCTGACTCGCCAAATGCACCGTCACCTTGACAGGAAGAATCTTCCTACCCAACTCCAGCCTAAACACCACCTTCCACATCCGGGATGTCTCCACCCTAAGCCCCTCCACGGAATCTGAGTCCTGAGCGTCCAGCAGCACACTTGACAGATACAATATTCTCTAGAACAAGTCAGACTCTTCACAGCAACAAACTCCTTCGCCCACACTCAACTGATGGAGCTTCTACTCTTCCATTGGATGAGGCCTCAAACCTTGGGGTTCTCTCTCTCACATCAGAAAACTCTGACCCAGCGACTGCGCCCATCTACACTATCATACCGCCAGCCCAGGACTCCAGCTGCAGTACCGAAGCAGCTTCTTCCCTGGCCTCCATGTCTCCACCCTCACTCCCCAGCCTGCACCACACATGTTCACATGGCCGGCCGTTAAGCCCCGGGGTCGGCAACCTCCCTGGCCTGCTGCAGAGAAGGGTGAAGTAGCGAGACCTACACCGTAAGACATCCGGGCCTGACTCCTGCCCTCTGCTCTCCCCTCTTCCCAGACACGGCAGAGGCCTAGTTTGTGGAGATCCCCCACCTCAGTCTCACTCGCGAGACCTGCGCCTGCTGCTTTCTGTGCAACTTCCCCGTGACAACTTCCACGCCCCGGTCTAATCAACGGCTGCCAGCAATGGGAAGCGTCCACATAAAGCCCGGCCCGGGCCAGGATCCTCGCCCGCGGGTTCTGGACTCAACAGCTGGGGGAGTAGCAGGAAAGTCTCCGTGACAGCACAACCCTGGGGGCCGGCGGGTGTGGCCGGCGCGCGCGGACAACTCCCGCCCCTGCGCAGGGCCCGTGAGCGACCAGCGGTGAGGACGGAGCGCAGAGCCGCGAGCCTGTGCCCTGGTCCTGCCCCGAAGCCGGGCGGGCTCGCCCCGAGGGGCAGGCCTCGCCGCCGCTGCCGGCTCCGGGGCCGGGCGTCGCTCTCCCCGCGCTCCTCACCCCCACGCACCCCAGGTCGGTCTCCCCGGGCTGCGCAGGCTGTGGCTCCAGCGGCCGAGCGCGCGTCCTCCCTCCGTCCAGACCCGCCCCCGCCCCCCGCGATGCCGGCGCAGCTGCCGGGGCCCCGCTCCTCGCACCCCGACCCCCGGCTTCCCGCAGGGTCCGAGTCTGGGCGCGTCTGCGGCGCCCCCTTCCGCGTCCCCGCGCGCCGGCGTGAGAAGCCGCCCCGGGCGCCAGCCGCGCCGTCCGGACAGGGCGCCGGGCCGCGCGGGTCTGCGGAGGCCCCGGCCGAGGCTTTGGGGGTCGGGGCTGAGCGGCCGGGCCGGACCCACCTGCGCGGGGCCCGCGCGCGCGGCCGCCATCGGGATCTGCGGCCGGGGAGGGGCGGCCCGGCCGAGCCTGGGGCCGCCTCGGTTCGGGACGCCGACGCCTCCCCCGCGTGCCCCCCGTCGCAGCGCCCCCAGACCCAGCGGCGCCGGCGCCCCGGCCCGGCCGCGTCCGCCCGGAAGCCCCGCCCCCGGCTCGGGCCCGGAGGCGCGTCTCCCGCGTTTTCATTGGCCGGCCGCCGCCGCGGCCCCTGGGTAACGCAGTCCCCGCCCTTCAGCCCCCGGCGCTGCGTGGTGACGTCGTCCGACGACGGGGCGGAGCGTCGCTTCCTCCTAAAGGAGCCGCCCCCCCCGCCCCCCGTTTCCCGGGGGAGTCGGCGGCCGGGTCTCAGTCAGGTTCGGTGAAGAGCGGCCGCCGCTGCACCCGGGAGGCGGAAATGCGCCGTGAGCGAGGAAACCCTTCCCCCTCCCCAGCTCCGAAGGGGCGTCTCTGAGCCCCGGGGCGGGGGCGGGAGCCGGGATCCGACGTGCCCGGCCGAGGGCGCGGGACTGGGGTGTCCGGGGCGACCTGGGCCCGGGGAGAGGCCGCGGCTGCAGCCCGGGAGCGCCCTCGCCCGCTGTGCCGTCGGGGATGGTGCCAGACGCTCTCAGCACGTCGTGCTCCGCGTCGGTGGGTGGCGGCGGTTCCTCTCCCGGAGCTTTTAAACGTGGAGAAGAAGCGCGAGTCCCCCGAGGCCGCTCGCAGCCGGGAGGGCAGTTTGGGGGCCTGCGGAGACGCCGTGCTCGGACTCTGCGCACAGTAAACGGGTCTTTCCAGTTGTGGCGTGAGACCATTCCAGGCCAAAAATTATGATCAGAAGTTATGAATGGAAAACAAACCCACCGAAAGTGAAATTCTCCGCATGATACTCAGATCCAAAGAAGGTGGACCCCAGACGAAAGGTCTCCGACCAGAGCCCACGGAGGCTTGAACCACCCCCCACCGTGTCCTGCCCGGCACCGTCATCAACGTCCGTCTTTCTCTTTGCGTGTCGGAGAAACAAGACCATGGGGGATTCAGTTGTCTGGGACAGACGTGAGGACACGGGCGACTCTTGCCATTTTTTATCCCAGAAACAGCCTTCATGTTGCTTATTCCCTAAACATGGTTTCTTAGGCACTGACCCAGAAATCGGAGCGGGAAACACCCTGCTGGCTCCCAGTTCTGAAGGGGTGGAGAGGAGTAATGTCATCTGAGGCGATCATCCCATTCACCCACATGTGTGCTGTGCACCCCAGCACCTCCAGCTCCACCCCTTTGGGGCCTCTACCAGCAACGTATTTCTTTATTTTACAACCACCTCTCCCCTGTATCCACATCAGATCTTGCTCTGCTTAAGTTTACCTAGCAGGCAGTTTACCCAGATGCTATTTGGCAAATTTGGGTGGATCAGAAGTGCATTGATTTTCAGGAAGTCAGGCCTGCAGTCCTTCCTCTTAACCGCCCTCCAAACCTGGGCCTCAGGTTTATGAAAACATTCTCCATGTTCAGTTGGCATCGCTCAGGGCCTTACCCTGTCTGTGGTGAGCTTCACTGTATAGAAGGCAACAAATCCAGTGAAGGGAAAGCAGCTCCTTGAGTAGCTCATGTTCCCAGCTCTCTTCTTCTGCTGGCATGTGGAGTCTCGCTCTGTCTCAAGTTTGACCTACAAGGAGTGACAAACTGCTGAGAAGTACCTGCCACAGCTGTAGCCCAGACTTTGTCAGCATTCTTCAAACTCTCCAATCCCAGCTCTCTTCAGTCTACCTACCCAGTTCTGCCATTCGACCCATGACAACCCCAATAAAACACTGGGCCATGCCTCCTCCTCCCCACTTGCCTCCAAATCCACCCCGGGCTTCCTCACCTCACAGGTGTGGTATCCTGTGCCTCCTGTCTTTAGGGATCTGGGTAGACTTCTTCCTCCATGAAAATAATCTCTACCTGTCCTACTATTTCTGATTGAAATGAATTTCAGGTACATTTTGAGAAAGTGATTCACCAGAGACAGAGTGGGGAGCAGAACAGGCATGTCCACTGAGGGGAGCAGTAGGGAGACAGGAGAGGTCTGCTGCGCCCTGTGGGTCACTCCCTGGCGGGGGATCGCATTCACAATGCAGAGGTGCGGACAGCTTCACTGCGTTTTGCTCAACCCGCTGCGCCACGGGGAGGCCCCTGCTGTTTTAAAAGACTGGGTGCACGTTCCGTGTATTCACAGGTTGTACAGGGTGCGTATTTTTTGTTTAAATACCATACTTAAGACTGTCACCCGGTTAGAACAGACCGCCCGTTTCTCCGCGCCGTCGCTCGCCACTCCCGTTCCACGCTGACTTTGGAAACGGACTGGCTGTGGGAACACCGAGGGGACTACCGAAGGGGGGCGAATTTGGGGAGAGGCCTGCGGTGGCTCACGGGTGTGAGGCCCGTTTTCCCGGCTGAACACTAACGCGGGGCTCCGACGAGGCGAACGCGCACAGATGTGTGTGGGGAGAGGGAGGGACGTGCCCATTCGGGGTGCCCGACACGTGCAGAGGCGAGTCTTTGCCCCTTTGTCACCGCGGGCCGCCCAGCAGGCGAGAGGGCACGGAGCTGGCCAGACCCGCTCATTCCTGCGGCCTCAGAGTCCTCGCTAAGCCCTTCCCGAGAAGGCACGGCCGGGGCAGCTGCCCGGGGACACGCAGACCCGGGCCGGTCTAGAGAAAGGCCACAGTCACTGTGGGAGTCCCGCTGGGGCGGCCAGCGCGGCGCCAGGACTACATTGCCCAGAAGGCGCCGCGCCGGCGGCGTTTCCGCGCACGCGCAGCTTGGGACCGGCCCCTCCGGCCTCCCGCGTCCCGGGCGCGGATTCGCGGCGGGGGGACCTGGCTCTGGGCGGGGCCGACTGGGCCCGGCGTCGAGGAGGCGGCCGTGGGGTCGCGACGCCCCCAGCCCGCCCGCCCATCGCGCCCCGCACGGACTGATGGCGGCGGCCGGGCCCAGGGCCCCCGCTGAGGTACCGGCCCGCGCGCTCCCCACCCGGCCGCGCTCCCCACTCTTGGCCGCGGCGTCGGGGCGTCCGGGTGGGGTGGGGGCGTCGGGCCCGGGGTGGGGGCGTCCGGCCCGGGGTGGGGGCGTCGGGGCGTCCGGCCCGGAGTGGGGGGGTCGGGGCGTCCGGCCCGGGGTGGGGGCGTCCGGCCCGGGGTGGGGGCGTCGGGGCGTCCGGCCCGGAGTGGGGGGGTCGGGGCGTCCGGCCCGGGGTGGGGGCGTCCGGCCCGGGGTGGGGGCGTCGGGGCGTTCGGCCCGGCGTGGGGGCGTCGGGGCGTCCGGGTGGGGTGGGGGCGTCCAGCCCGGGGTGGGGGCGTCGGGGCGTGCGGCCGGGGGGAGCCCCTGAGCCTCCCCAGCAGCGGCGGCAGAACCGAGCCCCGGACCTGAACCGGCCGCCGGGCGCCGAGGCCAGGGGCGGCAGGAGGGCCCGGCAAGGCCTCGGGCTGTCGTCTGGGAGGAGGATCTTGAGGGTTTGATTCCGTCGCGCCCGGACGGTGTGCCTGAGTTTAGCCGCTCCACACTCGGCCTCCGTGGCCTCTCCGGGGGGGACCAGAAGGGGCCGTCTGGCACCGTCGGGCGTGGGGGAGGGCGCCCGCCCGTTCCCTTCCGTGGAGCGCACAGCGGGCAGCCAGGTGCCCACCGGACGGCGACTCCGACTCCGTGTCCTCAGGCCCAGGCCTCCGGCGTATTCGCGGTGAGGTCGTGCAGTAATGACTTAATTAAGCACCCGCGGACTCAGGGAAAAATCCACGCGTATTTGCATGTGCACGTGTAATTGGCTGGAATTTTAATATCCTTTAAGCTGTTAATTTGATTAAGCTCAAAGATCTCAAGCAAAATATCCCAGTCTTGGTTAAAAGGCTTGTTAAAAATAAACCCCACATTTTCATTGGCCCGGAAATTGACAGAAGCCTCAAGTTTGCAGATGATGTGCTAAGTACTGCGCACTCAGAACCAGTTTGACACAAACAAAATAATCCTCATTGTGCGAGCGTGCTTGTCCCCATTTACATGGCAAGTCTCGGGAGACGCCTTTGTTCCGTGGCTCGGCTGAGCCTTCGGGCCTACCTTGCGGTTTCTCGGCGTCTGGCTTTTCCGTAGGTGCTTCCTGGCCGTGCAGAACTAAGTGAGGGGTGGGGCGCCCCCAGCTCCTTACCCTTCTGCACCCCCACTTGCATGGCTTCTGCTGCTCTCCCTGCCCTTCCACTGAGCTTCCTAGAAGGTGGGCCCCGGAGGTCAGGGCCTGCGTCCAAATCCGTTCTAGCAACCAGGGGCGTGATGCTTAGGAGATGAGCCTTCACGGGAGCCGCCTTAGGAAAGGCCGGAGGCGAGGCTGCGCTGGAAAGCGCGGGCAACCCTCGGTGTCTTCTGTCTGCTGGGAATAGCGGGAAGCTGGCGTGAGCCCTGCGGTAGCGTCCTGAGGACCTGCCCCTGTTCTGAGGGTGTCGGAAGTTGTGGCAGGATTGAAGGCGAGGAGGGAAGAGATCTGACGCCGTCTTAAAGAGCTTTTTCTGCTGTGAGGTGCAGGGAGAGCAGGGAGGCGGCTGGGTGGGTGCTGGTGGTGCCCCGGCCGGAGTGGTCGCGGCAGACGCGGGAGGCGGTGAGCAGACTGCTGATGCGGAGGGCGGCCGGGGGACATGGAGAACGCCGGTCACTGTGATGTTGGGCCTTCGCAGCTAGAAGCGGGGACGCGCCACCTCGGGGAAGCTCACGGTACGAGTAGTTTTCAGTGGGAACCTGAGGGTTAGGATCCGACCATGTTGAGCTGAGATGTCCCAGAAAGCCTTGATCTGTGGAGAGAGCCCCTGGACACGCGCGCCTGGTTCAAGGGGAGAAGGGTGAGCTTGGAGGCAGTCACAGCACGGCTGGGTGAGGCCCTGGTGGAGACATACGAGGCGCAGCAGGGGCAGTGCTGCCAGGTGATGGGGACGGGGACATGGGGTTGAGGACTGGGTTTCTCTCTGGACACCTGGATGGGCGTCAGGAGTGGCTGTGGGGGAGAGGCTGTCGGGGTGAGGCGTGTCTTGTGGTGGCCAGTGTTTGCGGGGGGAGAGGGCATGAGAGGACGTGGAGACGAGGCAGGGAAATGATGGTTGAGCTGGTGCCCCGACTTGTGCGCCCGCAGTCGGGGTCCCCGCGCTCTCGTTCTGACCCTTGCTATGCCCTGGGGTGAGCGCAAGAGCAGATGGGCCATCTGGGGGAACTGCAGACCTGGTGTGAGGGACAGGCGGGGCTGGGCTTTGAGTAACTTTTGGGGGGGCAGCCCTGGACGCCGCGTGCCCACTGCTGGTGCTGAGGCCAGGGGCGCGCGTGGAGTGGGGAGCTGCCTGCGGAGCGATGTGCACGTGGAGGGGGGGTGTGGCCTCCTGGGCCCGGGCCGTTGGACTCGGGGCATCAAGGAAAGCATTGGCTTAATTTGGTAGTTTGGGGGAAGCACAGCCTGGGGGACACGGGTGAACTGACCAGGCCAGGCCGAGCCCTTCCATGGCATATGCATCAGCCCTGCCCGGTGATGCGGGGTGGTGAGGACGGGGTGGGCGTCCGAGGGCCGGGCCCGGCGTCCCCCTGGGCGGGAGGCTGCGGAGGGCGGGTGTTGGGGCGGTTGCCGCGAGCCCTGGGAAAGAGGCTGCGCTTACGCCCCGCCGTCCCCGTCTCGGCAGGGCGGGGTGACCTTCGAGGACGTGGCCGTCTACTTCTCCCGGGAGGAGTGGGGGCTCCTGGGCAGGCGCAGAGGCTGCTGTACCGCGACGTGATGCTGGAGACCTTGGCGCTGACGGCGACCCTGAGTGAGGCCTCGCAGCCTTTCCCTGGGCCTGAGGGCAGGGCTGTGCTCCCGGAGCCCCCCACGCCCATGGCCCCTTCCTCCCCGTGCCTTGGAGCAGGTGAGCGAGCCCCGGGGCTGCGGCACCGCCCCTTCTCCCCCAGCCCCGGAACACCCGCAGCTGCCGGGAGGGCTCTGGAGCCTCCCGGGTCACCCCCTCCTGGCCTCTGAGCTGGCGCTGCGGGAAGGCCACGCAGTTGTGCCCCCGGCCCCGGCCCAGGCCAGGGATGGCGCTGCCGGGGCCGGGCGGGGCTCTTGTTCCCTGTACCTGGGCTCCTGGGCCTGGGTGGGGGGCCGGGCCCGGCCAGCGCTGGTGCCACGGCTCGTCTCTCCCTAGGACTGGCGTCTTCCCGGGCCCCCAAGCCGGCCGTGCCCGCAGCCCTGCCCCCAGGTGCGTGGGGGGCGCTGGGGAGGTGCCGGCAGGGTGGGCTGGGGCCCGAGCGGGATCCCCCCCCGTTTGGGCGCGGAAGTCGGGGCCTGCGGGGCTGCTCACTCGCCTGCTCTCACCCGGGAGCGCCCCCCACCAGGCGTGCCCCCGACTCTGGCCTCCTGTGACGTGACTAATGCCAGGAGATGCTTGTTGGCTTCCTCCCGGCCTTGTCACGGACCTCACGGGCGCTAGGGGCGGCCCAGCCAGGGCTGCGGTCGCGTCGCCCACGTGCCGTGTGCAAAGTCCCGCGTGCTCCGCGGGTGGGCTGGTTCCCGGGGAGCCCGCCCCGTCATTGGGGGTCAAAGTTCCAGTCCCGCCCCAGCCCCGGGGCTCAGGAGCCTGCGCGCCAGTGGCGCCACCAGCCTTGGCTGCGGCCAGGCCCCCCGGAACCCCGAAGGACGGGCGCCCACAGGGCGGCCACGGCTGGGGCCTCCCTCGCCCTGAGCAGCCCCGGCCGTGTCTCCCGCAGTGGTCCCCGGGCGTGGCGCCGGGAGGCGGCGGGGGCCGAGCCTTTACCACACTCTGTGCGGCGGGGTCACCCCCGGCCGGGCAGGGGAGGCAGCGCGGGAGCATGGCGACCCCCGCAGTGCCTTCGCTGGGCGTCAGGGTGGGCCCCGCTTTCGTGGGTGCGTTTGGGTTACCCCGGGGCACTGGCAGGGAGGCCCGGAGGGGGCCCCCTTCTCCCGCTGTTGCCCCCGCGCCTGGTTCGCCGCCCCTGGGGGTGGCGAGGCAGCAGGACACCGACGTGCGCGCCCCGGCTCCCGCCGCTGTCGTGAGGTCCTCGAGGTGTCCGCGGGGGCTGGGGCTGCTGGGCCTGGACGCGCCCGGTCCACGCTTGTCCGGCGTCGGCCGCAGCCGGGTCCCTGCAAAGCCGCTTGCCGGGGAGCGTGGTGGGCCCCCGCCCCTCCTCCCGCCGGCCTTGTGCCGCCCGTGGCCCCCTCAGATCCCTCATCCCGGCAAGGCCCAGGCCTCCTCCTCACGTCCGAGGGGCTGTCCCCGCTCAGCGGGTCTGCAGCGCTTCTCAGCACTCCTCGGCTTTCAGGGCGCCGGCGAGGAGCGGAGGCCGGCCCGGAGCCTGGCGAGCAGAGCGCGTCTCTGGAAGGAGCGGGGACCGGCACCAGCGCGGGCTGCCCTGTGGGGACGACCCCTCGGGGAGAGAAGAGGCCGGCAAGGATTCCCCAGCCGGCTCCGGTCCTCTCGCCGCCAGGCGGCTCCCCGTGGGGGGGCCGGAGCACCCGGAGGGGCGCCACCTGCGACTCCGACTCCGGAGAGGACGTGCAGAGGCGGCGGGGCGGGAGAGCCTGTGCGCAGAAGGCCTTGCTCGCCCAGCGCCGGAGGCTGCACGCCGGGAGAGGCCCCGGGGCCGCAGCGGGTGTGGGGAGTTGTTTCGCCTAAACAAGGCACAGGCTTCTCGGCCGCCAGCTCGGCTCGCTGGGGAAGGGCCTCGCGGGTGTCACGGGCGCGGCTCGGCCTTCAGCCGCCCCGCCGACCTCGCTCGGCACCGGCGGGTGCTCCTGCGGCGAAGCCTTCCCTTGCGGCGAGGGCGCACAAGCCTTCAGGCCCGGCTCGCCGGCGGCGGCCCCGCGAGGGCAGCGAGCGCGGGAAGCTCTTCAGCCTCAGCGCAAGGCCCCGAGACAGCGCGGAGCCCGCGCCGGAGAGAGGCCGCGCTAGTGCCGGGCACGGGGCGAGGCCACAGCCGCGAGTCCAGCCTCGGGGA